GCCCAGGGTTTTGCCCCTAAACCTCGCCACGTCACCCCTTCCAACAGCGTCCCCGGCCCCGGCCCTGAAATTACTGATTCTCCTTGACACCGCTCACTCAGAAGAGCTGAACCGGAAGAGCGGCCGGGAAACAGCAACCGAACTCCGTCAATGCGAAAATAGAGCCCGCCAGACAATCACCAGAAATGGGTCCGCTTTGGGGGATTACCAGAAGGAAAATGGGAGCGCCGAGAAAAAGTAGAGGAACCATATGAGCACTCGGGAACAACCGACTGAGCTTAAGTACTGGTCAAAACAGCGTGACAATAGAGCCTGGTAGAAGGTCACCTGGAAGAGATCCGCCTTGACAGAGTACCAGGGGATATGAAAGCAATCAGACAAATAACGATTTTCCGTATGAGCGCCCGGGAAACAGCGACCAAGCTCAATCATCAGCGAAGAAGCGCGCAAACAGAGCCCGGTAGATTGTCCCAAATACGAAAGATCCGCCTTGATCGCCTTTTAAGTAGAGGATAAACGCGACGAGACAACTAGTGACGAATCCAAGTGCCCGTGAAAGTCACCAATTATTAGCAAAAAGGCGCACAAATAGAGGCCGGTGGTGAATTACCTGAAGGAGGTCCGCCTTGGTTGAGTACTAGGGGGGTTCAGGATTTACCAGGAGTGAAATACCATCAAAGCGGCGAAACATATAATCGTGCCAGATCCGAGTGCCCGCTAAAGAGCCCAACAAATCAGTAAGAAAGCGCAAAGATAGAGCCCGGTAGACACTCACCTGGAGGAGGTCGGCTTTAGTAGAGTACCAGGGGGGGATGATTGTAATCATGTAGTTCTCGCTGATCATGAGATCGTGGACGTACGTCGGGCCGTCCAAAGGGACACGTGTCTGCACGCGGACGGACCGGGGTCTTAGAGTTTCGGACGAGCCATTCTTTTGGGTTTCTAAAATCTGAGCAGGTCGGAAGCAACCGGAACTGGCTTTGCGAATTGCTGCGCAGCTATACCAGACAATTGATAAGGGCGGTCGTAAGATGAACGATCAAAGAACGCCGGATCAAGAGCCCCAAGTGGCGTGGCTATGTATCTGAAGGAAAGGCGCCGTTTGGTTTAAGGCTGATAACGAGGAAACAGATTCCTCAGACCCTCGGAATCTGCTTTGAAGGCGAACTCGAACCCTCGGACTCTGCTCTCAAGGCGAATCGAGGAGGAAAAATCCGGCATCAGAAGTTACTAAGAGAAAGTCTCCAACTCTCTTCGCGTGGAACACCGGACAGGAGATGGCCGGCAAATCAAAATATAATTAAACCGACCAGGAACTATCGAAGCTCTAGAGTTTCTCCAAGGGCGCAACAGTCGCGTGGGAACCCCTTCCGGAAACGCCGGATCTCACTTCGCCGTCTCACCTGTTTCAGCAGCTTTCCGTCCGGGGAGTTTTTGAAGAGCTGGAGTCCGAGGATGTTGAGACTCGGCTCCGGGTTGACTCCGTGATTGTACATGACTGAGGGGAAAACCGGGGTCAATGCTAAACCAGAGGTGTCAAATAAGCGAGAAAATCCAGGTCGAAATGATCTACACTGGCGTCCCGGTGATTGAGGCATAGCTGGTTAACTTCGGATACATAGAACTTTTTCCTTTGCGGGTAGGACTGATGACTGATTCCTCGTTTATTTCGAAAGTCGTGAATGTTTGTGGAGAACGAGGGGCCAGTAAGATCGACTGCCGCAGAAAGAGCTGATCATGGCGCGAAAAGTAGATTGACTGACAGCTTGACAGTTGCTGTCGGCAGACCGGCCTTGCGACCTGTGCAATTTGGCAGGCAACATCTAAATCCGCTCTTTGTGCACTCAGCCACGTACTCTAGTAGTTTGACACGACAAAACAAACAAACCAACGAGGAGATATGAACCGAAGCGCTTCAATCCCTGGAGAAACAGCTATATTGAGCGTACTGATGGAAAGCTGGTGAAGAGCGGAAAGCTCGTAACGAGCAGGAAGCCGAAGGGCGACGGCCTCCTAATTCTGAATACAAAGAAGAGGGCGCAAGTGCTACCCGGCAAAAGCCAAAAGCTTAAAAGAATTCAGAACGAGCTTTTCGAACAGACACAGAGCGACCGTTCCGTGCACTGCGGGTCAAGAAACGGAGGTTGGACAGGTTCACAGAGACCTGCCGTTCTCCACATAGGACACCAAACAAAACGGCGACTGTTTGCTCGGCACAGACCGGGCGATACTCGCAAGCGGCAGTGCGACACTCTTCTCAATTCAAGGTCACATACAAGATCGACAGCGGACTGACGACGACCGTGCGCTAACAAGAGTGGAATTTTTTTGTCAGACTTCAAGCAGGCTGTGCATGCGTTCAAAACGAGACCCTCATCCGACGGACCTTCTTTGAACCGACTTCGAATGAGACCAGATCCCAAACCTCAGCATAGACACAAACGTGCTAAAAATTCTAGGAAAGCTCGTGCTCACTTCCAGTATCCAGATCGATTTTGGGATGCGCGGAGAAGGCGAGATCCCCAACATACGACAGCTCTTTTCCTACAGTGTCGAGAGTGCCCGGGTTGACCTCCCGGGGCGGCCCACCCTCGGCCAGCGCCAGAAGCTGCCCGTTGAAATAGTTCGGCCTGCGGAACGGGGGATTTTGCGTTCAAGTCTCTTCTCTTGAGTTCAGATCAGGCTCAGGTTCGCGGCTTACCTTTACTTTCAAGTTCTCGAGCCGAGGGTTTCAGACTCTCGTTCCTCTTGCAATTCCAAGATGCGAGTCTGAGGCTTTGCTTCTTTATCGCATTACCAAATGGAGGTTTAAGGCTTGCTTTCGTCTAGCATTCGCAGAATTCGAGTTTGAGGTTTGCTTCTGTCTCGCATTTCCTAAGACGCCTTGGGTTCACCATGTTCAGATGAGCCAGAAAAACCAGGATGTATGAAAGTCCAAGAAAGATAAGGATAAGTCAAGATCACGATAGGCTCCGATTGACATCAAAAAGCCCAACCCTAAGAAGCCCAACTGAAAGTCATACCTGCTCCGCACCCCTACCGACCCTAACCAGCAAAAGTAACCCTGTCCGTCCAAGAGCGGTTTCGTTATGGTTATCCCGGCTTATCATTTTCAATCTTCAGCTCGATCCAAAATATAACCACGGCCTAAAATCATACTCACGCCGTGTTGCTGGGGTTCTCCATACTTCCGACGTTTGCGAAGGGCCCGCCGTCCGCGGGCGTCCAAACGCCCTTCCCGGCGACCTTGTTTTCTGGGGCGGCCAGGCGCTGCCGAATGCGCGGGGTGTCGATCCAACGCGATCGGAACGTGACGCTCTCGTTAAAGCCGTCCAAACTGAAGGCGTAAATCTGAACAGGGGAAACGGGGATTTCGGGGATTTTTCGGGAATGTATGCCATTCGCGGACAGTGCTGATGGTGGATACGCTATGCATATCTTGTGGCTGTTTGTTGCCTACGCTTGGATCCAGTCAGAAGTGTGGAAGAGATGCTAACGAAACCGGTCGGATCTGAGGAAGAGTGGAACTGCCGTCGACGTTTCTGACTTTAGTATGAGGTTTGGGGCAACGACAAACGGTCAAGAATTAACACGCGTTTTTGCAAGGAACGACCCAAAGGGGCTCAGCCTTTGAAGTTTGATGACACACAACCTAGTCTACTGGGCTGCCAAGTAACTGCATCCGTTGCTCGACAATTGTTAAGAGTAAGACCCATTGGTTCAACAAGGAATTTCAGCGTACGGAAGTCACAGTGACTGCTGTTCCAGTATCACTGGCAACGGCAATTCCCCTCGTGCTGTTTCTGTCGTGTCGAGAATGTGACGCTGAAAATCAGAAGCCAGTCTTCCAGTGCTCCATTTTGCTAAGTTACGCATTCTCGAGGGTGGCGCTTCCAGCAATGATCACTTTCCTGACACTCCGTCCTCGTCACTATCAGTGCCCCTGAGCCTTTTGTTACAGTCATCCCAACCACACTTGACGTAAAGTCTGGAAAGGTAGACTTTCCCAGGTAGCCTTTCCAGGCATTACACCACCTCGCTGTTCAAATGTCTTAAGCATTGCGCGAGCTCACCATCCCATCTCCATCGAACCAGTGCCCCTGTTTCCTCTCCCCCATGCGCGTGTTCCCCGGACCCAATCTGTAGTATGTCCCCCGGAGATCATCCGGTATTCTCCCCTTCACATGGCTAGAGTCCACAGTGAAACTGCGCTCTGTGCTGGGTTCGAGGACTCCCTTCCAAGGCTGAGTCCGCACTGCAAGAGGATATTCACATCTCTGAACCTGACATCCTCCAACAAGGACACTGCAAGAGAGAATCTAGTACTTCTGAACATGGTATTTCTCCAAGAATGACTCTGTAAGGAACACACACGTATATGGGAACATGTGATCTCAACAAGGCTCTCCCAGAGCTGCTTTCTCCGATCTCTTCCGGAGCTGCTTTCTCCGAGTTTTCCCGAAAACTGGAGACGTAAAGTAGCAATGATTGCAAGCTGGAACGGGGTTCATCCCAAGGGTTTATGGTTTGAGCCTGACTCTCTCTAGAGTGGATCACAATGAAGAAGCAATGTTCTTGAGTAGTTGCTCAATCCTTCCCTTGATGCAGCATGACTGATTGCAAAACCACAACTCCCGAACAAAACTTGAGATTTCAATGGACAAGGCTCATTTTAAGTTCTGAAGGTGAGAGCAAAGATGTCACTAATGCAGCTACCCACACCACCCCGCAGCAGAGTTCTGATGCAAACCCATTTCCTTGCATCAATCCAACGCTCACCTGCTTCTTTGACGTACTCCGGAACGTCAGCATCTAACAGCGGCGACCTGACTTGCGCAGGCTTTGCTCTGTCTTTCTTGTCTGGCGGCGCGTCTGCAATAGAAGCTCTCACAGACAAAGCACCCGGGTTCGCATGCTTGCGCCAACTAGAAGTTAATGCATGCCTCCTCAGCTTCCGAGGATTGGCCGCAAAAGTCCGATTGGTGCTACCAGTGAGGAAGCTTGGGAGTGCGGTGAGTGGTTGCTGGGACACCATTCGCCGCGAAAAGCAAGCTCTCCTCAGATGAGTGCATGTTTCGTTTGGGCATGCGTTAGAATTGCGGACAGATTGAAGAGAACCCAGCAGAGGGGAGCTTGCGGAGGGCGGCGAGCTGAGAGACAACGCCATGGTGACGCCTTTCAATGCTTGTCAGCCGATTTTTCAGCAACCACCGTTCCTCTCTGCGTTGCAGAAGCTGCAAACCATGCACAATGGAATAGGTACCTAGGATACATTGCAGGAAAGGCGAGCAGCTCCGAGTTTATGCTTGTGTGGGTCCACGACTGCAAGAATACCAGGCATGTAGTCTTACCCTACTTTTCTGCAGCCGTAGGATGCTTCAGAGCACCCTTTATAGCCTTACTAAAGCCGTCCGATGGCTGTTTGGCGTCGGCGATCATTCCTGGAATCTGGCAGATCCCGCATGTAGCGCGGCACATTTCTCGGGACTCAGTTTTGTATCGCGCTCTTCCTTGAATTAGAAGACGGTTGTAAACTTGACGCCCTCGTGTACGCTTCCTTTCAAGTACCTAGATACAAAGCCCCCCGCAGTACCGGGTACCTACGTAAGTATACCTAGATACAGTGTTATGTACCGTCGGCACAGGATGCGAGGCTCCAGCTTCACAAAAAATGGTCACAGTGCATATTTTCAGTACCTTGCTCTGCTGTATCTTGCTTCAGACTCCTGTACTAGGGTAGCTGTACTACTCCTGTACTAGGCAATTCGACTTGACTTGACTTTGGAACGGCGGTGAAAGGACCAGACGCGTTCATCCAACGTTTAAAACGTTGACCGCTCATCCATATGCATTGCGGATCAGTGATTGAGTCGAACAAACTGCAGATTGGATCATGACATCGGCAATCACGTAAGAAATGCTTGGCAGCTTGGGATTGAATCAAGTTCTCTTAGAGCCACTCTAGCATTCACCATTTTGTGAAGCCTTCAGTCTGGTTTCGTACAGCAGCAAGCAGCAGCCAGCTTGGGCAGAAGCGCAGCCAAATTGAGTAGAATTTGCAGCAGCATTGCCAGCATTTTCCACGGTCGCCAGGTGACAGCTTCACCGGAGGCGTCTATCTTCTTGGAGAGGACGGCATTGCGCTTGGTCACTTGCTGAATCGACGTTGCAAATAGCATTGCATACATCTTAGGACGTTCGCCAAGAGGCGAAGATGGCGCAAACAAGCAGCGTTCTCATGCTGCTTGGCATTGTGGCGTTGTTTGGGGCAGCACATGCGCAGGTTCTAACGTACCCCGATGATGGTGAGGAGGCTTTGAAATGAATTGTATGCATGCACTTGTACGAAAAGTTCTTCGTGCTCTCCATAGATGCACTGAAGAAGGTCACATCGTGCTTAGACTTAGAGACCCCATTGATCACAGTGGAATGATCAACCTCGTGGGTTTTGTGGAATCCTTTCTGCATCTCATCTCAGATTTATGAAAAATTCGTTCAAAGGGTTCAGGTCTAGGTGAGCTTATCCAAGGTGTGCAGATGGAGGGAACGTGTTAGGTGCACCTGACCCTAGATCTGATTCTATAAAGGCTCACAATGTCTTTTCAGCACGTAGGAAAATCCTAACAAGCGAGCCAACTGCAATACTGCAATGGAAAGACAGCTTGTCAGTTCTGGAAAGGCCCTTGAAGTAGCGTACGTCCTGTTTACTTTTGACTCTTCAACAGATATACATAACTCAACTTTTGAATCTAGCATCTGGATCTGTGAAGGAAGAGGCCTTGATCAGTAGTAACTTCAGCAGAAAGGCCATCGATAGGACAAAGTTTCACTGGCAAGCAAAGCCAACAGCCGCAGGATGTTTTTGCAATCGCTTCCATCGTTTAGCAAATATGCATCTGGAGTATTAAGATCAGAGTCAAGAGAGGAATGGACCAGGTTGTTTGAAAAAAGGACTTGCTCTCACCATGATTGACTGCATCTCTGGCCTTTTCGGATTGCAGTATCTGCTCTCATGAGCATAAAGCAGGCCATTGGAAACAATGACAATGGAGCATTTGCCACCTGGGGGATTGGCGACCCGTGCAACAATCAATGGCAATATTTAGTGTGCGCAGCCACCCTTTCGTTGCCTGTGGCAAAGGACAGCCAACTCATGAGCAACTACAAGGTCGTCACAAGTCTGTAAGTATCACTATCTTAGATATGCTTAAAAGACCGTGATGCATGGCCTGTCTTGCATGTCTGCTTCCAGATGATATTTCATTCTGATATGGCTGCGGTGATTGCGACACCTTTGAGGACAGAGCTTCAGTGCGCATATTTCACCGTTGCTCTTACACTGTGCTCTCTTCCTTGCAGGAACCTGAACGGGCGTGGTATTTCGGCTACATTGCCAGCTGCTGTAGCCTCTCTGACAAATCTCGTGACGCTGTAAGCATTCTCTGCTGCAATACCTGCTTCTTCAGGACTTTCAGATCTATACTCATGAAGAGGTGATCCTTGAAAGTGTATTGGTATGGCCAGTAGCCAACGCGGAAACTGCATCAGAACTGCATGGTTGATAAGCTGCTCAGTGAACATATGGTACAGATATTGCGAACCGTTGCATGTTAAAACAGAAGCAAATTCAAGAAATAGCACAGCAAGCAACTTTTTCTTACCTTGATGAGCGGAAGGATTTACATGCAGCTGCCTAGCAGCAAGTCTGCTGGCAAGGTGGCAATACGATTCAAGCGATGAGTGCTGACATGAGACTCGGTGATCTTTCAGGGGACTCAGCAATAACAAGTTCGGTGGAGACCTGACCAGCTACGACTTCAGCGGCCTCGTCAAGCTGCAGAGCCTGTAAGCCTTCGGACTTAGCAATGTCTTTTTTTCTTCACAGTCTTAGCATGGGTAGCGATATCATTCCTGAGGACGTCCTGTGATCGACAATATGGCCTTTCGTTTGAGGATGGGTGTGAAACGACATCAACAGCATAACAGAGTATCTTAGCTTCAGAGTTTCTTGCAGGACTGCACCACATAGAAGCCTGTTTTCTTTCACTTAGCTGCCCGGCTGTTTACATGTCGTTGGTCTTCTTTGCAGGGCTTTGGACATCAATGCTTTCAGCGGCACTGTGCCGAAGTCTTTGGCTTCCTTGTCAGCCACTCTGACGGAGCTTAACGTGGCCAACAACCAGTTCAGTGGCGTCGCTCAAGAGCTGAAGGCTCTGAAGAAGCTCAAAGTCCTGTAAGCCCCCCCGTTCTTGATTCTAGTCTCCGCTGACGGCTTCGAGCTTCTCATTTTCCTTGCATGCATGGGATAAATACTCCTTTCTGACGTGCAAAGTGGCACGAAACTTCAAAGCGGATCGATTTGAGAACAGAATGCAGGACATGGAGTTGTACTGCCTAATCAATGACCGTCGTGAACCATCTGCAGGACCTTGAACAACAACCCTCTCGCCTCAACGATACCTTCCTGGTTGGACGGCACTTTCACCGCTCTGACCGACTTGTGAGTGGGCTCAAATTCCCGTTGTCTGTTTTAAGGTTGAAGCTTCTTGGATATCAGCAAGGCTAGACACGTATCCATCGTCTTTGATACGTCTTATTGACATCTTATCAGTTGGGCTTTTGCATTGGAAAATGCAAAAAGGGGATCAAGACACTGGCAAACACATACTTCCATAGCTGACGGCTCGAACGGCGTTGCAGGTCCATGTCCTTCTGCAAGCTCTACGGAGGAGTGCCAGACTCCATCACGCAGATCCCGAAGCTTCAGAGTCTGTAAGTCCCAGCCTCTGCTCTTTACGCATTCCAATCGTCTTCTTCCGCTTGCAGGATATGTACTAGAACGTTTGGAAAAATACGTATGTAAAGGGATGATAAAAGTAAGTGCTTGTTTCGCTCCTAAAAGCGAGTCTACTGCTTGGTTGCAGGTTGTTGGACAACAACAAGCTGGGAGACAGTGACCTGAATGGGAACGGCTTGACGACCTGTGCGACTCCCACGTCGGCTGACCTCATCGCGTACCCCGGCCATGGAGGGGAGACCTGGTGCATCAATCCCAAGCTTGCTGCTTTGAAGTCTAGCCTGGTGCAGCTGTAAGTTTCTCAGCAAAACTACTAATCCTCCAAAAATGCAAATGATCCTGCATTGGATTCTTCGGAGCTCTTTCATTTCAGCTTGCCAATTGGTGATGCCTGTGTGAAAGCGTATAATTTCTGGGAAGGGTTTAAGGTGCAATGAATCTACCTTTTGAAGATGCTGACAAGAATCCCTTCTCTCTTTATATTCAGGGACCTTTCGACCAACGACTGGAGTGGCAACATCCCGCCTCAGCTCGGGAGCCTAACAAATCTGCAGACTTTGTGAGGTTCCCGCCTGCATGTCCCAAAGCATTATGAATACAGCAATGCTTTTCCCGAGAAGCACTCGCCACGTTATCTCCTCATTGAAGCCACGTTTACCTTCAGCCAGGTGTTGCATGTTCCTCTTTGGTTCGTTATTTTCCGTAGGCTGACGGTGATCTTTCTACGTTGCGAGCGCAGGAAGATCTGGGACAACGAGCTTCAGGGAAACATTCCTGTCGAGCTGGCAAATCTGAAGAACCTGAACACGCTGAACCTCAACAACAACGCTCTAAGTGGATCCATCCCCGTCGAGATTACGACCATGCCTAAGCTCTCCATCTTGTGAGTAGCGGAACACCCGTTCCACACGAGACTCTGAACGATTTGTACGATTTGTGGATTGTTCTATCAAGAATCGAAGAGGCTTTTCTGGGTCTCTGGACACTTCCCTTTGATCCTTTCCTGTTCTGCCACCAGTTGGATCAGCTTCGTGGCACAGCAGTCTGTGGAATCAACGAGTCGCCTCTTCACGTTATTGTTTTCCTGAATCACCGTGCCTGCCTTGTCTGACGCAGCTGGGTCCAGACCAACCGGCTGACCGGCGCCATTCCCCCCGAAATTGGCAACATGGCCGCGCTCACTGACATGTGAGTCATCATTCCTAGCAATCCACGCTTCTTACTTGGCCTGGTGGTTTTCGTATTTCCTCAGACCCTGCAGTGCGATCAAGCGAGGAGGAGCGAATGGCGCTTATGACCCAAGTGCCACTCTTGTATATCACAATCTCTGCCGATCGAGGTCCTGTGAGCAACCTGACTGAGGAAGCTGCCCTTGGTTTGCTTCACACGAGTATATATTCCTTGTACTGCAGACTCCTCAACGTACCCACTCGTTTCTGAGTGAAGCGCACCTTGAACGAGTCAGTTCATGAGCTCTGTGAGAGAATGCCTCTGCGAGCCTGTCGAGGCCGGAACCCACTTCTGACCGAACTTCATCAATCTCTCTCTCTGCAGCGAGCTTCAACTGAACCAGCTGAGCGGCCCCATCCCCCAGTCCATCGCGAACCTGGGTCCCAAGATGAACAAGCTGTGAGTTCGCACGAACGTTCGCTTTTTCCAAGTGCCCTCATGTGCTCCTGTTTGACTTCACCTCTGCTCACCTTCGAACGGCCGATCTCCTTCCCAGGATAACAAAGCTTTGTGGAAAAGATTCGCTGCATTTCCAAGTAAGTCATGGGTAGCTACTACAGACATCCACAGCTTGAAGGGAGCCTTCAGATTCCATTCATCGGCTTCAAGAATGAGACTTGCTGCACTGTAAGGCCGCGCAACCCTGCATTGTTTCGCTAGCGTTGCGGACTTTGGCTACTGCAAGTCACCTGCATCAATTTGCTGTGAAACCCCTTTCAATCACGGTGGCATTGCAAGCATCCCGAAGAGATGAATTGGGAGTAACATTTGCTCTCCTTTCCCAGTCAAATGCAGAACAACCTGCTTTACGGCGCCATTCCCGACTTCAGCAAGTTCACCAACATCGTCCGCCTCGACCTGAACGGCAACTCCTTGGGAGCGACCGACGAGTTCGGCAACCTGAACACGACCAACCCGATCGGCATTCCCGCAACATTGGGAAACCTCACCACGCTCCAGTATCTGGACCTGTCCAACAACAAGCTCGGTGGAGTGCTCCCGGCCCAACTCGGCCAGCTATCCAATCTGGAGTTCTTCGACATCTCCGGCAACAGATTCACCGGCGCGCTGCCCGACTCCCTCGCCAAGCTCAAGAAACTCGAACAGATGTAAGCAACCTATCTTTATATGCTAAGCACTGGAACCCAACAAAGTTCTGTAATCCAATATTCGGAAAAGAGATCAGAGCAGCGGCGGCTAATCTGATCAGGCCGGAATACTTCGCAATGCAATGACGCAGCAGTATGACGAATTGGCTGAAGCTTTTGAATCTAACACATCTAATCTTACGTGGGTGATTAGGATTACCGCTATTGCTTTCAAAAAGTTGAACCACCATTAGGATGCCTCCGCTTCTCCTCATTTTATCTTTGATTGTAAAAGTCCGTGATAACACTTGGATACAGCAAACCCAATCTCAATCTTGAGGTCGCTTCTTTTGATCTGCTTGCCTTATCAAAGAGACCAGGGCTCTCAGCAAACTTCTTCCGCAACTGCTGCAGGTTTGTGCAAGTGAACGACTTCTCCGGCCCTATCCCGGAGTGGATCAAGAACATGACGAGCCTCGAGGACCTATACCTCTCCGAGAATGGTTTCACCGGCTCTCTTCCCCTGGCAATCTTCCAAGCACCTGCACTGAAGTCTGTGTGAGTTGACCAGCATTCTTGAGTACCTGCCTAGAACGACAAGGACATACAACCCTGCTAGAACTCTTGTGATTGGAATGATCAGAACGGGACACTATGTTGGATGGTTCGAACCAAAGACGCCCACAAGATGTGAGTTCTAGGCCTTATCAGTCGTCGAGGGAAAGGGTAAGACGTGATTTTCAAGGTGCAAGGCATGTCCGCCACTGTAACTGAACAGACACAGCATCTAAGAATCAAGAAAGGAAAATGTACGATGTAAAAACCTGACCTCATGTCAACCATTCATTGCAGGACCGTGCACACCAACAAGCTAGAGGGGCCGCTACCCACAAATTGCAACGGCTCAACGACGCTGGCGCAGCTGTAAGTATATCATTCACTCGTACAAAGCTCTTCCTTGACAACTTCTGCCTTACTGTCTCCAGAGTCTTAGACTTCCCTTGCGGACTTCACTTTCGTTTCAGCGCAGCGTGCGCGAACCTATGGCTTCGGTGAATCTTGAAAGAGAGGGATCGTAAGCAGAGGCATGGGACTCATCTCTGAGACCCGAGTTTACAAAACTTGTAGCGAAAAATCATGGAGATGAGCCCCGACAGAAAAGATACGTCAGGTGCAGGGACGCCACCTGTCGCCGTCGGAAGCATTCAGCAGCCCAATGATTGAGCACTGGAGTACCTTGCGCAAATTCCGTCGAATGAGACACATAAACCAACTTCTCGCACGTCCAAACTTGGATGAGTGAAAGAGTTGAATCAACCTTGGTGCAGAGACTTCTCCGACAACGCGTTCACGGGTCCCTTCCCTTTGTGCCTGACCACCCTCGAACTGACCTTCCTCAACCTCGAGAACAACGAGCTGACGGGGACGCTGCCCGACGCGCTTGGCAACTGGACTTCCATCCAACTGCTGTCAGTAATCCGACCTCCTTGCACCATCTAAAAACATCATGCTCTTCGGGAGTAAAACACTCAGGGATAAAAACGATGGTTATGCCTGCAATCTGATCAAAAGAGTGGTTTGCGGCTTGAGGCACTATCTTTGCGCTAGGCTGGTTCTCAAGGCTTTTGCAAGTTTTCAACGTCTGGTGCCGAATTTCTTGCAGGCTGCCACGCGATGTGCGCAGCTTATATTTTTCAATCGACCGCAAGCTCCACCGCCATCTTGCCATCGCTTTTGTGACTAAGCAGTCTACTATTCTCTTTCAGCGGCTTGGGTTACAACAAATTCACTGGGGCTGTGCCCGCTGCCCTGTGCAATCTCCTGGACACCCTGATCGCGCTCGACATCTCCAACAATCAGCTTGCTGGTACGTAACTCGTTTTCTCATTGGATCTTGAAAAGGATTCTTGTCAGCCGAGACCAGCTTTCTAGCTACTTCAAAACCCCATCGAGGCAGGTGGGGACCTGAAGGGTAGACAGAATCTTGAATTATTATACGCTCGTTGTCCCGTTCATGAGCAGGCGAGTATCGGCGAGAGTTTTCAATGTTCTATTGTTTCCAGCGTGTCCTTGAGAAGATCCGAAGGTGCTAAATACAGACTGCCTCGAAAGTAGCTTTTCTGCAACTATTTCCTCCTTCCTGCAGGCAACATCTCGAGCTGTTTGATCGATCACGCCGTTGAGCATGCGGATGACTTCTTCTTCTGGTGAGTGCCTGCACCATCGTCAATTACTGCAAAAAGCCAAGCAGACTTCCTCTGTTTGTCAGATTCCGCACCCCTGTCCAATTGACTTCTTGATGCATGCTAGGCTCTGAACCGATGTGGTTAGATCCGAGTGTTAAAAAGCGCCCCCTTCCCGGACGCAGGTACGATGGCAACTCATTCAGCTGCGAGAACCTAGATTCGTGCCCCGACTCTGACACCCCAGACGACAACCCGTTCTCGGGTAACAGCACCTTCGGAAAGAGCCCTCCCCCAATGCCCAGCACCCCTCGCTCTCCCCCGCCCCCACCCTCCGTCCTGACCCCTCCTCCCCCCCCGAAGAAGGCCGGCGCTAGCCACACCTTCCCTGCTGTTGTAACCATGGTTGTTTTAGCCGCAGCTGGCACATTTGCCTCTGTTTTCTAGATATCAGACGAGGGAAGCTTCACATCTTGCTTATAGCATAGGGATAGGCCAACTGGAGATGTTCTGATCACGTAGTCGCACGCACTGAGGATAGGGGAAATCGTTGCAGGCAAGCTCACTTGAACGTTGATATTTGATGTGCTAAGCCTGATAGAAAATGAAGGTGTATTGCACCCGAGTAGGTCGTATGAGACTAAGAAAGATCACGCGTTAGCACATTCTGAGATGATGGCAGACGCTAGCAATTTGATCACTGCGCTTATCTTGCATGCACTGCAGCTGAGAGTCAGGATATAGAGCATTCTGCACGGCACGCATGGTATGGCAGCCACGACTATGACTACGTGAAGTGTTCAGCTCAATGGCACGTCTTCGTGAGCTTCTTCAGGCCGATGTGATGACAATCATTGCGCAGTTGCATCACACGCAGTGCACAATTGAGGATCTTCAGAGCAAATTCGATTTGAGTTACTCAATCTTCCTTACGTAGCCCATCAATGTGGTCCAGGTCAATATAAGTAAGAGTATATGCATAGAAACGCGCAGCCAATCCCGGAAAGGACAGGTTCCATATCCCCTGTCATTAGATGAAAGTGACATGTGCAGACCCTGGCAGATAGAATGTTCCTAGTTCCACTTCCTCATCATCATGAGGATAGGCCAAGAGCCTTGTGTGTCTGACAGCACTGAATGGCACTACGGTGTTGTCTAGAGCTAATCCTTTGCCAGTGCGGATCGGATCGCATAATATTCTGCAAATGGGGATCCACGTGATCGTCGGAGCGATTTGCACGAAAGTAAGAAGCAGGCAAACCATAACTAACAGCATCACAAGTGTTCGGCGGCCATACCAAAGTGGAACGTCCGGTGTCCGTCAACCGTTTTTATTATACATGACTGAGAATTTTTCTGCCCGATCAGCAACTTATCCAAACCTTCTATGTCTTATCAACGTAAGAGCAAATGCGCTAAGCTGCTGAATTCAAGCCGCCACTAGCGAGCAAATTCAAGCAGTAAGCTCTCTTTACGTGGAACACAACTCTAAGTTACGCGACGTGTCCCCTTGCAGTCACAATGAGGTGCCACAGTCAATCAAGTGCTCTAGGTTCATCAAGCGCTATAAGGAAGACACTTTATCAGCTCCTAATTATTTGCCTCCAAGCTGCAAACCTAAGGTTAGCCTAGCCGTAGGCTTCGGCAGCCGCCGAATCTACTGTAGCACAATTGGAAAAGCAAAGCACACCCTTCGAAGCTCAGCGCATCTAATCAAGCAGAAGAAGTCGATCAAACAAATTCATCCTGATAGTTTCCGGATTCTATTGTGGTCGGCTCTGAACCCAGCTCAATCTGGTACGTATTGTAGCTGATCATTGCGGGTCGTAGCATTACAGATGGAGTGGTTGGGTCATTCCGCCGGGCGAGACTCCAGTCACCCGGAAAAGGCACCTCTACCCCGGTTCAAGTCTTCCCGGGCGGCCCACGTGCCGTGCAGACCGTACGCCATGTTGTGGCGGCACCTCAACCGGGCGACGGGTCCTTTCGTTATGTCCTGCAAAGTCGGATCAGCCAGCTGCCGTTTTTACAAAACTTCAAAACGCCGAAATCATATTGTAGGCCGGTTACTGGCCCTGCTCATCAGAATTCGCTCACTACGTTATCAAAGGTAGACGGCAAAATTGGTCGACGTACTTTCCAAGAAACTTTTTCTCCATTTCCGCTTTGGAAGCGCAGCAGTGAAGCACTGAAAAACATAAAACAAGTTGGACGTCAGGTAAAGGGAGGGAACCATTTGACTTGCGAAACGCAACGCAACTACGAGATTGGTAGCATCGGCGTATAATTCCATCAAAGGCGCTCAAATTAACGGACTGCCTTACCTTGGCGTCAAACACAGCAAGGTCCGTCGTCAACGATCTAGTATCGTATAGTAGAATGAGCACCCAGCCCGCATCTTCTTCAAACGGCGCGCCCACTCTTTGCCCGCCACGTGGCACGAAGACGGGCTCCCCCACATACACGGTCGGCGACTCCCCCCAGATTTGCGGGGGGGTCTTCCCGCTGGTGTCGACCTTTCTGAGCGCGTCGAAAAGCGCGCCCCCTTCCGGAACCTGTGGGCGGACAACTAGAATGAGCACTTTGGGAAACGATGCAAGAGACCCGTAAAGCTCCGTGACGTCTCCGTGACGTCTCCGTGACGTGGGCAGCAGGTTGGAAGAAGCTGAACCAGCTTCAGCAAGTTGCATAGAAAGTACGGTTCAAAGCCTGGGAGCGGTAACCCAATTACAACTTTTCCACCCGTACGATGGGCAAGAAGCTAATACATTCGCACGCCTGCTGTCCTTTCAAGGCCCGCACTAAGCTGCTCTAAAGATCAGTCTTAGGTTTTTTTGGGTTCCTTGAGAGCTTTGTTGCAAGCTCTGAAAGCCTGAAAACCGTTCAGCCGGCAATTCTGCCGCAAGCCAATCAAAACCCGAACCGTCAACCGGGGGTTTGCATCCGATGTCCTTAGGCAAAATGAAGAGGCGCTTACCTGACATGACGCGGTGTAAATGAACCGAGCACTGTAGCCAACCCGCTCCGGGTGGATCGCGGCAAACTCGCCGTTCCGCTTGTCGAGCGTTTCGATCGTCGTCTGCTTGGTATTTAGGTCTAGCCGCAACCGGACCACATTCGACGCCGGCAGAAACTCAAGAGGGGGATAAGCGGCGGAGTCGGCCGACGTAGTCCGCAAGTACTGCATCGGGATCCTCTGCGAGGGGAGGAAATCCTGCCCACGTCACCGTGACGTCATGAGAAGCCGAATCGGTTGACAAAAGATCGTACGAGAACAGGTTTGAATTGGGGGCGCTGGCTGCTTTGCAAGAATGATGCATAGAGATCCGCCGCGCGCGCCATTGAACGGTTCGGCTTCAGCGTTTCGTACGGCATTTTGTGACGTCAGGAAAGCGGGGCATACCTCGACTCACCAAGGTCAGATACTCTGATCGAAACAAACTGCATGGTTCGAATGCAAGGAGCTACCCCTCCAGCTTGTGCCTCGTACACTTTTTGCCCGCGCAAGACGACCTGTGTGACTTCAGAAGTGATTTATTCCTGGAGACCTTACCACGACCTGTGTGAAGTCAGAAGTGACGTCATCTCGGTAAATCTCACCCAAGACCTCTGTTTCGTCCGAAGTGACGTCAACGCTCGAGAGCTCACCATGTATTTGAGCGTGTCCAGCACCACGTTCCCCAGCCCGTCCTCGAACGCGTTCGCGTGGTGCAGCGCGGAAAGCGGCGCCGTTTTGAACGTTTGGGGGGGCGCCGTCGGGTGATGCCGCGAGACCAGCATGATCTCCCCCCCCGCCGTGTTGCTAAATTTGACCGCGCCCGCAATGCCAGCTTTCGGGTCGAGTATGAATCTGTGATAAGACTGAAAGATCTAAGGAGGTTGACGTGCAGTAAGGGCGCCGAGTTTGAAGAGGGCGCCGAATAAGAGTGCGCTGAGAATGATTTCACGAGTCTTCGGAAAGCCTAGGGGTATGAGCAAAGCGACTGGTCAAAGAGGAGAATGGAAAGACTCCTTGACCGCGGAAACGCTTCCTGACCAGAGGAGATCATCCGGATCGTATACTTCTTCTCCCAAAAATCAGCCCTCATTTCGGCTTCTTCCTCTCCACGCCTCTCACGCCTGACGCTAAATCCCTCTGATCCTCAAAGCCTGAACGCCTCTAGTATTCCAGCGTTTTCAAACCCACTGTACGGAACCCACACTTGCGCCACTCACTTCGGCAGGTCCATCTTCCCGGGGGTGTACAGGAAAACGTAGTAGTTGGGCGTGATGCAGAAGTCGTGCAGCAGTGTGAATGGGGCCCACACGGAGCGCGTGAACACCAGCCGCCAGTCGGCGTCCCACTCATAGCACGTCACGCGCATTCGGTCGTGCAAAGCGTGAGGGAAGGTGGTTGCGCCAAAGCTGACGAACCTGTGGGGCCGATACGTCACAATTTGAGCGATACAGCCGTAAACAGTTCAGAAGGCACAAAATAGATATGGTTGACCTAAAGCGCTTATAGATTGATGACTCTCTGTTTTATTCGATTGAGATGTTTTTTCAAAATGCTGTTAGAAATTTTCATTGAAGGTCTCGATCCGCTTGCAGCTTATCCCCGTCTGCTGGAAGCTTAAGCAAAGATGAATCGGAGGCTAGAGAATACAAAAACTTGTCTAGATTCCGATGTAATAATAAATGTAGCGAATCAACTGATTCGTTTTCGCAGTCAAAAGGTGGAGAGAACGCACTCATCCGGGCACCGAACGATCCGCGAAGCGAAGCCAAAAGAGACACCTGCCAGCTCATGAACGGTCCCCAAGGCAAGAATGTGAAAAATTTGGCAGGGTTTTTCCTTGACCGAGGAACGTCAAAACAAACTTGCAAACACAGGGACGGAGTTCCCACCTTTTCTTCACCGGATCGATCCGTGGGTGCGCCGCAAACGCGGGCTGGAACGGCGGGTCCACCCATCTCAACACGGGGTACATCACACTGGTTAGCGCGCCGTTAAGGTCGGTTACTCCCCGGGTTTCGAGGGTTTCGGGGTCTAACTCGTGTGGTAACCCCGCCTCCCAGAGCGCGAGCAGCCGACCGCCCCAGAACACTACGTTGGTCTGCAAGTGAAAGATTAGAGATGTCAACTTGTGTAGCTTGAGAGCTTACGTTTGTTCTCCTCTAACTCCACGGTTTGAAGTGGAGTTCCGGCAGACTTTGCTTTCGAAAGGAACGAAGGTTTCTTTTGCTAGGTCGATTCTACCATTTCCGTCCACGCTAGCTTTCGTAGACTGCTCAAGAACGGAGTAACCCCTCTACTTTGCCTGCGCGCCCCGGTAGAAAGTTAACATTTTTGCACCCTACTTGTTTTCATCATAACGTTTACCTTCCATGCGCGTCCAGAAGAAAGAAGAGATGGTCTACCTTCATCCGCGCAGACTTGTGACGACGCTTCACTTGATATAACTCACGTTGGCGGCGTTCTTCACACGCAGGTCCAGCAGATTTGCCAAATACCCCCCGTCTTTCACAGTGCCAAATGCCCCCCTGGAGCTCGACTTCCCGGTCGCCTTCTCCCGCTCGAATGCGGACGTGCGCACGACCCGTTTCCGCAGGTACACTTTACCTCGGGAGAAGGAAAACGCGGCGATACAGCCGTCCCCGTCTACCGGGTTGTTCAGGGGCCAACCGCCCACTCCTTTCAAGGAGGCGGGGCCCTGCAGCGAAAAGGTTAAAGAATTCTGGTCTGGTCCTCACAAGGCCCTCAACCAACATGTTAATTTACCTTGACATATTCCATATCTTATTCTTGTCGAGCGTGACAGAGAACGAACGCAGAAGATAAGCTTCAATACCTCGGAGAGCCAGACGCCTAAGTCGGATTCGCAGCTCTTATCAAGAGGCGCGGTTGTTGAGCAGGGTTCGGCCGGCGCTACTACGGAGAGTGTCGAGATCATTTCGCTGAAGCGATCGGTAGACAGATCTTTCCGTAGGTAGACAGATCTTTCCCTAGTTTTGAATTCGCTCTCTCCGACAAACTGGATGATTTGAGGTGCGGATATCTCGAACGTACGTTTCTGTACAGGACGCCGTCCAGATCGGTCGGCACGTGCCCCTCGACGACCTCCATAGCGTATGCCTCGTCCTCATACGCGGCCGCGTCCAGGAGCTGGAGCGAGACCAAAGCGCCCAGAGTATACACCTGCAAGCGTCAAGAACGCTCAGAAATGGCGACATACAAGGGCGACATACAAGCGTGTCCGCTGCTTTGGAAGTCGCCAGAGCAGGACCTCCAGATCCGTATAGAAGAAAACAAACTGGGTCCTCTTCTTTGAGCGAGATGTGCGAAGGATGCCGCCCGAACGAGCCTAAGTTTTCAGAATTCGAAAAAGGAGTGTTCAGAGAGAGTCTCAAGCTGGCCTGTCCACAGAAAGGTGTTAAGTGCTGTTCCAAACAGGGGTTGGATACATCCAGAGAAGAGAAACTCTGTACGATTGCGCAAAGTTTTCAAGCCGACGCCGCCCGCTTAATCTAGGGCAGCTTCCTAAAGACGCTGTCTTTCGGAGACCCAACTGGTGTGGGAAAGGACATGATCTCGAGCAGATTTGAGATTTGAGATTTCGGACGGGAAGATGACGGGCGTTCGCTCGCCTGGTTAGCGTCCGCCGCAGTCCGGTATCCCTTGACGGAATTCTGGATGATACCGGACGTCGCCTGACTTTGCAGCATCCGCAGGAACGAGAGCCGGTCCAGTGACACGCACTGGACGGGGCCGTGGCAGAGCGCGCTCGCGGCGCGCCGCTCGCTTTTCACGATGGAACGCTCCCCAAAGAAGCCGCCTGCGCAAGAGACGTACTAAAACGAGGTTCGATGGCAAAAGCTCACAGAAGGGGCGATGATAGTTCAGCAACTCAGGAGCTCGCCGCGCACGATGGACTGCCTCTCCAAAGAAACCCCCTGCCCAAGGAATTTGGGAACAAGGTCGTTTCAGAGGGTTGAGCGGAGATCATGGTCGCGAGCTTCGATTCTTTCAATGCATCTACAGAAGAAGCTCATCAGCTGGCTGTTCGCTCTTCACGATGAAGCGCTATCCAACGAGATTCCATAAGCGAATTGTGTCGTAAGTCAGGGGTTCAGAATTCCGAATGGGGTTTCAAAGCAGACGGTCTGGCGGCTCCGGAGCTCGCCGCTCGCTCTCAAAATGGAAGATGACCCTTTTCCAATCTTGATACAGCGGACTTCCCCTAACGTGGGCGGTAAATCAGGATTTTAGATGGCTTTTAAGCAAACACTGCGGGCTTCGAAGTTGAGCTTTCTGGCTTGGCACAGTCGAGCGCCTCGAGAAAAACTCGTCGGGTGACTCCCAGAGATTCAAACGTTTTTCTAAACTGCCCTACTTTCTTAAGGCAGATCTTAGGAGAAAGGCTGCTCCCTGAACGTGTGTGTGCTATTTACGAGAGCACGCGGAAGAGACGGAGCCACGTCAGAGAAAACGGCGATGAGACCCACCTGGTTTGATGACCGCCACTTGCACCGGCTGCTTGCTGTCAAATGACTTCACGATGACGACCTCCCCCTGCAAAGACAAACGTGCTGACGTGAAAAACCGTCCTCAGACTCCGTTTTTAACACGTCTGCAAACGGAAAGGTTCCTGGTTTCCTGCAGATTTGTGAGCAGCACGCGGTTAACCCTTGGTTAAGATGGGTTCATTTTCGTAAATATGTCGTGTACAGACGTACCACGGTACGCGCCCCTTCCTGTCCTTCCTAACGACGTACTTTAATGCAGGCGGTTAACCCTTGGTTAAGAGTGGGTTTACCTCGGTAACTATGTACATGCGCGCGCCGTCCTCTCCTTCCTGAATGATGAGCTCGTTGTCTTGGAACTGCTGCTCCTTCAACGCGTCGCACAGCTTCAGTCGGTCGTACGGTTCCATGTCCTCTGGCAGGCCAGAAAAATGTGGCTTCTGATTCGTCTGATTTAGGGTTGGGCTACTAAAGCTCGGGATTCAGGGTCTTACAAATTGGTGCTCCCGTACGCGTAACAGCTTGAGCAGATTGTAAGGTTCCCTGTTAGGCTACTAAAGACGGGACTGAAGGTTCAATAGCGCTGCTTCATGTGGAATCTATGTTTCGCCTTCAATCGCAGAGCGTTTTCGAGACAGCCGCTGTCAATTTTTAACTGTGTGTTCGTCCAGAAAAGAACAGAGTATCACAAATTTCTCCATACTCCTCTCGAAATTGCATTCACTGAGGACAGACCTCGTGGCGGTTCGGAGCATTCATAAGCTGCAGCACATCATATGCTATCGCCAGGCCTAAGACACGTGGCTCACTCAAAAGGGGCACGGACGCCAGAAACGCGCCGTACTTCGCGCGCTTGTCCGCGTTCTGCTCCTTGATGTGCTTCGCGTAGTCGGCTTCCCGCAAGACGTACACTGTGACGTCATCGGCGGCCTGCCGGAAGCGCGCGGAATCAAAGCCAAAAAGCATTACAGGCATATGACAAGGGTAGGCGCCGTTCGGGCCCCATTAAGCGAACTCAAAACGTCCACTTGACTCTTCAGTATTGTTGGCGCATGTCTTTCTCCTAGGCGCGAGTTCATGTTCAATTGGTGGATTGGGAAGAAAAGCTAAATGTAACGCCAGGCCCGTTGGCTACCTCGTATTTTAGTCGTCTCGTGAAGGCCCGGGGCGCCTGTGAATAAAGAAGAACTCGCGCAACGAACGTAAGCGTAAGGCCAAGCTCTTAGCGCAGTCCGTACATTACATGAATGGAGCGTTTCTGTGCGGAGCGTAAGCTCTTCGGCAAATTTCGGCGGCAGTGCTGAAAGGGAACTCTGAACATAATGCCCAGCTTGGCGTAGGTCTTGTGCGTTTCCTGTATGGTGACGGCCCGGACTGGCTGGATGTGGAGCGCGAGCTCGCCGGAAGCCCTCAGCGGCAGTACCAAAGAGAAATCCGAATGTAACGCAAAGCTGGGCAAGAGCTTGAGCGTTACTTGTATGGTGACGGCCCGGGGCGCCTGCGTGTGAAGCGCGAGCTCGCCAAAGTAGTCCGGGGCGCGCATCCCCCCGATCCGTTGGCCGTCCTTGATTACGGACACGGAGCCCGCCGCGAGGGCGAAGAACTCCGTTCCGATCTCGCCTGCGAAAGGGGGCGACGGATTGGCGTTCAGAAGTGAATCGAGTTGGAGCTACAGAAGAGGCTTCCGACTTCTGTCTTGAAAACGCAGTTGGTCCTTGGTTTTCTTGCAGAACATATTCGAGCCTTTGTGACGAGACGGCTGCTTAAGCGGTCCAAGTCGGTCGCTTGCTCTCTCGCATCATATGCAAACAACTCTCCGGCTGTGCAGACAGGGCTTCAAAAGGTTTTGAGTGTGCTTTTGCTGCCGCAAATCCGTTCTAGTCGGACCAGAGTCTCCGGTTTGCTGGACTCCTCAGCAACTCCGCGACAAAGCTTAGAGCGTTTCGAACGAGCCTTACCCTGGTTGACCAGCGTTTCCCCCCGCTTATAAACCCGCCGGGACATAAGCGGGCGGAGTACCCTGGTACTCTCCTCGTTTCCGGGAAGGCACATTTGGACAGCTGTCGCCGCGGCGCTGACGTCATGTAGCAGACGGTCCAGGGCATCGACGCTGTCGAGGGATCCCCCTGCTTCGTGCAGCGCTTTTTCGGCCTGCGAAACGGTCGCAGGATTGGATAAGGCAGCGAGAAGACGAGGTTTTTCCAGTTTAGAGCGTGGAAGTATGTTTTAGGGGACTGTGACTGATATCAGTAACTGAGAAACTTGCCCGTGTGGAAAGCGAAATGGGAATTTGGACAAGTAGCGGTTCCAGCTTAAGAACAGTCTGAAAGCCGCAGCAAAGGCAGACCTTCGATGGAGGGCACGGGGGAAGGATGAAGCAAGACAGATAAACCTGGACGTTGAAGCAAAGACTTGCTTCGGACGAACAAACTTTTCCATTGGCTTAACAGAGCGATCAGGCATCGGATCGAGTTAACTATTGACACGCGTTGGCAGAGGGTCGAATCAATGGAACTAGATCACAACCCGATTCAAAGCACACTTTCTGATGGTAAAATTGGTTGCGTCGAGTATCACCAATTCTCCAACATCTGAACCGCCGTTAGTCAAAAGGGCTGGAAATCGAGCTGCTTCACGGAACGAAGTGAGCAAATCAACCCTCCCACTCGGCATTGCTGTCTTGTATCTTTGACAGGTATCCTCCGACTCTTTGCCTTTCGAACCTTTTCAACAGATGTGCCCACACAGGCCTGTTCTTGGAATCTTGAGCGCTCATTGCCCTGCAAGGATCTCCATAGTTGGCGTGGTTGGAGTTGGAGCGGCTGACTTTTGAAGATGGCCAACAGAAGGATTTTCTCCAGTCGGAGGGTGCTTCATGAACTCTGACAACCTTCGTCACAAGCAACAGATCCATTCCTTTACCTCTTGCTTCGACCAGCGTTCTCCGATCGCCGCTAGCGCTTGGAGAAGCTGTCCCGAACGAATCAACTTGCCCCCATGATGTGCAAACACTTCAGCGACCTCCTTCCGTTGGTTCTCAGAAAGGAAAGTTCCTTTTGCAATGTGCGTGCATGGACCTGCAGCAACCGATCAGGGCATCTAAGCAGCGAATGTTTGCTACAAATCAAGAAATAAGATGCATCCGCCTCTGTAATAGCATTCGAAAGAGTCTTGCTGAAAGGTTTGGCAACAAGCAGAGTTGCTTGACTGAGTCGCAGGGCTAGGTGGTGGCCCTGGGTTGCAGATACTGGTACTGGATCCAGGCCAGTATGGGCTTTTGCGTCAGTTAAGACTGTTCATCACTTATGGACTGTTGAAAGAACTAGGTGCGGCCTGCAATGCGAAGGTGGCTGAACTGTGAACTGCCAGGCGGGAAGACCAAAGGGAGGAGTATGGCCAATATAGCCTGCTTGAATGCACGGCGAGAACGCAAAACGTCGCTACTTCAACCTATTCATCGAGAGATGCGCCTGACACCTTCCTGAGAACTTTCCGCACATCTCAAGAAGTTTAGGATGAAAGAACCTTACTTTCCAAGGCTAAAGAAAAACAAGGCATGGCCAGTCTAAGCTGACAAAGGAATACACTTTGATTGGAGAGTCACCTTAACAGGAGGGTTTAGATGCTCACCTCGGATGACATCAGCACCGGGTCCCGCTGAGGTCACTTGCGCGGTGCCACCTTCCGCAGCCCAGGTGGGCGCTGGTCGACGCTTGGCTGGGCATTTTGAGCGACGTCCTCTCTGCCGGTAAAGCTGGCGTTTTGCCAAGACCCGTGTATATGTCCCCAATTCATCAGTATCTGGACCTGGGCAGACGACTTGGGTTTCGGTTTGAGCTGTGGCTTTTGATGTGCCAATCTTCCATGATGCCCCCTTTGCTGAGAACGTTGCAAGCTGCGTTCTTCTTGCAATCAAAGGCGCGCATTGCCCTGTTTCCGACAGTGGCTGAGATCTTCTGGTGAAGTTGGATGATCTCCAGTGTATTTCTCTGCTTGCAATGTAATGTGACGCCAGCAAGTCTTGGCGGCAAGCCAAGGACCCTCTTGGTACCAACTGTGCAATTGCCATGGTGACTGATCGCGATGTGCGTCCCCAAGTCAATTGACAGAAAGTCTGCCATGCATCAGGACTAGTAGATCCTGACATTTGAGGTGCATGCCGCTAAGCAGTGATGGCCACCCAAAGGACCACCAGCTAAGACTGCACCCCGGAACTTCACCCCAATTGCTGTAAGCGATGGCGCTATGATGTAAAGTAAAACCCCAGCAAACCGGAGCTTCGAACTTGTCCTTTTTGCGACATTCTCAAACCTCGTCTCTCTGCTCGATCATAGTCTGAGACTGGTTGTTACAGCTGATTACATGATGAGCACCAAAGAAGAAAAGAAAACGATTGATCCGCTTGCTGCATTCACCATTTTTCAGGAAGCGCTTTGGGAGCACTTTCGATGTGCAAGTTGCTTGCCTAAAAAGGACCAACTCAGCCAACAGGAAGCGCTCGAATTGGATGACTTTCTCATCAGAGCTGGCTTGAGAAGAGAGCCAAGTTGGTTTTGAGAAGATGCAAAGGAGTCGCGCGGCCAATCACAACTTTTCTCCGTACTCCTTTAACTCCTTGCTTAGCTCCTTCCGGCCGCCCGGTCATTTCGGAACTGTCCAGTGACCGGGACTCGGGAGCATAGAACGAGTAACTGTGCTGAATCTGCTAATTGCTTAATCCTTCAAGACTCCTTCTGAGCATGGCTTTCAGCACCGTCCGATGAAGTCCAACGGCCAAGATCCTGTCTCTGTTCAACTGCTGTACGGCGCTCGGTTACTCAACAGCACACACCCACCCCGGGTCAGCCTACCGCCCACCGCTTATGTAGGTGTCGTGGAATATGGAATGAGTATACCGTTCCAGCAGCAAACGGTTGCTGTGATTTCAGTTGTATTAGGTGGATTGCAATTTGCAGCGGATTTGCTTTAACTTATCCAACAGCATTTTTGCTAGCACCACTGCCCTTATATACGTGTGAGTCCGAAAACATCGGTCAAATCTGCGGGATGCTGAGGTGGAAGCCCTTCATACCGGTAGGTTCTGTGCCGCATGCATCATTTGACGGCATCGGTCAACCGCAGATTGTACGGAGAGGATTTGAAGTACCTGTGCGGGCGCCCGGCGGGCGGCCGCCCGCCGCGCTGCAGTCTGCTCTGAGCGAGCGACTGGCCAACTTATCAACTGGCAAGCTCTCATCATTGCAGGTTTACAGGGCTGTGTTGGACAGATACTTAGCTGCTGCAGATTAAAGATGTAGCTACTACGGTAGGTGTATTTGATTGGTTGGCGCCTGATTCAGACTTGTAGATCTTTCCAGCTTGCACTTTGCTTAGCACCAAAGGCAATGGCAGATGGAAAACGTACCTCTTTCCCAACTTCAGAAGGTTCTCCCGCTTGCATTGCACTGAACACTCCAAGCCCCTGAACTAAACTGCCCAGCCAAATCTGTTCATAACCTGGGACACAGAAGTTCTGCTTCTTTGGAGGGATCACCGGGCCTCCTGCCTCAGGTAAGTAGGTCTAAAGCAATCAGCACTCAATGGCATCCTGTTCGATGACAGTTGCATGTAAAACTAGAGCTCAAGAATTCTTATGCCGGCTGGCAGCTGAAATAGTAACCTGGTGTTTCAAATAGGCGATTCAATGAAAGCAGCGGAGACAGCCTTGCAAAATGTCCGGTGTCAAGCTGGAAATAAATGCTGCTAAATGGAAAACAGCTCAGCCCCAGACGCCCCTTGAGAAAAGGATGACGGGGTGAGGTGCAGGTAGTAGATTACTACATCCTGTTTTCACACAGAAGCATACCACCTTTTCACCAGCCCAAAAGGACAAAGCTGACAACAAGTTATGGACCAATTTTGCCCCTCTGGCTTGACGAGCAGAATGTTTCTCCAATGTGCTCATTGCCCACTCCAGATTGGGCAAAATGATGTTCACTGCAGGCGTAGCTCTTCGAAAATTGTTGCTTTATGTTGCTATGCTTACGTACTTCAGGTACACCAGGTAATAATGGAAATCAGGAGTTCTTGGCCTTTATCTTTTTGGCTTCTGATTTGAGTCCCGCCCCGCTTTTCCATGCAGAGGGTGAAGACCCTACAAGCAACACCTGCCCTTCAAGAGTGCATCATAGGGGAGCACCTTCCAATGTGTCCAAGTTGGAGGAGGGGGGTTGGGCCGGCTACTTACATCACCACAGATAGTCTATGGCCTACTCCCAGATTCTTGTTCTTGCTTTATGGCCGGCCGGCATTGTTGCGTGCTCCGCCTCTATAAGAAGCGGTGTCTGCCGCGAGTGCAGCTCCGGGGGGGGCATCACAGGGAGGGGTTTGGGCCCCCCGTTATGGAGGCCGGTTGGCCCGGGGGGAACAAAGACCAATCTTTGCAGAAGAATTGACAGCACCCGGACATGTTGTGCTGAGGGGAGGAGCTTTTGGAGCCGAAGGGGAGGGCTCAAATCAGGGCGAAACTTCATTGGCGTGCCCCTGCAAGATCAGATGCGCAAGCGGCGGCAAAGACCAGCAGAATGGGCGCGTCGCGGGGGAATGGGCATCTTATATGGGGGGAGCATTCACGTGGATACCGGAGAAGAGAAATACTTCTACGGACAACAAAACTATATCCGTTGCCTTTTGGGTGATAACGGGATGCTATCCACTCACACTATTACCCCTCTATCACAGCAAGCTGGCAGTGCTGGTTATAGTTCTTCTTGTACTTGCTCCTTCCGAATTGGAAATGAGAGGTCCAGTGATCCATTCTTGCCTCAAGCGGCCATCAAGTCGTCGCCCGCTTCACTTCTTCGTGTCCTCTGCACTAGACTTGTCGCTCTCACAAGCACCACTACCAGCGACGTCAGGGGCAATCTGTCAAGCTTCCCAAAGTTCTCACTCCCCTCTTTAGGACTGCATGGCGGCAAACCGGGCTCGTTTTCCGGGTCGGTTGATAGTCAACGGGGCACTTCGGCAGGAGCTTCGACTTTGACCCTGATTCAAATTTGGGCAGGACGAATCCTCTCTTCCATTTTTATGGCCGCCGCATTGGCGGCTGCGGGATTGATAGCACCGCGCGTCGCCCATGCGACGGCGATAGAGCCAACAGTGTCGGCAGCAGCCTGGGAAGTGAGTTCTTCAAATGCTCCTTCTGCTTCTGAGACGCGCATGTTTGGAGGTGAATACGCTGCTGAAAGTGATGACGTAGCAAGGCTTGAGGATTTCAGGGACTTCTGAATGACCGTTTGGTCGGACCCTTGACTAGCTTTTCGGAACGAGGTCCTCACCAGGTCGTGAACCCATTAGTGACTTTGGTCCAAAATCACGCTAACGCAGTCTCCTTGACTCGGCTCCCACAAATCTTTACCCTGTGCTAGCAGCTTATGGCACCAGGATTGAATTGGTGCAAACCTGCGAATGATCAAAGACGTACTTGCGAGGGAAAAGCATTGAATCGCATGCTGCAAAATTGCCTTTTTGATGGGAGCCTTTTCTTTATACCAGAATCTCTCACCAATCAACCGTTGTCCCGCTGTCAAACCCCCACTCCCACCTTAACCCATTCTAGCCCAGCTTAACCCATGTCCGCTTCCTTCCAAGGGACGTCGAACGAAGGCCTCCATCGCCCACCCCGGCCTCACGTCTCTGCATTCCCGACTTGCTCTCGGGGGGGCCGATCTAGTTAGGATGTTGCTCGGGGAAAACGACACCCCCGAGTGCTCTTGGCGGGTCGGGGAGTGGAGTGACGTTGGCACAGCGCAGGGGTTACCGCACAACCGGGTGAACGTGCTGCGAATCGACGGCCAGGAACGGCTCTGGGTTGGCAGGTGAGTTGAACTACCCGCTTCGTCGGTGTCCTCTTCCTTAACAACACGCAGACTTTCCGGCAGCAAGTTGTACATACCCACCTTTTAGGGATGATCCAGCACTCACCGGCAACAACTGTCTGTACTCATTCTATGGAATGATCGTCAGTCAACTCAAACCTTTCCTTGTGGGCGACTTGTGGAACGTGGTCCTCGATATCTATCCACGCCAATCACAGGTGCAGAACAGTGTCTCTCGATGGCTATATTGAGTTTCAAAAGCTAGGGGACAAAAATTCTTCAAAGGAATATGGCTTTGTGGATCATCTAGTTCATACCTGTCCTGCCAGATCAAGCACTCTCGGAGTCCTGGCTTGCAATCACTCCTGGTAATTTACCAGACGTTCCCGTGCCCGTCGAATCTGTGCAGTCGAGACGGAGGGCTGGCCGTCTTCGACGGAAGCTCCAGCGAGGCGTTCCTCCCCGCTTTCAGTCGCGTGAACGATCTCCAGCTCAGGTGAGCAGCTGGATCGCCCGCTATTTTCCGGTCTTCGTGATCCGTCCTACTTGTTCCGTCATTCTGCGGGAGCCTGAACGGACACGCAACTAGAGACGGAATGAGAAGCAAACCTACAAAAGGTTCTCAGGGGCCGTGACTGCTAGCGGCCGTCTCGCCTTCTCTTCTTAAAAGCATAGCGTCGGGCGCCCAAAACTCTTCATTCGATCATATGAGGACGTAACGAGGATCAGCGGAACTGAGAAACGACTTGGAACGCGTGGAACGGGGGAAAAGGGAACGACGATGAAATAGTCCCGAGTATGGATAGAGCCTACATAGAAAAGAATTTGGGCTGCGGATGGAGCACTCCAAACAGCAAAGCAAGAGAGATGGCGACGATTAATACCCTTGGCGCTCCAATGCGTCTGCTACTCAAACAAGCTGTGCGGTTGTCTAAGCTGTCTCCTCTTATACTGAAGCCTTCTTAAATCAGAAGCTTCACATTAATTCCGCCTCTCACAGGTTCGTCCCGCCTCAATCCTGAGGAAATGCTGCAGAAACCATCCGTTGTGCTACGCCATCTCTTTGTCATTCAGGCACCTTATTAAACACTCATCTAAATCGTGCAGATAAATCTGCATGGATGGCTGACGTGCTTAATGAGACCTTCCTGCAGCCCACGTGACCCGGACGCTCTCTGGCTCGCAACGGATCTCGGCGCCGTCAAGGTTTCCAAGAGCTTGCTCTTCGCAAAGAACGCAGACGGCAGCCGAATGTCGCCAATCTTCCAGGTAGGTCTCTCTAGACTCTCCACTCCTAACCGAACGTCCCGGGATACGCAACGGCGCGGCGACCAGATGGCCCTCTTGTCGTGGTCTTAGTCGCCGAATGAGGCCACCACGTGAGCAATTCATTGGCGACACCAAAGCAGGAAGTACTGCACAGGGACCGCCGGGGAAGGGCGCGGTTTCTGACGCCCTTCTTAGGCCCGATTTTTGTCATTCCCAGGAACGCGCGTTTGAAAGATGGCGTAGGCTAAGCTTTCAGATACTTTTGTGCACCAGACCCCTGGGGGGATCAACGGTTATATCCCGTCTTCAAACCTGCCTCGGCCGCCCAATGTGTGTCGTGACTGCTCTTGTCGCCGAAGTTGTGTGTCTTCAACGGCCCGCCGACGCGCTCTTAGTAAGCATTGTCATCATCAACGTCCGCACATCTTCTCGCGTTTTCACTATGTTACAAGCCCTGTCGCCATCGCCTGTGCAGCACTTCACAGTCAACGACGGTCTTCCGTCCAGCAACGTCGAGGCAGTGTCGGTACGTCCGACGGACGGAACGGTCTGGTTCGCCACTGAGGTAAGTAAGCTTTTCTAGGGCTTTCGAGTCTTCCTTGTCCCCTCCACCGTACTGACATGAACGCAAAGCAGATCCGCGACCTGCTGATTTGAGGTGCCTTTGAATATTCTTTGTTTTCAGAGGTTGCGGTACGCTTTTGCCGAGCATCTGGCATAACAGCCGACGGTTCTGAAGCACCCTGAGTTATTGAATATGCAGATTTTGTGTTTCGCTCCACGTCTTGAGTAGGTGGCTGTGGAAAATCCTCAGATAAGGCCTTCGAGAAGCACACGCTATTCTGTACCGTGTGCTCCGAAGAAATTCGACTCGAAATGAAGACAAATTTCATTGACTCGTTTGACCCTTGCAGAAGGGGGTTGCGTGTCACAACCCACTGCTGGGCACGTGGCGGACCTTCTCCTCATCGGACGGCTTACGACCGTCCACGTGTACGGCGATCAAAGCGGACACGGCGGGCAACACGTGGGTGGGGCACAGGAGCGGCTTCTCTTGGTGAGCGCTTTTCCGTTTTCCCTGTCATTTCGAAGCGCAATCTAGTGCGCGCTAGGAATCTGCTACAGAAAGCTCTTCATCTCGTTTCGAGCGCGATCTCCATCGAAAGGGCAGCCCACTCCGGCTAAGACACTGTTTTGCGGCTTGGCCCCCCAACGAGGAGTTTTCTCACGTCCGAGGAATATTTGACAAGACAGGCGCAAAGTCGGCTCTCCGATCGTTTTATTCCCAACTACCGTTCAATGTGTTTGACTTGAAGGAGTCCAATAGAAAGCTTTTTCCAGTGGCGATATACCAGTTCAAGGCATGGTGTCAGGAGGATTCCCCAGAGTCCGTACGTTTTTCTTTTGACATCGTTCTGGGGAGTTGAAAACTGCTAACGAACTTGTTGAGAGGATTGATAGCTCTGCCTTGACTTCACGTCATCAAGGACTGATGATGAGCCAACGCCACGTGGCGCAGGATTGCCGCTGACGGCAGCATACGTCAGTTGGGCGCGTCTCAAGGCATGTCCGACGTCGAGGTTCTGGACTTCGACACCGTAGAAGATTTTCACACCGGCGAAACCACACTCTGGCTCGCCACGAGTTGTGGCGTGGGGCGTATTGACATCGGGGCGGACGCCTTGCCACGTGGCAAGGTGCAGTGGTTTGACATGGGGAAGCGGAGGAGCGAGCGGGTTTTCACACTGACGCGGCACAGGGACGGGGTCCTGTGGGCCGGCAGCGAGTCAGGTGAGTATCAAGGACCCGGACCCGTTCGCGTGGGGTTTGGCATCTCCGTTTGAATCGAGTGTATACGTTCGCGGCAGTCCCCTCGTCGCAAGTCGATCAACCAGCAGACGCCTGCGGCAATTCTGGAAGTTAACAGACTAATCGTGACACTGCAAGGATAGAAAGATTGGGCGTCGCCGTCGTGCCCTTCAGGCATACTCTGGTAATTGACCTCGCCTCTACAGTTTCTGATTCTTCAGCTTGTCACTCCTGATACTTCTACGGGTGGCGCGCATCCGCACTCTGAAGAATGTGTCTCAGTATTCTCCGCTTCAATTGTCGTTCCAGACTGCCAGTGTGACGTCACGTCAATCTCCGCCAATGGCCCAACAATCTGAAGTAGAACACCACTGTGCTCATGCTTGCACGTAACTTCTTGTCCGCAGGCGTGTCATTCTTTGCCGGCGACGATCTGGGCTTCGTCCGGCTCAAGGAGTCGCCGGAAGCGCTGCGAGAGGTCAGCAGCATCGTGGGCAGCTCTACAGGACGGCTCTTCTTCGGTAAGAGCGTTGATGTCTAGCTCGGCTGACCTAAGCCGATCGCAGGGCAAACGGGTGCAAGTTTGACACTTTGATCACTTTGATGCCGCGAGTTTTCCGATGTTCCACCTGCTGCATAAGTGCGACCGCATCCTTCTAATAGATCCGTTTTTTTCCATGTTCAATCAAACGGCTGCCTCGATCCCCCATGAACAGCGAGCTTCCACGAGCTCTTGTGAATGGATTCGTGGTCTGGAATTGGTATGCCACCTTTGGTTACGCGATGCACGAGCTGCGCACTGTTGGCACGTCCCAAGGTTACGCTTATCAGCACTCTCAAGCGAAGTCGCTCAGATCGATTGTACCCATATAATCCGCAGAGGAACGTATGCAACTCGAAAACCAGGTTTGTCCACCTTCGCGGTTGACCAAACGTTTCTCTTGAGATTGGTTGGGGCACTGGAGATTGCCGCTCAAGCACCTCTGGTTAACGCAAACCAGCCCATAACCCACTTTCATCTTTTGTCAGGCACTGCGATCACTGAGTGCGGCTTCTTCTCATGGAACCCGTACGAAAGTTGGACGCTCCGGCTCGCGGACAGTTCTTTCCCCGCGTTGGTCCACGTGGACAGCAGAAACGACGCCACGTGGTTGGCCGCCCGGACGTTCGGCGTCGTCGTCGTGCGTCCGGACGGGGCGATCTCCCGGGTACTTCGTATGGGCCAGGAAGTGCCCGGGAGACTGGTTTATTGTATCACCGAGTCACCTCAGGTATGTCTGTGGGCTGATTCATCGGCGTTTTGGGCAATCTATGCACAGCCTATTGAGCAGATAATGGTGTTGGTTGACTACCTAGATGGACAAGACCTTTCAAAATCTTGTGTTAAGTGCCCGAGAGGTTGTGTACTGTATCACCGAGTCACCTCAGGTAAATATGTGGGCTAATCTGTTCAGCGGTCTGCCATTTCGGGACAACAATCTGAGCATATAAGTGTGTAAGTGGATTGGGTTGCCCACATCTTAAAAATTTGATGTCAAGAGCCCTGGTAATTGCTTTTATAGGACCGGCGAGTCGCCTCATGTGCATACGTGCTGATCCATTGAGAGTTCCCCTTTTGCCGTCTTGCTTTTATGAATATCGAGCTGAGCGTATGACGGTTCCGCTTTCCTTTTCGAAGGTCTGACGTTAATAGTGCGCGTAGGACGTTCAAATGGGGCATGAACCAGTCTGTTTCTTGCTTGTCTTGACTGACAAGCCACTAAAGTACTGCTTGTCAATGAATTCTGAGGCAATTTTTTCATTTCCAACCAATCTGCTCTTTGGCAGGCTGGAGACATAATCCGCTCTATAAGGAATCTCGATCTCAGATACTCATGAAACGCAACTTTTCCAGGGCACCGTCTGGGTTGGAACCGACCAAGGGGCCGCCCACTATTCCGTGAAGGACGGGAAGTTCCTCGCTCTAGATTCGGACGCCATCAGGGGGCACGCCGTCCGGAGCATCTGTGCGGCATCGAACGGCGTCGTATGGTGAGGGCTTTCTCCCTTGTGCGCGCAATTCGAGCGCTCCTTTTCGAATCCAGTTGTCGGCCGCCTTTCCAACAGTCTCCTCTTCGGAAAGCGGCCTCGATAAAGACAGAATTCTCAGGAGGGTTTTCGTGCATTTTAGCTGGACCGGAATTCAAAAAACCACGTAGACTCGTTTTCAGCAAGCGACCACATCTAATTTGTGTTTTCAAGCTTCTCGGGACTATTAGGGAAGCAGGTAGCGCGCAGAGGGAAGATCCAACCAGCCCAGGACTAAAGCTTCCGTGTGTTACTTGTTAAGGTTCGGCACCAAGACCGGTGTAGTCGCCTGGGACGGCCGCGCCGCGACGCGGTTCACGACGGAACAGGGGCTGGTCAACAACATCGTGCAGGCTGTGCATGAAGGTGAACTTACAGAATTTCTTAAAATCCTCCTTGGGTTTCCTCAAACCCGCTTCTGAACATCGCTCCACCGTCCCGTACGAAAAACGCACGGAACTTTGGGATCCATGTCAGGAACCCTAGATTGAAGGCACAGATCAAAAATATTCCTCGTGACACCAGGTTTTGCGGTGGGCAGTGATTCAGGAAGCATAGAGTTACCTGATAGCGCCTTGGTTTGGAATTAGTCCGTCAGCTTCAGATTCAGTGCAAGTGTCGTGTGATGCTCAGTAGGCTAGCAGCGCGGAGATTGTGATTGGTGAGCACTGCTTTGGTCAAGGAGAAGCAACGACGTTGAGTTGACGTCTGGCATCTGTTCTCTTACTTAGACAAGCGCGCCGGCTGCATTTGGGTGGGCACGGACAGCGGAATCTCCCAGCTCCGTCCGCAGCCGGACGGTACGACGGCCGTCCGGAATATCACCGTCGCAGACGGGCTGGTGAGTGCTGCGTATTCAGACGTCAGCAGATTGCGCCGCGAGGTGACATCGGCATGTTCTCAGATACTGGAGGAGCTTCTCCCTCTCGGCAAATAGAAAACGAACCGAAAGCAAACAAGGGGACTGCGCTCCTTGGATGCATTGATTGCCTTGAAGGCGAATCCAGACTTCCGCGCCACATCGGGAAGGCGGCTGAAAAGCCTTCATGTCACACCGCCCAAAAAGCCACATCGCCCAAAAAGCCTCGATGACCTGCTACCTCCCCAACTCAAGCTCATCACCACTTCAAGTCGTGTCTGCTCATCACCAACGAGGAGGGAATGTCTTCGCAAAGGAAGGCGTTTGATAACGAAACCGTGAAGATCTGTCACCGGCGTCAAACATCCTAGATCTCAGTCTCAGTTCCTCCCGTCAACAACTTTACGTCTCCTACACGGTGCAAACCACCCGGTGCCCGTTCTGAGAGTCCCTTATTCACGTTGAAAGGCGTCCGGCACAATGATCAGAAAGAGCGTCCAGTACACACCTCTGAAAGGAGTCCAGAACACTCTTCACAAACGTCCGTACAAGCCTTCAACGCGTCTGAATTTGGAAGCCTCCGAATCCGCTGTAGCCTGACCCGGACGTGCACGCGCTGGTGAACGACGACATCGGACGGCTGTGGGCGGGCACCCAAATGGGCGTCGCGGTCATCGACGGCGGCGCAGTGGTTCGGACGTTTACGCCTGCGGACGGCCTCCCGGGGAACGACGTCCGGTCACTGGTAAGGCGACTGGATTTGAACCGAGCGAAAAATGGGGCTTTACTACCATGGAAAGTCGGTTGATTTCAACGGCTGGTGCGGTGAAATTGTATGATTGGCGAATGATCCGTGCTCGACGAAGTCGTGCCTTTGTTGAAAGTGGTTTAAAAAGATGCTTCGGTCTCAGAGCACGAACGTAGGAGCCTACTTGCTCGAATGTATCGAAGGTGGATGCGCCCTTCTTTCAGGTATTCAATCTTCGAAGCATCACCTAGGCCGGCTAAGAATGCGACTTTAGAATCATTGGCGACCAACTTTGATGATCTTACTAAGCGCGATTGCATCAAAGCCGTCGTCGTATCACTTTTTCGCGCCCCTTCACTCCCATGGTGTCAATCCGCAAGGCGTTATCTGGGCGGGCTGCAACGGCGAAGGCGCCGGGATGTTTGACGGCCGGGTGTGGGTGATTACGCTCAAGCAGCACGACCGGTGGGACAAAGATTGTTTCTTGATCTATTACTCACACCCCCATTTTCCAGGGCGTCAACTCCCGAGGCGTTACCTGCGCGGGCTGCAACGGCGAAAGGGCCGGGGCGTTTGACGGGCGGGTTTGGGTGAATAGGCTCAAGCAGCACGACCAGTGGAAAAAGTCGTCTCTTAACATTATTGACACCCCTTTTTCCCAGGGCGTCAACTCACGGGGGATCATCTGGGCGGGCTGCAACGGCGAGGGCGCCGGGGCGTACGACGGCCGGGTTTGGGTGAACACGCTCAAGCAGCACGACCGGTGGGAGAACCTATCCAACCGGGTGGTCCACTCGGTCGGTCATTTGGGCGACGGGACAGTGGTGCTGGGGCGCCCAGGGGGCCTTACGTTCCTCAGGTGAGAGCGTTCCGATAGGGATGTTCAGACAAAGACATTCACCTCTACCGGCTTTGTGGGACGCTTCGTTGTACGTAAAACAGAAAGACACCCCATTTTACAGAGATGGAAAGCGTCCGTTGAATTAGAGGTGCCCGCATGAGGACATCTGGAAAGCCGTCCGTTATGTGACTCGGCATCTCTTCCGCATCGAGGGACTCGGCACTACTGCGAGCGGGAGATGGAGTTTTTGGCGGAAGATCTCTGAGCTTAACCCTGCGCTTTTGCGAATATCCTGCACCGCAAACGGCTCTCGGTGTCGTTTCGGCATAATTTTGAAATTTCTGGTGCCGAATCGTGCGAGTCTGCATCTTTGAAAGTTTCGGGAACTGAAGTGGCCGTTCGCTTCCCCCGCGACAGTTCTTGGTCTCTTCCGCGCCGCCGCATCCGTTTCAAGCCCTCGGGCCAAGACGGAGTCAGCCCAGCAGGGGACCTGGTGAGACGTCCAAGCTCTGCTGACGTCACGCAACGGTCAGAAACTCTGCCAGGGCTCGAGTTTGTGCTTGCGCCCGTTCCGCTATACGCGCACGGAGTGCCGAGACATTCCCGACGAAACAGAAGTGAAGAGGCGACCTCCACTTGATGCATCTGTCCAGCACTTTAACCCATCGAAATTCATGTTTGTGGTACCGAGGAAAGCACTCAAAAGAGGTTTCCCCTGCGCTGACGGCCTTCTCTGGAAGGGTTTGAAGAAGCGACCTCCTCTCAGTGAGGTAGTCTACAAGACTCAACGCTTCGACAGACATTCACGTTCAGTGTACCCGTCCATTCCGCTGGAGAGTTTCTGCTGCCTGAAAAAGTGCCGGGGTACGCTTTCTCCAGAGAGTTCGAAGGCTCCAGCTCGTAGAACTAGACATCCGCCCGGTGGACCACGAACTGCCCGGTTGCAATCCCGCTTACGCCTACCGGATTCTGGTTCCGGGAGACCGGGAAGAAAAGTCCTGGGCACCTTTCCCGAGGTGACAATGCGCAACCTTAGAAACCCTTCCAGCTTGCTGTGAGGTTTTCTCATTTCCTTAAACTTTTTGACCACTATTACAGGAAAAGTCCCCTCGTTGAGGAGGCAAAGATGAGCTGTTTTCGCATGCGCGTTCTATGCTAGACCTCTCTTTTAGGTAGCCTTCTCTTTTGGTCAGCCTTGTATCGCTCTTTGCAGGTGCTCAGCTGACGATCCGAGTTTCAACGCCGTAAGGAGTCGTTCGCGATGCTGTGCTTTCTGGAGAAATCAGCTTTTGGAGCCCTTCTTGTTTCTACCTAGCTCCAAGCAAAGCTGACCAGAAACACAGAGCCACAAAAAGGCCACATCAAGATGCTCGTGCAACCATCGTGCAACATCAACCTAGCGGCCTCCTAGTTTTCAGCGAATGATATCTTCTCTGCGAATTTGTTTCCGCCATTTCCCCTGCTTTTACTCTAAAAGAACGGTCCTTTCAATTTGCAGGGCCGACCCGTCTCGCCTCTCTCTCTCCTTTGATCAGTGTGGACGTGCGTCCGTTGAGATCGTGGGGGCGGACGTCCATCACAAGTATTTTGAGCCGCTGACCGTCCGATTTGAGATCATCCCCCCATGGTGAGTAACAGCGTTACCGTCCGATTCGATATCTTTCCCCCTTGATAAGAAGTGCGTTCCCTTTGACGCGAAGTAGCGTGACCGTCTGAAACAAGATTATATGCCCTTGGTAAAAGACAGCGGTACCGTCCGATCCGACAGTTTTCCTCCTTGGTGAGAAGTAGCGTTAGCGTTAATTCAAGATCCTCCCTCCAGTGGCGGGAAGTAGCTTGACCGTCTGATGCGAGAGAGGACGGTCCCCTTTGTGAGAAGTGGCGTGACCGTTTAAATCGAGAGTGTTCTTTTCTAGTGAGAAGTAGCATTTTCCTCAAGCTTGCGAATCAGTCTAGTCTAGACGAGGAGCAATCGACTTTACCGTTTAGAAAGGGGCTGTGCAACGCTGCAACTGCCGTCCACCTGCGTCTTCGAGCTGTTCTTTCGTTTTGCGTCTTCGCTCTAGTTACGCCGCTGGTGGGCGGCAGCGTGGCCGCGGCGTGCTGCCAATAACGACGTAGAACTCAAGGAATCTTACTTTTTGGCTGCAGGCACGAGCGGAAGGACGTCCTCGCTCTAGTTGCGCTGCTGGTGGGCGGCAGCGCGGCCGCGGCGTGCTGGTACGCGGTGCGGTACTACCTGCAGGGGTGGGCGCACGCCAAGTCCATGGAGGAGACAAACCGCCAGCTGGCAGAGGGCAAGCGCAAGGCCGACGTGAGCGTGACGTCACATGTGGAGAGGCGGCCGGAGACGAAGTCTTGAGTGGAAGCTTGCTATAGCTTTTCATGAGTGATGAAGAGGGCAGGGGAGACCCTCGAACTACGAAATGTTGGTATTTTGACGCCCGCCTCAACGTTTGCCCTGCGAAAGCTCAAGCTGCTTCAGACGCCTGCTCGAGCGCGACTGCACCCGTCCCTCTATGACAGCACCGTGCACCCAGCAACTAGCTACTTTCACAATGGAACAACGAATGAGCAAGGGGATAGACTCTAGACCTCAAAGGTCCAGACCCTTTTTGTTTTTCAGGACCTGCTTCTGAACATCTTACCCGCGAAGGTCATCGAGCAGCTGCAGACGCGCGGCCCGAGCGCGACGGACGTCTTCTCCAGCCTGCGCGAGTCGCGGCACCCGTGGAGCGCGCCGTCAATCGCGGAAAGCTTCCACCGGGCGAGCATCCTCTTTGTGGACATCAAGAACTTCACCCGGTGGTCTGCGACCATGGGCCCGGAAGAACTCGTCGGGAAGCTCTCCATGATCGTGAGTCGCAAACTGGTGTTTTCGAGAAGCGTCGGTTTCTTTTTTTGGCTTTGGTTGAAAGTGGGTGAGTTGAGGCGGGCGTTTTGAACTGCGGTCTGGAGTGAGGACCCTGGTTGGTCTGTGCAATACCTTCTGTCCGGTTCTGTCAAAGCAAGTAAAATGAAATGCACATGACGAGTGCGAGCTTTAGCAGCCCTTCGTCTCCATCTTTCTGCGCGTTCATATGTTTCTTTCGACATTGTTGCTCTCCTCCTGCAAATGATTCAGGTTCTGTTTCCGGTCTCCTCGTGCCCGTCGCATAAGGAGCTGATTTCCTCTCGCCCCTTTGCAGCATGCTGTGTTCGATAGCATCGTGGGGCGGCACGGCGGAGAGGTAAGAATATTAGGTTTGTCCCGAGCGATTGACAGCTCATCAGTTTTGTGAGCCGTAGTCTCCTCGTGGTCCTTATAGAACGGTGTTCATTTCTGTTTGAAACGGGTTCCCAGCATTGCCGAACTGAGACTAACAAGGGAGCACAAAAGTAAATTGCTGGGTAATTCAAGAATGGTTGCTGATAGGTCACAGCGAGCTGTATCGGTTTTGATCTCAATCAGCGGAATTGCAAACCTCACCTTGTCACTGCTGATTTGGCTCCTGACGCTACCTTCGTTTGTTCGTGTGCAGAAAATCAAGACCATTGGGTAAGTCCGTCGAGATGACTTTTCAACAACTCGACCTTTCTCAACGTATGAAAGACATGGTCAATCAAGATCTTCTGGGACTGCAGATCGTTTAAGCGGTAATTGATCCAGATGTAATGAACGTGAAAGAACAGAAGTAGCGGGAAGCAAGAGCAGAAAGGAGTAGGAAAGCATGTTCTGAGAAGGATCAAGAAGCTGACAAAGACAAGGGGTCGAAGGAAAGAAGAGCGTTTCTCACGGTAGGCAAAGCTCAGAAGGATCGCTAAAACGCGTTAGTATTAAGGAGATTTCGTTTACGGGGCACGCCTATTTAGTGATCCTAGGACACCGCCTTTCTTCGATCGCCCGCATGTTATATGACGGTAACACCACATCAAGACGCTCATTGTGACACGGCGCAAAGGAAACGACCACGTAAAACGGAGGCGCCGCGCAAAACGGACCGTGTTGCGCAGGAACGACTACATGGCCGCGTGCGGGCTTCCGCGCAAGCGCTTAGACCACGCGCAAGCGACGGTCCATCTCCCTAAAACCCTAAAAGCCTAAACACTAGACTCCTCTGCACAGGGACGGCTACATGGCCGCGTGCGGGCTTCCGCGCGAGCGCTTAGACCACGCGCACGCGACGGTGCAAATGGCGCTCGACTTGGCGTTCTCCATTAAGCAGATCAACCTCATGCTGGGGTCCAGCATCGACGCGCGATTCGGTGTAAATACGGGGCCGGTCGTGGCAGGGGTTACAGGTGATAATCGGGTTGGGTTACGTACAACCCTCTTCTTCTTTCTCGTTATTTGCGTTGATGACAGTAAAAAAGATTTGCTTCATGTTGGGGTCCAGCATGACGCGCGCTTTGGTGTGGATATACGGGTCCGGGGTTGCTTGTGATATTTGGGTTCGGTCATGGAAACTTGTGCTTCCTTTCTGCTCTTATCAGATTGGTTGCGACGGTGATAGAAGTGCGTGCTTTTGCCCTTATCTTTGGCTTCAGCATCGACGCGCGCCATGTTTTGAAAACTGGGCCGGTGGTTGTTGAACTTACAGGTGGAGAGACACCCTAGCATTTACCATGAACGAGTCTGCTTGTGTGTAGCAACCACTCGGGATGGACACTTATCTCAAGCCCGTGCGTTGTTTAAGCATGGGGCGGGGCGGAAAAGGAACTTCCGGAATTGGATTGGGTGATGTTTGTCGAGACTTTAGGCTTTCTCGGCGTGCCAGCATGAATGCTGAGTTTTGCTGGTCTGGTTCTCTTGAACTCGTGCCTTTTCTGCACGCCGGCACCTGGCGAATAAGCGCCAATCATGGTCGCCCACTTTCTAAAGTCTTCGGTCCGAATAGTACAATATTGCGGGCATTTATGTTTACATCGTCTCCAAGGACTCATCGATTGGCAAGCAGGGCTGAGGGTTTTCCTTACATGTTCTGCAGGAACACGGAAGTTCATCTACGATATTTGGGGCGACACAGTCAATACATCCTCCGAAGCACTCCCTTGCCCCCTGGTCTGTTGATATGATGTCTGTGTTAGGAGGGGGAAATTGACGCTGAAGGACGCTTCGGCAGTCGGAATGATTCTGAAGTCTCGCTCTCGATACCCAGCAAGCTTCTTTTCAATCTTCTTTGAATGTCAAGCACATGGGGCCTGTTTATCACGCCGCTTGTCGCTAAACAGTTAAGTCTGCTGCTTCAGGAATGCCCTGACACTTCTTCTTTCCAAGACTCGGACTGTTTTCGGGCAACCGCAACCCTTCTGTCACATTCATTATCCGTTAACGCGTCCTCTGAAAAGGGTTGTGAAATTCTCCTTGACACGATATGACCGCACGTTGCCAGCCGCATGGAGACCAACGGCGTGCTGGGCTGTGTGAATATCTCCAAGGAGACCCGGGACGAGATCGCGGAAGACTTTTCCTGCCAGGAGCGAGAGCCTATTCACATCAAGGGCAAGGGTATCATGATCTCTTACCTCGTCACGGGGCCGAAGCACACGCTGGGGGGTTCCCCTCCGCTGCCTGAAACGGGTAAGCGGAGACCAAAAGAAGCTTAAGTTAGAAGAGAGGACTTCCAGATTCATTGATGGGCTCTCCTCGATAGCAAGCTACTGCGATCATTGAGACGCCTGGAAAAAGACGATAAAGGCATGAATAGAGAAGGAGTTCGCTCTCTTCTGACAGAAAGAATCGAAAGAGATTGCCTCAGCTCAGTGCCAGCTTGAAACTCGTTTTGTAAGTAGTCTTTGCAGAAGGAGTTTCTCAACCGGTCCAACTTGCCCGTTCTGCTTGAATTGAGTTGTAGAAAGTTTCGACGAGACTCGAGTCCATCGCCGCAATTCGATTGGGAGGTTGGCTTTCGCTTCTCTCTTAGCTTCTCTCTTAACTTTTTCCTTGCCACCGCAGCAATTTCCAGCGCCTCGGGCGATTCTCCCGCCCTCGGTTTCCCCCTCGTCGACGCCCTGTCACTAACCCGGGGCGACCTCGTCCCTGGCATCGTCAGCCTGATGGTCGCCGCGGGCGCGCTGGACGCGCTGAAGATCGACACGTGCCTGCTCGAGCGCTTCGCGCGCCACGTGGACGCGCAGCACGACGACCGCGTGCCGTACCACAACATGTGCCACGTGTACAACGTGGTCCAGATGCTGTGCGTGTTTCTAGGCTGGCCGGAGGTGCGCGCGAAACTGGAGCCGCTCGAGGTCGCGGCCGTGCTGATCGCGGGTAAGCGCGCTAAAACTTTGTAAGGCTTGGGCTTCCGGATGCTTTCTGACACAGGGTTTTAAGGCGACAACTAGAGTGCTGAGAACTTCGGGATGGTCTGCTGTTGCTCGCGGGTGAGTCGGTCCGTGCTTTCGGAGTGTAGGGACGTGCTTTGGAGCCGACATCCAGATGCGCGCACAAGTGCCGCTCAAGGTCGACGCAGTGCCCATCGCAAGTGGGTGGATAAATGCCTTTGAATTTCGGAAGCCTTATGTTTATGTTACCTTCAGAATCCGCCAATCCGGGTGATCAGGTCTGTGTCAGGACTTGGCCCAAGTGAACCACGACTTTTCTTTTTACAAGTGGTACCAGGTCTCAAGCTAATGTTCTTCCTTCCTTCTTATGCCAAATCTCCCCCCCGGTTCCAAGCCACGGCTCTAACTTCTTCCATGACGTCAGGCTTGTGTCACGACCTGGGCCACGTGGGCCTGACCAACGACTTCCTGAAGGAGATTCAGGCGCCGGCCGCGAAGCGCTTCCCGACGAGCACCAACGAGCGCCTCCACTTTCAAAACCTCGAAACCCTGCTGAGCGCATCCGAAACGGACATCTTGAGCGAGCTGTCCGAATCGGACCGGGCGAGGCTGCTTGACACCGTGGCGGAGTGTGAGTCGGCGCTCCCTCTTGACGCCTTGCTTGATGACGTAGTTGGACGATTGCGCCAGTCTAGGTGCTTCCCCTAAGGCGCAAGGCACTCAAAGTGAAGAGCCAAAGCAATTGGCTCGTTCGATTGGGAGGGACGTGTTGATTCTAAGCGGTAAGTAAATGTACTTAATCTGGTCGAAAACCTGGGACGGTTGCTTGCCAGGACTTGTATCGCACTTACTATAGCGCACTACTTCTTTCTGCGCAATCTCGAAAGCAGAACTCACGGCTCATATCAAAGCAGTTTCGCCGTGAAAAATGGCTCTCCGGAATAATCCTCCAAAGTCCCTCAAATCAGGGCTGCACGAGATGAGGTCGCACGCTTGCTCCTGCGCAAACATCAGCTTATGGTAACATTTCGATCGCGACCTCCACGCGACTTTAAAGCCGGCCCCAGGTAAAGTTCACGCGTTGCGCGTGATCTTTGATAACGTCATGCTGAATTCCCGCTGACGTGGCAGGCATCGGCGCGACCGACATGGCGCGGCACGGGACGCTTCTGCAAAAGTGGCGCCGGTGGGCGGAGATGGGCGTCGACTGGCGGGACCGGTCGAACCGCAACTTCTTGGCGAGCCTGCTCATGAAATGTAGGATCCATTTGCTTACTCACGGTTCCTCTGCCGGTTCCTTTCTGAGTTTGAGATTCCAGAGGTATGAAAGTTCAGAGGTTGAGGGGATTTAGAACCTAGGGCTTGAGCGTGATGGATAAAGGATATCGTTAAAATCCGCAACTTCAGCGAGCCTGCTCGTGATATTGTAAGCTTTCACATGCGTGATCTTCTTTTCCGTTTTTCCTAAGACTGTCAACGCATATTTTCTGGCTCCTGCCCACAGATTCCGTTGAAAGCGTGCTGCAAACTTTGTACAGGCGCTGAGGGGAATAGGCTTTACTGCATCATCAAAGCGTTTCCAAGTGGTTGACGCTGAAGACCTCTGCGCATCCTTCGAGGCGGACTTATCTCCATCTTTGCTTCGCCTCCTAACGCACGTCTGAGAGAAGTTGATTGGCAGCCTCCTCGCTGGATTAAAATTGACAGATCAAAACAAGGGATAGAACGGGGTAGCATCTAATCAGAATTCCATTGTGAGACCAGAACGGATCTTTTCTTCTTTCTTGTTTGACGTCACTTTCTGCCCACCGTGCAGGCGCTGACATCGGCAACGAAGCCCGGGGACCGCAGGCGGCGCAGTTCTGGGTTGCACGCCTGTACGCCGAGTTTCGGAACCAGGTAAGCCCGATCTTGAAGAGATTTAACGAGTCGATCGAGAGACTACGGCGCAGCTTGTTGAGACCTCATTCGATTGCGGTTCCAAATATCTCAAACTGCCGCTGCGAGCAGAATGTTTGTCCGAAACCCTTTCAAAATCTTTGAGACTCAAGATTTTCTCTGAATTTACCGTTCGAGATCTGTGTCCCTGCAGATCGACATTGAGCGGGCCTTGGGGATGAAAGAGTCCCCCAGCGCGAAGCTTGTCGAAGCGGATTTGTACCAATCGCAGGTAACGCACTACGACTCATATGGATGGACTTGGATGTGTCGAATTTCTAGGATTTTCATGTCGATCTCGATGCGGAGTTCTCCGGCTTGGTTGTCTCTTTTTATACTCTCAAACCCAAAAATAGAAAAGCGAGTTCATTTGTACTGGTGCCTAAACATTCATAAGCAACTGTTATACGGTGCCTGCCAAAGGCAAATCTTGTTAACCGAAGACTATAACCCTTTCTGATCCGCAATTCACCAGTCAAATCACTCCCCTCCAAGCTGCTCATACATACAAACCAGTGTTATCGATGACCTTCACTTACTCTATCTCCACCTTAATTGAATGCAGCTCTATTGGTGCGAGAAAGTGACCATCCCCTTATTCAAGCTCCTAGCGGCGTTGGCACCATGCACAGGGATAGATTCGCTCTTGGACAACCTTGATGAGACCCGCAAGTTTTGGAAACTTCAAGCAAGTCGACGCAAAGTGTTCTGAGGATCGACTGTACAAAGAGCAGGCAAGCAGAACAAGATGATTGATGCTCGCGCGGCTGATCATTGTAGTGTAATGTTGAACACAATAGTGTTGAATTGGGACAAAATGACAGAACGAAATAGTTTTGAGAAACGAACACGAACGTCGGATCCAGAGGTGCTGATATGTAAGCGCTCTGTACAACTTGTGATCTCTCTTTGCTTCAATTAGACTGCAAGAAGCAGACGTGAATACTCTATCAAGCAAAGAAACGCTGAAGCTGGCCCGCGTGTTAGCGGTACGACGGTGTACATGATTGCACGCCCACGCGCATCGTATGTTATGATCAGTCAGGTGCCAGGACAATCGATCTAGTGAACTCGATCACTACATTGCAAAGGCTACCGTCAGCAAATGGGTCCCCTCACCATCAACTCAGTCACCACTCTACGCCATACATGGTATGGTGTGATCCCGGACATTGTGAAAGATGACGCATCACATAGCCATGCGAAACTTGAAAATGTCGTGGTACGTGAGTCACAATGACAATTAGGCGTCAATCATTTATAACATTGTGTACAACCTGATGCATCTGCTGCTGTACCCGGAGATCGAATGACCCAGCGCACAAAGCTTGAGTCTGCAGCGTGTCATTGACTCATTGACCGTCTGCTGAGCTCCTGTCGTCCCGTCCTCCGGACGTCGGTCATGCAAACCGGGACAGCAGCCGCACTAGAGATTCGAACCCATCCTGAAGGGAGAGTGCGCTAGACCGCTGTACCCAAATGATATTTTAAGTAAGAAGACACGATTGATGGAAAGGGGAGACTAAGAACGCATAGCCATTCTGGTGGGTTGAGACCCAGACCCGGTATTGGCCGCTCTAAGCGCCGCAAATTGCTGTCGCGACCAATCAGACAGAGCCGCCTCCGCGCCCGCGAGGCGGCGCTCCGCCTCTGCGTTCCGCCGGTCGATCTCCGCTTGAAGCTGCACGGAACGAGAAAGGCGGATATCCTCTGTTAAAACCGGTGTATAACTTCGTCCGAATGACGTTTTGGGGCTGCAACGGAGGCTGAACGCAGCAGCATTCGACTGTTTTCGGTGCTTTTAGGAAGAACAGAATGTTGCTGAATGTGAGAAATTCATATTCTGCTCAAGAGGGATCGACTCGCACAAACACAATTTGTGCGCTTTCAATGGCACTTCGTAGAAGACCTTCCATCCAAGTTTGGATTGCGTACTTCTGCTACGAGGATAACTCACTTCTTTTAGTCGCGGCGACTCTCCCACAGTCACCTGTTCCCTGGGAGTTGGGTCCTCAAATTCTCTTGCTGTAAACCTCATGTCTCGGGTTACGGATTCGAGGAAGACTGTGCGGAAAGGACGGGAGACAGCATTAAACTAGTGCTCACCTCTTTGATGCTTCGTTGGGCGGCTTCGAATGCGGCCTTCGAGTCGGCAAGTTCTTCTTCGTGCCGCCTCCGGTCGCTTGCTTGCTGCAACGTAGCAAAGTTTCTGTCGGGATTCTCATTGACAAAGGCCTTTCTGCCACATTCAAATCGCAAATGGGCAAAAGTCCTGGGTTAAGGGCGTCATGTCCAAGTCTGAAAGAAATCTGCAAGATTGACAGCGGGCCGAATCAAGCGGTAAGTTCATTAGTTCGCAGTCTGCGGCCATTGTTCATTATGATCAAGCAAGGACCGCACTGACTTTTTTACACCAATCTGACCGGCTCCTGATGCCAATGCAATCAATCGGGACACCCGGCACCCCTTTCAACAGCGATGCTGATCGAGACCGGACGCAGCCCCAGCGAGTCATCGCAAATCTGAGTACCAGCGAATAGATTACTAAGATTCTGATCCGGGCGCAGACCCTTTGAATAGAGCTACCCAGCCAGACTGCTCGCTCCAACAAAGGAAATAGGCAGAGGTTTTTCATGACCTTTTCGCGAGCAGTTGGTTAGCGAACAGGCAGCTTCCTAGAGGAATTCACCTGCTTGATCTGTTGCTCGGCGGTCGTCTTCTGCGCTTTCAACTCTGCCAGCTCACTTCGAAGCACTCGCATTTGCTCCTCAGCGGTGGTCCATTTGTGCTTGTTTTGCGCCTGTTGATAACGAGAGAAAAGACTTGAGAAGTTGGTCAGTCGGTTTTCCGCAGTCCCGCAAACTCGTTCTTGCTAACAAACCACCGCAGTTGAGATGGCCAGGACCTCTGATTTCTGACAAGTTTGAGGTGTGGATGTCCCTGTTTCTTTCGATCAGCGACGGATACTGCATCCTTAGGACACGAATGTACGTCACAAAGGTGTTTCCGCTGTAATGTTGTTGGTTGTGAGGGCTCGCCATAGAGAAGCGCGAGAACAGAGAACAGATGGCCTCGCAAAGCACGCAGCACCTAGGGTATGGGTTTCTTCGGTTTCTTCAACCTTGGAGAAAGGGAACATATGCCCTTACTGGATCAAACCTGTTAAGATTGAAAGGTTCTTGTAGCCGGCTGAGTGAAGCTGTGAACTTCAAAACTGGACGCAATAAAACTCTCCTTGGAATGACTCTTGAAAAGTGCGCCAGAATCGGCCCCATATTAGTGAGCGACGAGCGCGCAGCAACCACCATATGTCCACGTCACACGAAGTTCTCTTCCGGGAGACGTCCAAAGCTCGGCGACGCGAGAAAGAACCAAAATTTTCTTCTCACCGCCTCTGCCAGCGCCGCCTCAGCACGCGCGTCGGCCTCCGCGCGCCGCGCCTCCCCGCCCTGCCGCTCCGCCTCTTCGCGCGCGAGCGCGCGCTCGCACTCCTCGGTCTTGGACAGAAGCGCCTTGCTGGCTTTCTTCAGTTCCTTTTGTAGGATCTCGTTCTGCTCCGCCGCGGCCGCCTTTTGCGCGTCGAGCGCCGCGAGCTGCCGCTGGAGCGCGTTCACGGCCGCGTCCTGGGGGGATCCGAAATGGGGGTTTAAACAGGGTTTGAGAAGGGGGTTGAGCAGACCTGGGTTGAGCCAAACCGGGAGTTTATGACAGGTTTTGCGAAGGAGGTTGAGCTGACTGAGACCGTCCGTCGAGAGGAATCTAATACAAGTTTCAAGGGACGAAGGAGTCTGCAGAAAAAGTAAAAGTGCCGCTTCCAGTGATGATATTTGTTAAAACATCCTTTGACATAGATAGCAAAGGTTTGGCTGTTGCTGCATATTCGGAGAAGTGACTTTGATGGTACGCCCTCTCGATTGCATTGAGATACAAACAGAAAAATTTCACGTCAGAAAACGCCAGGTACAGCCTGAATTTCACACCAAACGAAGTTTGGTCTAAAGAGTCTGTCATATCAGTGGTCAGATATCTACTCTGCGAGTCACTTTTCTTTTGCCTGAGCAGCCACACCCGTGAGTTTTGCAAACGCAGCTCTACATAAGCGTAGACTGGAAAGAGGAATGTGACACAGCGCACCTTCTCTTCTCGCACCTTCCTTTCCGCCCTCTCAACGCGTTCCGCTGCTTCTACTGACGACGCTCGGAGCGCGGATTGACACCGTTCAGACTCCTGCTTTGAAAGAAGCGCGTACTGATTCAAAACGGCGAGTTCAACTTTTTGATATAAGTTCGGGAGCAGAGAGCGCTTAGAAGTAGCGGGGAACTTGTGCTCATAAGATAGTGGAAGCTTTTCCAAGACGGGTGCTCTGTCGATTCGGCTAACTTGGGGAGCTTCGTCCCTTGAGAAAATTCTGCGGAAGAAGGGGGGAAAGCATCCATACACTCACTAATGCATTCCATCCTTCGCAAATTGCTTAGCTACTGATCAAGCGACAATAATGCTCACCGCAAGTACCGAGGGTCCCGTCTTTTCTGCTTGCAGGGATCTTCAGTCATAGGAGTCAGCTCGATGTTTCTGGAAGAAAACGTCTCCTCCTTGAAGAAGAGGATCCGACGCCTAACGTTGTGCACGGTCTGAAGATCTGAGTGGGCGACTTGTCAATTACGGTCATCCTTGAAGACCCGTAATAGATCATTGAGAGACTCACTCTCAGAGCGTCGTCTTTTGCCTTCCGCAGCGCCCCCGCTTCCTTCTCCGCCGCCTCGATCTCCGCCACGTGTTTCGCCTTCAGCCGCGCCACGTCATCCTTTCCGTTCTTCCGCTCGTCCTGCAGCGCTTCTTCTAGCCGCCGGATCTGGTGCTGCGCAATCTCCTCTTCGGACCGGAACCGGGCGGCTGCAACTTTATTGTCGTCTTTTTGTCGGGCGAGCAAGCCCCGGAGCGATTCGATCTCGTTAATAGTGGACGCAAGTCGGTCCTCAGCGTCCTTGGCACGTTCTTCGGCGGCGTGTAAGAAACCCTGCGCATAAGAAAGTCAATCAGCAATCTCTCGTGTCTTTGATTTAATCTCTCAAGTCGAAGCTTGGTAACAGTCTGCGTCCTCTTACCTTGTCAAGCGGGAAAGTTGCGATTGAGTCCAATACAGTCAGTCTGAGGAACCGCACCCACTGACCCTGTTCCTTATCTTAGATTTCTTATTCGAGATTGGATACGAGGAGCGGCGTTCAGTTGCTGGTGTCTGTAGCATGATGGCGAACCGTGTGCATGAATCTCCTAGATTTATGCTGGCCAAAGGACAGATACATGGCATTTGATGGACGCATTGAATAGGTGACAAAAGGAGCTTTCGAAGTCCGTCAAGCTTGCTTACCGTTTCTTTCGCGAGCCGCTGCTCCGCTCTCTTGTGAGCTTCCTCTTGCGCAACTCGATGGTCCTGCGACGGCACGGAGCCCTTCTAGTCAATGTTCCCTTTTCAGCTTTATGGTGGCTTTCTTATTCTGCACAATGATGCGTGTATATAACGCAATCTGCTTTGTAACCAAGTCTCAAGAACTAACATCATCTCACCGATGCAAACGCAATGCTTACGCTGTCTTACAACGCTGCTGCTTGATTAAATCCTTGAATTCTAGCGACTCTGCAGTGGAAATCCGTCCCCGCAATCGGCTGCTTTTATATCGGGTGATCGACAGGAATGTAAAGTCAAGTCACTGGGCCTGAATCACAGAAGACGCTTGGACACAGTGTACGCACCTGGTTACAACTCTTGTCCGTTGCATCTTCTTCTGGCCGTCAAGACGTAGATTAGAAGGCCAGAAAGAGGAAACGTCCTCTTGAGAGTGACAAGCAGGCCCACCTTTTTAAGATTCTCGGTTTCCAGTCGCAAACTGGTTTGGGCCTCCTCAGCGGCAAGCCGCAACCTGGTTTCTCCCGCCAGTCTAGTTTCTAGGTCAGTCACCGTTTGGTCGGACGTCGCTTTCCGTCGGGCCAAATCGTCTTTCTCCTCCGCCAAGGTTGCCTGTAGACAGAAATGCACACGTGTCATTTGTCATTCGATAAAAGCGAACGGGGATAGTTGAGGTTGTACAGGCAGGTTTGGCTACTCTTTGGGCCCAGACAGAGCATACTCGAACTGACTTCAGCGGATAGCAGGAAGCGGAAGAATGCGCAAAACCCCTTTTCGATATGAGAATGAAGAGAGTGGGTTGTCGAAACGACTATCTGAAAGATTTGCGCAACAAAAGGCGAGGCTACTGCCATCTTCAGAGCGAGGCCTTGAACATAGAGCAACGCACTCCAGGGCCGCTCCTTTGCAGAGGGTTTGAAAGCGAAGGTCAAGACTTACTATCTTTTCTTTGAGCTGCAATAGCTCTCGGTTCAGGATCGCTATCCGCTCCGCGTGCATCGCATCCAAGGCCTTCATGTCAATAACCTGCAAACATGATGCCCAAAGGTGAGCTCGTGCTCCATCTCGATAACGTCTATAGGAAGCTGAGTTGAAATCCGCAGAGCTGTTTTTGGCGTGTATGCAAGCGACTGCAGCAGAGAGCGTAGATAGGAACGGAAACAAGAGTAGTCCTCCTTTTTGAGTGGCATCGGGAAACCCAGTCCCTGGCTTGCTCCTTCTCCTTATTGAGAAGTGCCAATGGATCAAAGCGGGATCCTTCTCAGATGTTCGTGAAATCTGCCGCTATCTGGATCCAAAGATCCTTGCTCTACACCTCGACGACGAGCCCATAACCCTACCTTTTTGGAGGGCTCAGCTAAGCTTGACTGTGTCCCCCGTCGCAGCAACTCGCTTTTGTTGCGGTCCAGCAGCTTCTCGACCTGGCGCAGTGTTTCCGGGGGGACTCCGTTCCCCGTCAGCCTGACGTCAGTGAGAACGCGGTTACTCTGAAGCAGGGTGACGACAGCAGCGCCGCCTGAGGCGCCGAGCTCGTTCCACCGGAGATCTGTGGCCGGAGATGATCTGTATCAGGTTACTTATCGTAGGGATATTTTGTCCGTGATGTCACGACTGAATTTTGGTCTCACTTTGCGATTCAATCGTTCCTATGTGTGTAGGACAAGGATGCAATCAACAGGAAAGTCGGACGTCTGCTTGCTTCTCAAGGAACGAGAAAATTGGTTACCAGTTTGGCGTTTGACACTGACGAAAGCGAGGAACGTATATGCCTATTGCAATGGAATGTTGATACGTGTCCTTCTGCAGCGGCGGTAAAGCGCATGTATAATGAAAGTAGCGAGAAGCCTTTGGTTCGAGCCTACTGGACCAACCCGCCTTTCAACCTTCGCATGTCTCACGTCTGAGTTTCACAACTTCGTTGATCATAGTTGAACTTCGTGATGAGCAAGTCCCCAAGCGACGCGCCAAAAGAGTGGGAGACTGCCTTCAGAGACCCCAAGACCCGCTTACCAAGAATCGTGAGTGACCGGCTGTCCCTGAGTGCGTGGGCCAGTGTCGCCATGCCGCTGCTCCCCAGCCGGTTGCTTCTAAAGTCCACCTCTGTTAGGTTTGGGGCCGCGGCCAGAGCGCCAGCAAACGCTGCTAGGCCATGAGGAGCCAGGCCCAGGCTGTTCCACTCTAGTTTCAGTCTGCAATCATGCAATTTTTAAGAATGAAATGTTTCTTCAAAGGTGAAATAGGTGTCCCGTTTCTATGCATGAGAGTGAGCTCAGGATACTTGGCTGTCAGGCCTCTTTCTAGGGATGTTCTCAGCGAGCAAGTTGCAGGATATTCCGATCATTGGCAGGATTGCGAAGCTAAATGGTTCGACCAGGACTGGTATCGTCTGAAGTATGATGCCACCAACATTATGATTGGACATTAGACATAGCTGTGGCATTGACCATTCACACACTGCATCATCACCATCTGGCATCCTTCTCACCTGTCAAATCATTCCCCTAGTGGATGAACGCTTTCGTTCAGCCATTACATGGCCTAGCTCTGGAAATGCCAAACGAGAGTCGCTAGAGCTGTTTGAGCTTTCTAGAGCTGCTGTACAAACAGACGCTGCCATTGCCGGACTGGTCCTGATGTGAATCGGATAACTCAAATTGCCTCGTTCTCACCGTTTCAAGTTGCGCACTGTACGGACCACTTCAGCAACTTCCTCAGCATTGAGGATATTGCACCCTGTCAAGTCGAGCTCTGTCAGACCGTCGTTGTGCTTTAGGGCGGCCTTCAGAGCTGTGCAGCCTGCAAGTTGATGCTCCGGCAAGATTCATCGTCTTGACCAAGAAGAGGACCGATCAGAGTAGACTCTTGAGAGTGCAAGCCTGCGCTGGGGGCAACAGGCACTCTAAGATCCAGTGTGGTGGTTGCAGGAATAGGCAAATACTTGTGTACGCCTAGGATCTCTGGCAGCATTGCATGTAAGTGCTTAGATGACCCTGTATAAGCTGTTAATCTTATGCCCTGCATGTGATTTTTGGATTGAGCAGCTTTTTTTAGCTCCTACTCTCAAGATCCTAGCATGTGGCATGTTAGAAGACCATACTGAAGATTGCTCCGTGAGCTGAGGGGCCAGGCTCTAAAGCAGGGCACCAACAACGTTCTGGACACCAACAGAGCAATGCAGGACTAGTGTACTGAAATATGTTACATTAGCACCTGTTTTTCCATCAGAACTACGGTCCCACTGCGGTTTAGGGGACTTCTGGTGCATGCTGCATTGATCAAAACTTTGAAGGTCACTTTACGAGTCAGCTTCATTTTGGACAGTTCCTATTCTACGGCACTGCAAAGTCCTCACCCTTAGTGCCGATCAGGGTGTCTTTCATATTTATAGACGTTCGTTTGTGGCTCTCAGCCGTCATCTCTTTGAGCTGTTCCACCAAGCTCCCCTGCTCTCCCCAGCTGGATGCACGCCGCTCTCCGGCTGCCCCCATCGTTGTCGACCCTAATCAGCTCAGCTGCTCAAAGCTATAGTCCGATTTTGCTCTGATGTCACTCACTATCCGCATCGTGCAAAGTTGAGGAAAACCAGAGAGGCTACAATTCGGGATTTTGAGGGGTGGAGCTGGTTGCAGCAGCTTCGTCATCTGTCCAGAGCTTCACGCAGCCGCCCTTCTCTCTCTGTTTCAGTGTTTGGCTGCCCCTGGGCCTTGACTGCTCTGCTTGCAGACCGTGCTTCCCCAACGTTTGAATTCAAGTTGTAAATCGTGTTTCCAGCTCATGAATCTTAAAAGTGGAAGGTGCGCGCGCGGTTCTAGTCCCCTTATCAATCGTCGGATGGGTCAAGTGCGGTCGATGAACGGCTTCGATGCTGCCATTCATCAGCAAGGCCACTGAGCATAAAGTGATTTTGAAAATTAGGGGTTCCTTTTCAACAGTTCAATCCTGGGCCACTGTGATATATATAAAGTTTAATACCTATAAGGCAATGTGACCTACCTATAAGGTACTGTATTGCGTAAGAGGACTGTACGTTTAATGATTGCGCGGTCGTACCCCGCGCTGCGCGGTGCGTACCCGAGAAGCAGCCGGGCCTACCCTGGGACATTAGGGTCTCGCAAGCAACCGGGTAACAAGCAGGCCCTCCCTCTGACATTAGGGTCTCGCAAGCAGCCGGGTGACAACCGGGCACTTCCCAGTACAGCTCTTTGCGTCAAACCTGCCATCGGGTTTCAAATGCTCCGAGCATGGTTCCTGATCTTGCACCATTCGATCGACGGAAAAGGAGGCATCGGACGGCTCAAGATTAGGAACCAGGCTCAGAGAGGATGGAACCCGATAGCAAGTTTGACGCAAACAGCTGTAACATTAGGGTCTGTCGGTCACAGTACCCTAGGTTTTTAGTGTTGCCCGGGGCCTCACATGTACAATATTCCTCTACGGTTGAACAAATTCCCTATAGGGAACGTACCTTATAGGTATTAAACTTTATGGTAATATCCACTGTGTGGGAGAAGCTTCTGCCAGTGCAGGCATGGAGCAAAGCACCACCATTGAATTCAAAAAGCTGATGAGCTCGTTGAAATGTTTTCGATGACCGCATTGGCATGGTTTCATTGCAGGTGCCCAGGTTTTAAGAGGTGTCGTAGCCGTTCAGGCATCGACTTAAACATGTGCAGTACCCGTGCAGTAGAAGGTTGAAGGCGATGGTGCAAGTCGCCTTGCTAAGGGTTTAGAAAGCTGTGCCTCAAACATGTGAAAGTGGACAAATGGAGCGCATACAGTTCAATTGACCTGGATTGCAGTTGTTATAGGCAAAGTCCTTTGACTGAACAGCGGCTCCACAATTCTGGTCCAAGAGCCATCAGCTAGAGACTGCTGTTGCTAGCCATGAAAATGCCAGTGTTCTGATCAACCACTGATAGATCGCTCCAGCTGCTGTTGAAGCGTTGATCCGAGCTGAACAACCTCAAGTGGCATGCAAGCTCAGCGGAGGTGTCAGAATGGACGAACCACAGTCCTCCACCTCGCCACCAATTTCACCCAGGAAGGGTGCCCGGGTAAGAATGATAGCAAACTTGTCTTTCTCAAGCGATTGGAATAAGTGGTGCATTGAAGAGAGGGTGTTTGAGAGGCAAGCTTGCATAGGGCCTGCTTATATAGCATCGCCTTGGAGAGATCCAGAACAATAGAGAAATTTCAATGCTTGAATTGGGTTCAAGGATTCTCTGGGCAAAGTGTCTGCATTCTTGAGAGCGCTTGAACATTGCAAACTAATCTGACGCCCTCTGCAAAATCAAAGATATAAGTACGTTTTCGAATAGAGTCCAGCATATCTCATGAGTAGCCCCTCTTGCTTCAAAAATGGTTGTTTCTGGTCTCAAAATTCTCAAGGAAAGTAAGCAGGATATAGCAATAATAACGGTGGCGGTACATTAGAGTGGCAGAGTATAGCCTTGAAGTTTGATTCTGACAGCGAAGGTAAAGATCCTGCAAATCCTTGTCACAGTCGTAGCGGGGCCAGCTCTGAAGATTGATTGTAGGCTTTGAAAGGAGCGCGAGTGTCTCGTCCACAAAAAAACCCCTCAAAACCAGTGAGCTCCATGCACATGGTGATAACACTTTACCCAGAGACTCGATTGAAAATAGGGACGTTGCACCGTGTCTTTGGCGGTTCGCGCAAACTTTTTTGGACGAAGTGGTCAAACTTCTTGAACTTGTCCGGCCACTCCTTAAAGAGTTCGAGTTGATTTGGATGATCCTGAAATTGTCCCTCTTTCCACAGATTGGTTTTTCCCTCCCGCGGGAATCCGAACAATCGCAAAAGAGTTCGAGCGGGCCCCCCTCAAGCCGCCTCTCCCGCCTCTCCGCCTCCTCCGACGCTCCCTCGGTTATCCAAACGGACCGGTCAGTCCGGCGGAGCCGCACTTCTCACAATGGCGTTCACTTCGAGTCGGGCGAGGTGAGCATGAGTCTCCGGGCCTTTGAGCAACGAACGGATTCAGGAGGAAGGTTCTTTGGATATCAAATTTATGCTATGTTCGAGGAGGATTCCTGAATCTTTTGTCCGTATGCTTGTGTGGGGGACTTGTTCTTGGGCCAGGTGGCTTCAAACCCGCCTGTTGCTAGAAAGTACAACGAGGAAAGAACTCACATTCCTTGACGAAGAGTCGCAGATCTGGCATGCTTGGCCAAACGTTTGCTGACCGTCCGGTACTGAATGTCGCTAGATCCCAAGTCACGAGAGCCAGATGAATCTGACGGCGCTGATGGAGCTGCGCAAGGCGTTCCTCAGTGCAGACATCGACGGTTCAGAAGAGCTGGACGAAGAGGAGTTCGTCCGAGCGTTTAAGAACATCAAGGCCCTGGGCAAGGGGATGGAGTAAGCTTTCGCGTCTCATCTTGGACAGCTCTTCGAAAGGAAGATTGCTGACGCAGGGGATGGAGTGAGCTTCGATTATCTAAAAGAACTCCTCGAATGAAGGAATGCTGACTGATCTTTCGTAGCCCACTTACAACGCTCAACCCCGACAAACCGACTTTAAGACGGACTCTTAGGCTTTACGGGTACACTTTTGAGCGCGTGTATGAGTATGATGGAATCTTGACGCAGAGTCGACGGAATCGGCATCTCTGGCGGAGGGCGCATGCCTACGCATTTGAAAGACTTACAATCTTTCACAGGCTTAGTCATTGTAGACAACTGATTTCTTGCCGATGCTCTGAGACATACGTTTCTCCTCCTCCACCTTCTGCGACTCAAACCCGCGTCAAAACCGACAAGTTTGTTCTCGTGTCAAATACATTTGCTCTCAAAACATGCCGGCACAGGAAATATCACACCCCGTTCGCGAGGTCTTCTTCGTTTCTTCATTTGCAGTGTTATTCGTTCAAACCCGCGTCATACTTGCCAAGTTTGTCCTCCCTTTGAAGCATCTCGCTGTCAAAACGTGCCAGCACTTGGAAAGATCTCACCCCGTTTAGCAAGTCTGATCGCTTCTTCTTTTTGCAGTGAGCAACAGTTGACGCACCTGTTCATGAAGATCGACGCCAACAGCGACGGGTCCGTCGACTGGTGAGTCCCCGGCCTTGCTTTCGAACGCTGACGATCCATACAGCGGGTTCCCTCAAACCTGTCCGAACGACGGAAAGCTCGAAGTGCGCGGAAACAGGCGGTTCCAGTTTGGAATGTAGCCGGTCCGGACCCATCGGGTCATAAAGCTCAGCTCGGTAGGTACCGTTTCAGACTTCTGTATTCCGTGCACCTTGTCGAAGCTGGATACCGTGCACCGCGCTCGGACCCATATCAGTGAACCCGGACAGGTCTGAAAAAAACCGTTGTACTCCAAAGCAAAGTGCTCCACGGTGCCGGTCCAGGGGTGTGAGCTCCACTTTCCAAACAATTCAGGTCTTAGCTGGGTTAACGAATGGGTTTGCTGTCAGCACGGGCTCCGTGGAGCAATCTGCTATGAGGAGTGCGATACGTCGTGATTCTTCCTTCACAGAAAGCTTTTGCTCTTAACCAAGGTTGGTGGAAGGGTATCGAACCAGACATAGACTGCGTTCCCTTGGTAACACAAACCAAAGCTTGGTCAACTCTAATCTCTTTCTGTGCCTGGCGAATTATCTGCTCACCAGCCGATTGAAACTGCGGATTCAGGACAGCTTGTTCCGTTCTGTACGACAGCAAACTGCCAGCACGAACAGGAGCCGTGCTGCTGTAAGGAGACGAAGAAACGTTAATCAGTGGTGTCTTTGCACGCAGGGTTGAGTTCACGGACTACCTTTTACTGCAGCAGGTGAGAAAGCACGTTTCTCAAACAACGGCTAAGTCGAGACGAGAAGGCCTGCTCCTTCTGAGACTCGCGCCTACAGATACGGGCGAAGCCCTACTGGCCTCTTAGCGGACGTAAATTAGAAGAAAGTGACTGAGATGCTCTTTACCGACGTGCATGTCTGTTTTCGGACGCTGCCCCCTGTAGCAACGACCATCACAAGGAGCCGGCCGAGGACGAGACTATGTACGTTAGGCTTAAACTTAGGCTTAGAATGGCCCACGTGGCGGCTTCTCCATATCAAGGCTGAGAATCTTCCTCTAGGGGTCAGGCTGGGTCGATTAGCGGTCTGCGTACTGGGTCAAGCCGCTAAGCGCACATGTGGCGGTGTCTCATCCCTTGATCTGAGGAGTTTCTCTTACGGGTCAGATTGGACCGGATAGCGTAACGCGTAGCGAATCCAGGGAGGGAGCTGTTACAGCGAAGCGGATCAATAATGCAGTAACCTGTTTAAACCTGACGCTAACCGAACTGCTTTTCTGCAGCTTGCCATGAGCGACGAGGCGGCCGCGGGCGACCACACTTACGTGAAGCAGCGAGTGCCCGCTCATAAGCCCACCGAAGTCGACGAGAACGCGCGCGGGGACTCGGGACACAGCTTTCTCGCGCGCGGGGGGTTCGCGCTCGCGGCGACCATGCCCCCTCTGATCCAGAAGGTGGGTCGCCGCTTGCTGCGCAATTTGAAACTTTCTGGACGCTAGCGGAAGAGAAAAGTCAGTGTGAACAGGAACAAGGATAATTCGAAAGATTCTGCCGGTCTACTGTACTAACGAAGGACAGAAGAATAATGGCGCTAAGAAAGATCAGTTAGAACCCGTTCAGGAACTTGTCCACGTGTCTGTCCGGGCCTAAACGTGCTGACTTTGGGCAAATTCTACCGTAGCCCATCAGCGTGTTCTACACGATCGACCTCAAGAAGCTCCAGCCGTCTCCCGGACGGGTCGAGAAACTCGAAGCATTGAAGTTCGCAAAATTTTCACTGAGAATTTGAACTTTCCACGTGTCGCCCGCAGATTGGCTACATCAGCAGCTTTCACCAGTACGTCACGGCGTCACAAGACGGCCTGATCAAGCTGTGGAGCCCCGTCACGCTGCAACCCGTCCGGACGATCAACAATGGTCCGGCGTGGATCACGGACATGCAGGTGTCCGAGAGTATGCGGACGCTGGTGACGTTGGGTATGGACAGAAGGTGCGGACGTCAAATCTGGTCCGAGCTTCTAAGTGACGAGGTTACACGGATTCGCTGTGCTTTGAAGTTGTACCCCTCCCTGAATTGGAGTAAAGGAGAAGCATAGAATCTATGGAGCTGTAACTCCCATGCGACACCGAAAAATGCAGTGGCTAGAAATACGAAGCTCAAGGTGAAGACCTTTGCGCGGTGGAACTTCCAGGAACCACAGGAATGTTTCTGTTTTTCCGAAGTCTCGAAGGTTCCAAGCCTTTGGATATCCAGAAACCACACCATAACCACCTACCTTGATTTCAAGGGGTGGAGTTTCAGAACGTCAAACTGGTGTCCAGATCGCTCTCGGAGTTCCGACTCGCTCAAGTCACACCGGAGACTTCTTTCTGTCTACAGTCTATCATTCGACAGCAGAGCCCGCTCAAATTTAGACAAATTGGGCCGTGTCCCGAATGTGGAAACGGTGCTTTTGACATCGCGATTCAGGCCTCGTTCAAGGCAGAGCGGCGACTTCTTTCTTTTTGCAGCCTGTTCACAGCACAGCCCGGCCAAACTTGGACAAACTGGGCCGGATCTAGAAAGTGGAAACGGTATCTTTGACCTTGCGAATCCACCTTCGTTCAAGGCAGACCGGCGAATCCTTTCTCTTTGCAGCCTGTCTTTCTACAGCACAGCCCGGCCGACACTGAACACACTGGGCGGAATTTTAAACATAAAAACGGTGCATTTGTCGTCCCTCTGAATTATGACTTGCTCAGGTCACACTGGAGACCTCTTTCTCTTCGCAGCCTGTCAATCTACAGCACAGCCCGGACGACCCTAGACAAACCGGGTCGGATCCAGAACTTAGAAATGGTGCTTCTGACCTTGCGAACCAGACTCGTTCAAGTTACACCGAAGACTTCTTTCTCTTTGCAGCCTGTCGTTCTACAGCACAGCCCGGCCGACCCTGGACAAAGTGGGTCGGATCCAGAACATAGAAACGGTGCCCATGACCGCGCTCTGGGTGCCCGGGGAACGGGAGCGGCTCTTGTACGGAGACGACAAGGGCGCGCTGTACGACCTGCAGTTTGCGGACGAGTGGGGCACGTGAGTACATAGTCATGTCTTCAGAAGTAACAGGAACAAGGGGGGTGAAAATAAGCAAGGAACCAAAAAAAAAAATAAAAACAAAAAAGTGAGGGGAAAGTATCTGCGTGTGTCCTCGCTCATTCGCTCTTCGTCAAGTGGTTGCCGGAACGGACGGCCAAAGCGAATGTTTTCAATCTCAAACTGCCACGACTCGAGCACGTGCTAACAAGAAAGGAAGGAGTGAAGCGAACAGAAAAGTGGAAGTTCAAAATAAACCTCGTCTGCAACTCAGGCTCGAGACATTAACGAATCTAGGGGGAGCAGTCTCCAACTTGTGTACGACCGGCGGCGCGCTGAGAAACACCATTCGATTGACACCCCGAGAATTGTCGAAGAAGAAAAGTCGCTAGAGAGTCTTCCTTCGTTCGAAACCGGAGCAGCCTGTCACGTCTCTCCCCAATCTACGCCGTTCTGTCGGCGGATCGCCGCACCTTCGGACGTCCCCCGATCCCCGCGTACTCAATGCTGACGTCATGCTAATTTCGTGCCCCCGTTTCCCCCCCCTCAGAAAGCCCGGCAGCGGGGCCCCCCCGGTGGTGGCGGAACACACGTTGCCGGGGATCAAGATTTCGGCGCCGTGGAAGGTGCACAAGAACTGGGTGACGCGGCTCAAGTACATCTCGCACTCTGCGAGTCTTTTGAGTTGCTCATTGGATGGGTGAGAGCTAGTCACAAGCTCTACCTCTGTACTCTCTTGTCATACTCTGGGCAGATCTATCCCTCTTTCTTGTTTCCCCTTGCCGTTTGCTAGATGATGAGGTTTGAAGTTGGGGTGAAGCGGTTCCGGCGAGTCTGCGAACATGCTATAATGAGATGAGCGGGGCTGTGATAATAGGGTCTCCGCATGTGCTTTCCGTTCTTCTGCTGTAATATACATCTGCTGCAGTTGCTGTTACGCATTTTCGTATCTAGCTTATCCGGCGAGCCTATGAGTTGCGCCACGGAGACTAGGTAAAATTCGAGATTAAGGATACGCGGAGCTTGTAGTCGAACTTTCGCTTTTGCTTGTGAGCGCTGCACGACACTTTTTGGCTCAAGCAACCAAGAACAAAGAGCGGGCCTAAACAATGTTCTAAATCTTGAAATTAGATAGTGGGCACTCCGTATATTCTTCTTCTCCGTTCACGTGAGCGGGCTTCGCTGAGAGCGCGACCTCCAGTGCGTCCCATATATACGTATATTGCGCTGATTCAGAGGCCCTGAAAACTCATTCAGTAGACCTGTGCTTAGTCGAAAGCCGCAACTTTACTTGCAGGTACCTGAATATGCTGGACTACGAGAAGCGGGAGGTCAAGTGGGCGGCTAAAGAACACCAAAAGGGAGTCTACGCCTGCGACTACTGCAGGTCAGTACTGTCGTCTTCTCGGACAATCTGTTTTCCTCTTGCTAAAGCGAAAAAGATGAATGAGCAGAGAATCAACATCTCGCGTGCATGCATTCTGGTTGTTAATTAGCATCTCTGCCACCCTCTCAACGAGCGCAAAATATCGCGCTATTAATATCGCAAAGTAGACGCCAAGCCATGAGTACAAGTTCAAATGACCTGGAATCGGGACCGTTAGGATCGTATGCGCAGGCCTTCTTATAAAAATCAGCGACTTTGCGCTTCCCTAGAGAACAAAACATTCCTGAAGCGAGCACGCAGAACCGCAGCCTATGCTGTGCTTCGTCAAAGAGAAGATGTCGTCAGGGTGACGCTCGCTGACGTCACGCAGGAGCTTCAACTTCATCGTCACGTGCGGGGTGGAGCGCAACATCCTGCTGTGGAGCCCCTACTCGGCGCGGCCGCTCGCGACGCTGCAAGGACATTCGGCGCCGGTCATGGTACATCATTCTCCAGGCTAGGAGATACTTTGGAAAAGTACATGCGAGAGATCCGATGCTGTTGATTTGTTCTGGTTTGCTGCGCCTAACAACTGGATCTTCTGCATCTTAATGTGAAAAAGCAGAAAGAAGAGGCGGACTGCGAAAGAGACCCCTACTAGCTGCTCCACGGGAAAGCCTTACGTTTCCGGGTTCAGAGTCTTGAATTTCCTGTTTGTTGCCGTCCTATCAATGCATCTCAACATAGACTCCTCCACTGCAGATGTCATACGAATTGATACGCCATACGTTGAGCGGTACCGCTTATAACCAGCCAGGTTTTCTTTAGAATCGTCTTGCAGCTTTCAGAATCAAAAAAGGAAAGCTTCTGAAATAGTGTTTGGCGATGCCGCTCAACTTCACGGCTCCTTCGCCTCCTCTAGATCGCTAGCTTTTCCTATGTCCCTCTCAATATTCGGTCCTTTCCGAAGGAGGCGTCCCCGGAATAGGATCCACACGGCGACCAAAAGCCCGACCTGTCAGCTTTGCAGTCGCTCGCAAGAGACACGTAGCCCAGGATTGCAGCGATAGGCAGTGGATACACATTTTCTCTGCATCGATGCAAGCGAACGTGGCAGACGCCCCCTCTAAGGCCCTGTTATGCGTGGAATCTTTCAGCATACAGCTTCTAAGAGCCAGCCTGATATTCTCCTCCGACTTTCTTAGTGCCTGTCGTTCCCTTCCTTCCTTGATCCGCTCCCTTAACTTGCGTGCCTCTGCTTTTCTGACTTGGGGCAGTGCGCTAGCCCCTCCCCATCACTATCTATTTTAAACCCATCTCTTTCAGGACGTAGTTTCCGATCTATTGATCAAGTATCTTGTTCGATCCGGATCTTTCAGGACGTGTTCGTGAACGAGAGCGAGGCGCAGATCCTGAGCCTGGGCGCGGACAAGGTCGTCAAGGTGTGGGACTTCCGGACCAACCGCTGCATCCAAACGCTGTCCGAGCCCGGTGTGAATACGCCCAGCATCACGGCGCTGTTCCAAAACCCCGAAACCCGCGCGCTCGTCGCGGGTGGCCTCGCGCTTCAACAGTGGAACCAGAAGAAAGCGAAGGAAGTGCTGCCCAGCCAAGTGTGCACCGCACTGTATAACGCGAACTTTAGACAGGTGAGAAATTGCGGATGCTGACGAAGTAATCTTTGAAGGCTCACCGCGAAGGGAAAAAAGACATAATTGCGGATGCTGACGAACTATTCTTTAGAGACTCACCGCGGAAGTCGGAGAGCCAAGAAGTGTCGATGTGGCAGAAGGGCCAAGTAGGTGCTTCCACCCATGTTCGCAAATTGCTGTGTAATGAATGACAGCGGTCTACACAACTTGAAGTAACATCTGGCGGCAGCTTGAATGCGCTGAGCTCATACTCCAAGTTCTATTCCAGCACAACGAAATACATGGCCCCTGCTGGATTGCAAGCAGGAGTCAACATGATCCAAGAAAGCAGTTTGCAAAATGCTGCGAAAACTCACAATAACGATCATAATTTCAATGTTGCAGCTGGTGGTATTGGAGGCGGAAGGCGCGATCACGGTGTGGAACGTCGACGACGGGGAGCGCGTATTTACTTTCAGTGACCCGCTAAACAAGTAAGCTTTGTATTATTCTTTTTATAACGTTTCCCTTCCTTAAACCCAGTCCCAGTTGGACAAGCAAGCGCTTAGTCCAACTAGCGCTCAGCTACTTACTGCGACCGGCCCGCCAACTCCGCAGCGTCGCTCGCGCATAAGCATCACGAGAAGCAGCGACGGTCCAATCGGCGGTATCGGAATCTTCGACCGTCGATATTTTTAAATTATGGGACCCACAAGGAGATCATATTCCGCCGGCGATATAAGCGAATTTGAGCGTCCGATCTGGCTGCCTTAAACTAATGAGCAAGGAAAAAACAAACGACTGGTAGCACTGGTCGCGCGTCTTATGTACGCATGAATTTTTGCAGGGTCATAGGCTGGCCGGGAGCTGACACTGCCTACTTCGCAGGACTCTCCTGAGCGGGCCTCCCCTCACCCAAACTCCCTTCCACCCAAATTTGCAAGCATGTTTTCTCAGACAGATGACTTGTAAGCAATGCCGAGCTATAGACTCGCTCCTCGGTCCAGAGATTGCAGATTGCCATGTCGTAGTATGCCTGAAGCAGAATAACCTCAACTTAACCCGAATAAAAGTCAAGATCAGCTCAAAAATCTCTAACTGTATCTCTTGCTTGCTGGGGCCGCTTAATCCAGACATCACATACCTAGTCCAAACCCCTGTGAAAAGTCTTGAAAACATCTTCGAACGACGCTGATTCTTGAACCAAGATTGTTCCCTTTATCAAGGGCGAGCAAGGTCAGTGAAGCTGTGGCCATTTAAAGAACTGACTACCAATGCCTGAAGCACCTTAAAAACCTGGTCATCCGAAACCTCAAGATTTGAACCCGTTGAAAAGTAACCCTTTCACAATCGACGCTGATTCCTGAGCCGAAATCGTTCCCTCCATCAAAACGAGCAAGATCAGCGCAGCTCCGGCCATTCACAGATTTGACTACCGATGCCTGAAGCCCCTCACAAGACTCGTCAACTGATATCCGAAATCTTAAACCCTTTGTAGGTCAGGGCGAGCAAGATCAGCGCTGCTGTCTTTGATCAAAGGACTTCTCCGAACCGACTCACCACACCTAAGTACCTCACGCAGCCGACATGCTGGAATTCAAAAATTCAAACCCTCTATCAGTATTTGACCAAAGGACTTCGCCAGACTGACCCCCAACACCTTGGCACCTCTTGAAGCTAGCAGTCTAACCTCGAGGCTCTGAACTTTCTGTCAGGGCAAGCAAGATCAGCGCTGCTGTTTTCGACCACACGGGGCGGCGGCTCCTTGTGGGGGGCCAGGACGGGTCGGTCCGCGTTTGGAACTTCAACAACGGGGCGTGCCTCAAGACGTTTGTGGTGAGACATCATCGTATCTCCTCCGAACATCCAAGGAACTGTCAAGCACTCCCTGTCGGGCCTCTCTGCCTAGGTGCCTTGCTGTCTAAGCAGCAAGAGTTGTAGCTTCTGAATGTGATAAAGGAGCAAGCAATTGGCAGAGGGCAAGAGACTATGGAGCCGTAGGGACCCCAAACTACATCGACAAGGCGGCGCGTTAAGTAGCCTGAGGTTGCAGTTCGAACACTAAGCGGATCGTCTACCCAACTGTATCTTGCCGGTGTCTGCTTTTCCCGGAGAAAAGGGGGGGAAAGTCAACTCGCGGAAATGAAGAGGGCTTGAAAACATTAGTCGGGCAAGTACACCAAAGAATGGTGCGACTCAAGACCCAACTTAAGTTGAAAACAAGCTGAATCCTAGCCAAGTCTCAAGCGACGCCTGTGGCACTCGTTACTCCCCATGAAATGAAGAACGAGACGACTTGAGCCTTCTAACCTTCCATTTGTCATTCATCCTTGCTTAGGGCAACCTTGCATACTATTACCACGTCGGTAGAGAAACCTCTCACAGCAAAACTTCTCGCTCTTCGTTTGACTCGCAGGGATTTGGCGACATGGAGGTGACGTGCGTGGCGTCAGTCGTGGAGACGAAGGCGTGCTTCGTCGCCGCAGCTGGCTGGAACGCGCATGTGAGTGCAAAATCTCCAAAGAAGGGTTTGAAACTTTCAGCTGACTGTCAAAAGCGTCACGATTATGCTGTTGAGCCTTGGCTTTTGGAAAAGGATCTGTGACCTTACGGCTGGTAATGGAAGCGATTATCGCTGAGAGTAGCGCGGTCTTAGGCGCACAAACATTTTGACGAAAAGTCACAGGTTTGCGGACGAGTCGTTAAGGCCGTGACAGACTTCAAGCTTCGAGAGCGCAGAGCCCTTTACCTTATTCTCCCGTTTCTTTACATTTCTGATTGCGCTACGCCTTTGGGCGGATCCCTGTATTGAAAGCAGATTTGGAAGGTCTGGGGACGGACGACGCGCGCTGTTGCCTCCGAGCTTTTGCCGCATAGCGCTTCGCTATTGCAGGACCTGAAGACGCAGTCTGCACCCCAGAAAAGAAGAAGGGACATCAGATTGTAGAACGAGGAGCAAAGGCTTATTCGCTCGTCCAGATGTGCGTGTGGGAGGATCGAACCTGGAGAGTGTAACCAGCCCATCGCGCTTCACTATGACAGGAGCTGGGAGCGCATTCTGCGCCAGGTTTAAAAGATACGAAGATCCGATTTCGGACCGAAAGCGAAGGTTAACCACTTTTCCAGTTGTGCGTATGGGAAGATCGTACATGGACACTGTGACCAGCATATAGCGCTTCACAATATCAGGAAGCTGAAAATGGGATTTGCACCAGATCGAGGAGAAAGGGGAGTTCAGACTGTCACACGAGAAGCAAAGCCTATCCACCCTTTCCAGGTGTGCGTATGGGAGGATTCGCACATGGACACTGTGAGCAGCATATAGCGCTTCACAATTTCAGGACCTGAGACCGCGAAGCCCATCAAATCCAGTAAAACCGGAGCTTCGATTCCAAAACGAGCGGCAAAAGCTTATCCGTTCTTTCCAGGTGTGCGTGTGGGAGGATTCGCACATGGACAGTGTAACCAGCCCATAGCACTTCACATTTTGGGGAGCTGAGAATGCAATCTGCACCAAATATACCAAGAAAGGGGGATTGGTTTAGAGAAGAAAAAGCGGAAGCCTCTCCACTTTTTCCAGGTGTGCGTGTGGGAGAATTCGCACATGGACAGTGTAACCAGCCCATAGCACTTCACATTTTGAGGAGCTGAGAATGCGATCTGCACCAAACATACCAAGAAAGGGGGATTGGTTTAGAGAAGAAAAAGCGGAAGCTTCTCCACTTTTTCCAGGTGTGCGTGTGGGAGGATTCGCACACGGACACCGTCACCAACCACAAGATGTTCGTCGGACACGCGGATGACGTCAGCTGCATGGCGATGGTCGCGCCCGGGGTGCTGGCCACCGGGTGCCAGGACGGGAAGGTGAGCGGCGAAAAAGTGACCGGGACACCTCCCCGAGCGCACTGCCAGAAGCTTGATCCTGGAGCCTGATCCCTTCGAAACATTCTTTCTTGCATGACTCCGCTTCAATTGAAAGAAGCAATTACATTCGGAAAACTGTTATTGCGGAGCTGCAGCGAGCTCTGGCGTTCGCTCAGTCCCTCGATCCGCTCACTGCCGTGACTGCCCCGTGCCGCTTTCGCGCGGCCGCCATGCGCGAGAACCGCGGAAGGAAGTTTCGAGCTCGTGCCCCGTTTCCTGAAGATGTGTTCTACCTCCATTCGAGACTTCTAGAAAGACCAGCGAAGATATCAGACGCTGAAGGATTTGGTAGCTTAACGGCTTTACCGGTGATTGTGACACAAGCCGGAGACGTATGTCGAGGCCGCCCTCTCCTTTACTTCGTCGTTCGATGACCTGCCACTCAACCCTTCCAAAACTTTTTTTTCAAGAGAAGAACAGCATCAACTTCTGGGAACCCTGCAGTGCGAGAGAAGCAGGCAATTGAGAACCTTCGCTGCTCATTCTCTCATGTGATCCCCTACAGTATCAACAAACTCTACCTAAACACTCTGCTCTATCCGATTCCAGGTCATTGTGTGGAAAAATGGACGGCACCATTCGGGCGACCCGAAAAGCGAGAAGAGCAATAAAATTGATCTGAGTGGCCTTGCAACTTTCTGTGCTTTGAATCTCTCCTCTAGCCTCAACATTTTCTGCATTATAAGCGGTATTTCTGATTCTTCTCCAGGTTTAGTGTGTTTATAAGCGGTAACCCTGATTCCTCTCCGGGTTTTAGTGTGGTTATAAGCGGTAACCCTGATTTCTCCCCAGGTTATAGTGTGGAAAATGGACGGCACCATTCGGACGACCCTGAAGCGCGAGGACCGCGCGACGGAGGCCCTCGAGCGGACGTCCGTGCTCGCGCTGTGTCCGCTTCCGGCGCAGGCGCAGACCCTGGCGGTCGCCGGAACGGACGGGAAGGTTGCCATCTGGCGGATCGCGGACGCTTCTTTAGTGTATCTATTAGACACCGGACACATGGGGACGCTGGGGCCAATGGTGTCAACCCTAGATAATAAGGCGAGTAGTCGGACGCACATTGGCTGAACGGTTTCGGACGCTTCTTCTGTTGCTGCGGACAGTGCATATGCGGACTGAGTCGGACGCTGCTCGGGCATACTTGTTAGAAACCGGACACGCGTCGGCAATAAGGCAAGCGCTCGGAGGCACGTTCACCAACTCTGCGAAATCAAAACACCAACTTTTGCAGTCTCTGTTTGCTACGGACATTCTGGGCGCTCTAGTCGTGCGACGTGTCTTCTGGGCTCGTTCTAGTGGACGACGGATCTGGACGGAAAGTTGGCACCTTGTCAGGCGCCACTCTCGAAGATCTTCCCCTCCTGCACTCGAAAGCTAACCATGTCTCTTTTTCCCTTTCTCAGACGCTCTTCACAACCGATACCTCCGGCACAATCAAGTCGTGGGACCTTTCTTCCGGCACGTTCCGGCGGCAGACGAACCTGGACGGAACGGCACGGCGGAGCAGCCGCCGGCAGGTGACCGTCGGCCCAATGCGCATTAAAGAAAACTACTGCATCCAAACGGAGGACGGAGAGATGGTGGCGATAGCTTATGCGGACGCAGAGCGTATGGTGCTCACGGCGTGCGCGAGCGGGTCCAGGTGCGCGTGGCTGACATTTTCCTGCTGCAATTTTTCCCGACCATATCCGCCAATAAAGAAAAGAAGCTTTGGGGTCTGACAGGTAATCTCCTTTGAACTCAAATACACAGTCGAGATATTAATAAGGGAACCGCACTGGGACGGGTAGGGTTATTTTGGTGGTTAGGGTGGGTATGGGTGCGGAGCAGGTACCTTTTTGGGTTAGGGTTTTTCGTATTTGTCGGAGCTTATCATCATCTTGGCTTATTTTTATCTTTCTTGAGATTCATTTGATTTCCGGCTACGGGTCGGTACGCCCGAATTGCAGATAGATAATGGTAAGGCCGGTGAGTCCCTGAATGGGTTAACTTTGGTATTCTTGTTACTGAAAGCTGGTAAGAAGGGCACAATATTGGCCAACTTCGTGACGACTCTATGCTAGGCACAAACGATATCAACCTTGAAACACTTCGTCTGGTCACAACTTTCGGACGTCCGCTTCTCCTCGCAGTCTGGTATCAAAGTTTGAGGGATTGGGGCATCGGAATGTTGGACGATCTTACGAACGACAAGCCAGACTACGATCTCGCCGATCAACAGTCGACGAACAATTCAACTCGTTATCTGACGCTTCCGCGTTCCCTCGCAGCCGACTTTGGACGTCCGACGGGGTGCCCATCGGCCGATTCGGACAAGAGAAGGCGTGGAACCTCAGGGATCGAGGCACGTGGATCTCTGAAAAACCTTCTTATTCGCCCCTGAATTCCCTGGCGGAGGTCGACGAATCAGCGCCGCACACGTGGCACACTCTGGGCCGCGGGCTGACGATGCCGCGTCTCGGGAGACTGCTCCTGGAACGGGACGAAGAGGCTTCGGATGAGGAGAATGAGGAAGACGATTCCCCGGGGGTTGCCCCTGCGCAAGAAGAGGAGGAAATGTGAGTCGTTTTTGTGAGTTGGTTTGGTGCTATTACTCTAGGATCCTCGGCGGCTCTTTTGAGATTGAGGAGGCGTCGGTTGAGGAGAATGAGAAGACGAATCACCAGGGGTTGTTCCGGTACAAGACGAGGAGGAAATGTGAGTGGTCAACGATTTATGAAGTTGGTTTGATGCTGTCACTCTTACGATTTTCGGCGGCTCGTGAAGATTCTGTTACGGAAACGAGGACCCGCCGGATGAGGAGAACGAGGAAGACAAGTCACCGGGGATTGCTCTGGTACAAAGAGGAGGAGGAAATTTGAGGATTCTCGATTTGGATCCACAATCTTGCTATTTGGAAGTCACGCGGTTCATGGATGGGTAGAGCGGCTCAGATTGGGTGTTGTAACGGGATGTCTGCCACATCTCGTGTGCATTACTCTTGAACAGGCCTTTCAGTCTCGTCAAGAGGAGCTGAACGAGGCTCTTCAACATCCCAATCTGTGGTATGGACAAAGACCGCAGGGCGATGCAGTCTTTGCATTGATGGTAAAAGCAGAAAGCGTTAGGCAAGTCGTCCTCGTTGATAGCTTCTCATGAAGTCCTCAAGAATCTACTTGAAGTGCTTCACTGAACTCACTTGCCTATTTGAAGCGGTCAATATGATGCCTATTTTGCATCCTCCTTCGATTGTTTCTCTGTTTTCAGTCACATCATTCTTTCACACGATGTCAAAGTGTCTGGTCCAGACGCCTAATCGCAGTTGTAAGCAGATGACTCCGACTGCCATACCCCTGATTGTTCGAACCTATTAGTCATTGGATCGACCGCGACTCAGTACTGAAGCTGCAGTGAGTTTGAAGCTGGTTTCAGTCCCAATTTGATGTTTCCTGACCGCCACACCATAATTGGTTAACTCTCAAAGCCAGGTTTCTCAAGCGGCCAATATAACCGTGCAGTTTGTGGTCGGTAGAAGACCAGGTGGACCAGTTCTTAGAGGCGCACAAGCGGAAGGTTCACGGGACTTCCGTCAGCCTCCAAAAGCTGACGTCAGGCGGTTTGAAAGTCAAGGTGCGTGCGCAGCACTTCCCAAAATGTGAAACTCCTTAGTACTGTGGTTCAGCTTATTTTGGTGGGTATTGGTTACCAACTCCAAGGAGAAAAGGAGGAAGAGGATCTGCTCCGTAAGAAGGTCCTAAGTCCATAAGTACGAAACGCGTTCATCAGTCAGACAAAGTAGGTACAATCACCGTTTTCACGTGCACTTTTGGAGCGCACTTCACATCTTTGGTCATAGCCAAGAAGGTGATTGCCGATCTCTTCGTCTTTCGAAATCTGCAATGACACTTTCTGCTTGAAGGGGGGAGGTCGGGGTCCCAGTCGAGTCGCTGAAAGCAGATTTGATTGTTCTGCATACGTGTTCGATGTTCGAAAGCTGTTTCTGGCTTCGATTATGAGTTCTTCCTACGAGGCCAACTTGTTACCTGTCCTTACAAAAAGGAGCCACCTGTTACTAACGGCAGTTTCTGGCTCCACTCCTCGCAGGATCTTGCCCCGATAGAATCAATTAAGCACCTGTCACCGTCGAAGACTCCCCAGCAAACATCACACCATTGAAGCTTGAACTTGTCGACTAGCTTATCTGACGTTAGAAAACGCAACTAGGATCAAATCTGAGGGTACAAGCACATCTGGCTCTGCCTCATATGTGCCTAGTCAGCTTAGGAATGATCCTCCGGAGTTCTACTCTCAGGCGCTCGGATCTTATTTAAGGGTCAAGCAAAGTCGCAGTAATCCTTTCCCTTACCGAGCTACAGACGTAACCAGGAAGTCGAGTCTTTGAGTCTGAATGGGTTTTGGGCACCTGAAAGCGCGCTCCGAAGGATGGAGAGCTACAGCGACAAAAGCAGGATTCTCTCGTGTGCTCTTGCTGCCAACTTATAAAGTCTAAGGCGGACGCAACGTGACAGCTCGCTCCTGGCTTACCCCTCACCATGATCATTGAGCAACTGTCGGTCAACTTAAGAAACACATCAGGCATGGTTTACGAAGAGATGAAACTTGTACCTTGCTTCGTTGCTGCTAATATTTGCAAAGAATTCAGTCTCCTGTAGGACGGAATGCCTGCCCAGCAGATCTGTCGGTTGCAGACACGGTTCGAGCGATTCAAAGAGCTAATGAGCTAGTGATTTTCCTCAACGGGACGTCCGCGCCCGTCTGGGCCGTCCGCTTCCTTTCGTGGCCATGAGGACTATGAATGAGACTCTGCTCACGAAATCTCCTCCGAACTTCGATTTCGACGAAGGTGCCTTGGCCGGAATGCATTACTACACGCAATGAGTTCTTGATGGGTAACTGGTAATTGAGCTGAGCCCGGGGATATCATGGGGAATCTCTCACTTGGCCAAACTAGAATGTGAACAGATTCAGAACCACCCGGTCGGTTTGTGATTTTGTCGCAGGGTCTAAGTGAACCGTCAATCATTTCATGGTTCCTTCCGTGACCATCAAATAAGCACTCCCCTGGAACCATGGCTAAAAGTCATGCGATTCGGGGCCGACCGGCCCAGGCACGTAGCTAGATTGCAGACTGGAGAAGGACAAGACCCCAGAGGCGTCTTGGTGTGCACACTGACTAATTGCACGTCAAATTGCTCGATGGGGCCTGGCTACCGAGATAACTACGTAATGCGCATGCAAGAACCCACTTGATTGTGCCGCTGGCACGGCCGAACTCTTGCAGATGCGCGCCGCGAACGCCGTTCCGAAGTCCACGGGGGCATGACCCGTCAACTTATGCGAGAAGGATCTCGCCCCTGGCAACATCGGGATACCCTGTACACCGTATCGTACTCATCGTCCAAGGTATCTTCGAGACTACCTATACTAACAGGCGACTTATGTGAGTCTGACCACCAAGGGACGTGATACGTGTAGGGTTTCACGGATCTGACGGCATTGACCAGGTTGACTAATAAGACGGATCAAAATGAATGGATGACAATCGGACGGTTGTGGGAGCGGAATCTGCAAGCGCCGAAAAGGACGGCCGCCGGCCGGCCTGTAGGCTGTTACGTCAAAGCGCCAAAATCGCACGACACGTGTCGCCGCCAGGCTGCCCGCCGGCCAAGTTTGACGGCGTGCTTTCAAGTTCCGTCTTTATGGGCGGCTATGGGCAAGAATACATCATAATGCAGCGAGCACGTGAGCTTTCCGCCGTTTTGCCAGCATTCTCAACAGCCTTCGACTGAGTGACTGGCTCAGCCAGATCTGCTGATGCACTGATGCACTGGTTGAAGGTGAAGCTAGACATCAGTCGGCCAGCAGGCGACCAACCCGGCGTTCAGTCTTCCGAGTTGCTCGGACTTGGATAAGCGGTGCATATCCAGACCTCTGCCCGAGTTGTCAAATACTACATTGAAGTCCACGCCTAAGTTAGAATCCTCAAAAGTGGGCTCAACAGCGCTAGTAGTCCAGCAGCAGCGCTGTGCATTCGCTATTGCAAAGCCATGGACTCGAGCGATGTCGAGAAGGTGCTGTCGCTGCTCAAACGGCTGCTGATGAAGAGGAGCAAAGAGTCTTCTTCGCTGACAGAGAAAGACAAAGCAGTTCAAAGCCTGTTACAGTTTTTCTGCCTGTGGAGTCACTGCCCACCTACGTGGTTGCACAAGCTTGTGTCAGACAAAGAGACTCGCGAAAAGCTCGCACTTGTGGGCGACGCAGCGCTGAAATTCTACGTCATCAAAGAGCTCCTAGCGCAGGGGGTCACGGCTCCTTCAGAGCTCCACAAGAAGACGCAAGATATCGTCACCAACGAGAGCCTTGCAAAGCTGGCCGGACAACTAAAGCTTACCGCCGCGTTAGGCAGCACGCAACCAGGGGTGAAAACTGCCGCAACTTTCATGGAGGCTCTCCTGGGGGCGGGGGAAGTACACCTGTCGGGAAGATTCACGCAGGTGGTGGTTTTGAAAATTATGGGCCGCTTAAGTGCCCTTTAGCTTTAAACTGGGTCAACCAATAACAAGGAAAAGGACAGTGTTTAAAGATATTTCATGGTACAAGGCTAGAATAGTCAAGACTCGTAGTATCAGAAGCTCAGGAGTCGAACGAGTCAATATTCTGTCGTGAGATTCACATCTAAGTGCTGGAGACCTTGAAGGTTTATTTTGAAAATGTTCTGAATGTAATTAGGAGCATCCCCCGAGCCTCAGTGCGCTAGTCGGAGGGCAGGAGTTTGTTGCAAATCTGGGTGGGGAAAAGTTATGTTGCTAGAGATTTCATACTTTGTGGTTCTTGGGTCTCTCTACCTCGATTAATCCAAGCTCCTCTATTCACGTTGGAGTCTTCTGTAAGTTAAGATGGCCGTTTCAAGGACGATTATGACGATTATGAAGTGCGGTACCTCAAGCTACTTTTTGGACGTTTTGACCCTGGGTCAGATCTTAACAGAGGGAATCCACTCTACTGCCTTGACTGCTCAAGGATTTTATGCCGTGCAGAATGACCCACCTGTACTTTGTGACTCTACGTTAGATTTTCTTATGACGCCGCACTTGGAACTAGTTGGACCAGACTGCCTCTCGAAAATCCATTTAAGAGCTCCTCCAGGAACAGCTTTGCAAGCACGTCGTAACCCAGAGCCCATGCATGCTAGTCGATAACGATCTTCATGTACGGACTTCTATCGATTGTGCCAATGGGGTGCCAATCAACAGCTTTACTCTTCTATAATCACCGCGACGAAACAACTTCCCATTATATAAACGTAGACCACATCTCAAAGCTAACGCTCAACATGTTGAGTATTCATCGCCGATAGGAGCTACACGAAGGCTGATTGTTAATCTAGAATTAGTAGGCTTTCTGGGCGGCCATGTTCAATTCGCTGGCCAGGATTGAGGAGCATTGCTGCATGCATGCCACCGACATGTCATCGAGTTAAGTGCAGGAAACAGTGACAGTCTCCAGATATTCAATCAATGCGCTGATGTATATAGTAGGTTTATATCATCTACGTGCCAGAAGTCCCGTCACGTGTAACGTGGCCAGCCTGTGTACAGGACAGAGCACCAACGTGGCCGCGGCCATATGTATAAGCAATGCTCAGCTAGCTTTCAGTGCACACGTACGTCATATGTTTGCGCATGCGTGCAGAATGGAACTGCAATTTCCGGTCAAGCAGACTACATTCGATGCCTGAAAGTAAGGCTCGTCGGAAGGATCGAGTCCCGTTTTAAGCCCGGTCCAATCTTTTTCTTTGAACAGATGATCCACTGTCCAACGGGCCTTCAATGCTCTATTGCACGATCTACGAAAAGAAAGTTGAAATGACCATGAGCAGGCTATTGATGTTAACCAAAGCCTGGGAAGTTTCATTTAACCCTATGTACAAGACCAACTTGTCAGCAGTCGTGCTATCGTCCAGACCAGGCCGTTGACGAATGCAGTCCGGTCTCCTAAATGTTCAGCGATCAGAACCACGCCAATCGCATCGCTCCGCTCTATCAAGTGCGGGCTAGCTCAACTTTTCTTCCGACCGCAGCCAGCAAAACGCCCAACGCCCAAGACCTTTCAATGACGGAATGTCATCATTCTGTGCCGACGAGATTGAACTCCATTATCAGATGTATTGCCCTTCCAACTACTTCTACCTCAAACAACGGCGCCCTTATATTCCCCAGCCAGAAGGGTGTAGTAAACGCCCCCGGCTTCCTCCTTGACGCCGGCGCTCTTGACGGGTTCCGCAATAACCCGCTTCTCCATTTCTTCAACGACCGGGGGTGCTGTGTAGGTGCCCCCGGTTTCAAGCTTCGTGCGGAATTTAACCTCCCGGTACTCCTGGCAGAGCGCGCACTGTAGGGGACGAGAACAGTAGTTATAAGCGCTTGGTTTCTTCAACCGAGGAGTCACACTCAGGCTTCCAACCCTGAATTTAGAGGAGCCCGAAGACGCAAACAACATGTTGATTATGCATGCCGATTCTGCTCAAAGTTTGACGCGCTGCCACAGAGGAAAGCGTTGTGTAACCTATCCTCCGGCCAATTTGAAGCGAGCAGTAAGAAGGGTGATCTGAAGGGACAACAAGCAGATGAGCCTGCGACGCCCGGGTCAAAATGGACCCGAAATGCAACGAGATCGTGATCTCCTGATCGACCATCAAACAATTTAGCAAAAACGAGCTTTATTATATCTGATTAGCGATCCTGCGGTTCTTTAACCTGCATCCATTACACGATCTAGCAGTCAGAAGAACACCGAGCGAACGGAGGATGCCTTGCTTGTTGCTTAGTTTGGCCACTGACGTTATGTTTTTCAAGGTTCGTGACGAAAGGTGAGCGTTTGCCGGTCGTTCGGGCGCTTCCTTCTTTGCTGGGTCGGTGAAATTAGAATCAGACTGACGGAATCAAACAAACAAAGCCACTCACTGGGTGGCACCAGTAGTGCACGAAGCAGTCGGCCAGCCGGCCCTCCGCCTCGCTCGCCAGCTCAAACGGCCCCGTCGCAGCCAGCCCGTACTTGCCGCGAATCACGCTCCTCAGGGGGGCAGCGGCGCACGGCGCGTAGCCCCAGTGGCACAGGAAGCAGCCCCCCAACAAGGCCCCCCCCAGCACGGCGAAAAACTGCGCGAGCGCTGACGTCATGCAGGAGCGGCCGGTGACGAGGCGGTGGGTCTGGCCGTAGAGGACGCACGGGCAGAGCGCGCCGAGGAGGCCTGCGGAAGGGGAAGTGACTTCAGCCGTGATATCAGCGACACCGGAAGAACGTCAATGGGTTGCCTCAGAGCCGAGTTCGTCTTGAGAACCGGGACTTTGGTGTTGGGAAGCAAAGGGGGGGCTAGAGGACGCAGGCGCAGAGGGCAGCGAGGAGGCCTGCGGCTGGGGGAGTGACGCCAGCGGCCACGTCAGCGATGATGTCAGCGACACCAAGGAAAGCCTCAGTGATTGCAACAGGATGGAGTTCGTTTGAAAGAGGAGAAGAACGGGGGACCTGCAGTTCGGGAAGAAGGAAGAAGGGGGCAGAAGCACGGCGCACCGCATGAAGGATTCAAGCGGAAGGTAATGTCATCTTAGCAGCGACAAAGTGGCCACGTCAGAACTTGCATAGTAAAAGTCTCTTGATTCACCCAGTCATCATGTTGGAGTGAAGTCAAACAGTAAACCAAGTCCAGAAGCTTAGCTGTCAACTTCAAAAGTGATAATAGCATCTCCTGTACCCTAAGTCTTACATGTCGGCACGTCCAAGCAGCAGTCAAACAGGCCGGTCGACCACTCCTGCGGCTCCGCTTGCTTGGCTCCCCCAGGGAAAACCACCGTGCGCTCCTCGCCCTTGACGAGCCCCTGGTCTCCGAGCCTGGGGCACTCCACCGGGCGCCTCAGACTTTCATTTGATAGCGTTTCTTCTCCCACCGAGTCAGTGATGACCACAAGCGGGTTGCCAACCTTGCTCTGATATTGTGCTAATGCCATATTCCAAGGAGATGACTCGCCCGAAGTCACATCACCCCCGCCAAAGCCCTCCAGGTTCCCGATCGCACTCTTCTCAAGCCAGCAAGGTTGTTGCGTCAGAGAACGGTATGGGGAGCTCCGACGGGCCCCCGCAGTCGCGATCAACAGCTCATACTTCTCTTTAGAATCCTCCTCATCATCGAAGGCAATGAGCTCAGGCAAATCGTCTTCGTCGTCGCTGTCTTCTCCAACTAGAGGCGGGGGCTCGTCGTCATCGCTGACGTCATCGTCGCTGTCGCTCCCGAGCTCGGGCATGTCATCATAGTCAGACACCTCGCTGAGGTCAGCAACGAGCTCGGGGACCCCCTCTGAATCTGAGTCTGACTCTGCCTCAATCAATTCGGGAAGGTCGTCGAAGGAGTCCTCTTGCAGGGGGGGGAGAGAGCTCTCTTGATGGAGGGGTTCGCTGCTGCTGACCCACACAACCTGGCCAGGACATTTCGGGTTCTCCGCCATGCCTGTAACCAGCTTTTTAGTTTCCAGGGCTCGTTGGCTGGAGTCAGGACGAGGACTTGAAGATCTTTCCTTGCAAGGTGCTGCCACAAGTATGCGGAGTAAGGATGGCGGCAGTCACCTGAGAGGAACACGAAGGGGCACTTCCTGAGCATTGAGCAATTGCAAGCTGGACGTAGAAAGAACTTCTGTTTGGAGTAAAATATGGAACTGTAAGCAGCAGTTCCACACATCTGCCATAAGGGCTGCTGAAACAGAGAGGCGTAATCTGACAGGCGCCCTCTGCAATCTATGACAGGAACAAGACAGACTCCATTCGCTTAGTCTGACAAGCCAAATGCTTGAACTGTCCAGTGCAGTGATGGTTGATCAAAAGATTTCTTAATCCTGAAGCGCATGCAACATTTGGGTTGATTCTCAAAAGCACCATCTTGTTGCACAGATGAGCAATGGAGCTCTGTTTCGATAAGCTAAGACCCAGAAAGGCAGCTAACTTCTTCGGGTGTACGACAAAAGATCGGGGTCATTTGGTTTGATGGTCTCTGGACCAAGCAAATGTGCCCTGATTCAGACCAACAGGTGATCTTAAGGTCCACATTGCAGCTCCGTCTGACAAGACAGAAGCACGAATTTTTTTCTAATATGCTACAAATACGTGGAAGAGGTCCTGAGCTGATAAAGTACAAAAAAGGTAAATTCTGATCATTAGCTGTGTAACCTTGCTTCTCTGTGGAATCAGCTGACGTGACATTGCTGCAGAACATTGTGACTTTGATCGATGAGACAGCAGGTAGTCAATCCCATTCATGCAATGCAATACCATTGCAAAAGGCTGAGTGAGGGCCACCGGCGAAGCAGCTCACCTGAAGCGAACAATCCTCCCCTTCCTGAGGCTGCAGAGCTAGGCCACAGCGTTTCTGAATCTAATGAATTAAAGAGAGCTCCGTTGATCCTCCCTTGTCAAGGCAGCTAGCTGCGCCCCTGTATTAGTAATGCAGGAGCGCCATGTGTGACTGGTTTAGGGTTCCACAGGGTATCTGATTCTGTGGTACCCCTGCCGCCATCAGCCTGTTGAAGTGCACCCGCGCGCCCGCGGCCGCCCGAGGACAAAATATGACGATGCGGCCGCGCACGCGGCCGCCGCCTTCCAGCGGCCAGCCGGTGCCGGGCGTTTTCCGGCCGGGCCCGTGGCAGTATTGTGGCTTCTATAATTTCAAGGAAACATGTTGTCGTGTTTGTACATGGAATATCAGTACATTGATACTCAGGGGCACCAGTTATACATCATGCACGGCCTGTTGCCAATCATGCAACTTACAGCTGCACCAGCCCCGACATTGTTTGGAATTCTCAATTAACATCATTGAAAGACGCATGATTTGAGATGTCAGAGCCCCGGCAAGGTCGAAGCACAGTGTACCGCCGTGAAGCGATTGGAGAATCTCAGAGTGCGAGGAACTGCAACCTAGTACGTCAACATGTCTAGCTCACTCCACTTCAAAGATACAATGATCCACTTTGAACTTGATACTACGGAGATCAATGATATATCTCCTCCACATCCGCATTGAGTTCGTTTCTGTTACGAAGAGAGAAGGCCTTCGCCCAATAAAGAATGAGTCCGCTACTGCTGCCCCGCTTAATGCTGTTATCAACGCTGCTGGTTTACACTCAAATCACGATAAGCATTGACCAGGCTCTTCAGAAGCAGCTTCTTCATCGCTGTTCTCAAGAAACTGCGGACGACCAGCAAGCGACGCAGCCAAACCGCTTAAAGTCGACTCTTCAGTCGCCCAACACTAGCCCTTGCGTCTGCATAAAACGTTCAGATTTTAGCCGCAAACGCTAGCCCCGACTTGAGCTCCTCCTGAGACTCAACGCTCGGTCGCTTCCGCGCAACTTCGGACATCAGCTTGTTATCGTCCGGCGTCCCGCTCTCGAGGAAGGCCCCGACCACCTTTTTGTCGTTGACCCAGTAGGCGCCAAACTTGCCGCCCTCCTTGATCGCCTCCTCGCGGCCCCACACAACGACGTCGCCCACGTTCTCGCCGTAAAACACCCAGCTCAACTGCACGCGAGCCACCGAGTTTACGTTTATAAGAAATTTGCTTCCGCTTGAATTAAGAATGAAGGCAGACCGTAAGTGCAAGCCGGCAAGCGAAGAAGCTTTCTAGACGGTGTGGTCTCTGCAATGCAATTCTTTGATCTGGAAGGGGCTGGAAGGCTGAAAGAAGACCTTAGGAACACTCTGTCTCAAAGCGCAACCAGTCTTCCGACCATAAAGCACTGATCTGGGTAAGTTCTAAACTGCACGATCCAAGGTCTGGATGAAGACTGCATGACAAATCGACTCCCCTTCCCAGACTGCTGTTGAAAACATGCTACGACCGCAGGAGTGAAAACGAAGCAAGAGTATTCGATACTTGCGCTTGCGATCCCACTGTTTTCTTCTAGTGAGTCTTGACAAGGAGTCGAAAGATAAATCGGACTCGTCGGGCGACCGAAGTTCCCTACGCCTGTCCTTCTGCCGTCCTTAACAGGTTATTTGAACCACGATAGGAACCTAGAGTTTCAGAGACACGCAGAACTTTAAAAATCTTTGGAACGTGATCCATACCTTACGCGCGCGGGAGCAGAATCTATTACGCCAGGGAGTCGTACGCGAGCAACGACTGACGTTCTGAAGATGTGCGACTCTTTTTGTCTTTTTGCACCAAAAAAATGTGCAAAGGAACCAAAGATTTTCGGACCTAGAAACACATCCGTCTTTAATATACAACCCGTACCTTGAAGACGCGGGAGTAGAAGTACGGCAGGTAGTCATACTCGGGGATGCTCTCGCCCTTCTCCTCCGCCTTGATGGCCTGCACCGCCTGCATCACGCTCTTCCGCGCGTTGTCCACGTGCTCGACACGTGTCAGCTCGCCGTCCTTCATCTTCAGCGGGAACGCCGCCACGTCACCCACCGCGTAGACGTCTGGCTCGCTCGTCTTGAAATTGCCGTCCACCTGAATGATAAACAGGACGTAAGGAGATGGTAATGGGTGGAAGGTCTCCGCTTCTAAATACCGACTGAAGTTTGTTAAACTTAACAAAGCGGACAATCTGCAAAGACTTGCCTTTTGGGAGGTGCCTAGATCTCCAGCAGAAGGGGATTGTGATCTCCTTGTACGCCTCGCTACTCCGGAGAAACGTGCTCCTCGTAATAAAGGTAAGACAGAGTCCTTCCCGAAAGGTTGAGCGGGTCATGAAAGTGTGGTATGCTAAGGACTGAAGACTAGTTGCTGGACACCTCGCAATGGTTAATGCATGCTACCATCCGCAATTTCTTTTTAGCATCCGTCGCAGCTGTTCAGACCTTTAGTGCAGACAACCACCGATAAGGTCTCAGAAAACGTAAAAGGTAAATTTCAAGCAGCGTGAGCCTCTGCTGCTCGGTCCTCTCATAAGATCCCCTATCCCTGCCTGTTTCGCCGACGTCACCTACTGCTTTTCCTATTCTGACGAAATAATCGCTCGTCTCCTTTTCTGAGATTAGTTTGCCATGAGTGAAAACGGACGAGAAATGTCAAAAGTCCTCTCGCTTCTGACAATCAGTTCTGCCAACGCCATAGCACGTTCGTAACCCAAGTGCTCAGCTTCGCAAATGCGAGATCCTAACTCCGAAGTACGGCAATTACCGAAGTGCTGACCTTGAAGCCGCCCTTGGCCATTTCGAGCTGGCCCTCGAAAAGCCCCACTCTGGGGCGCGCCCCGATGCCCACCACGAGAAAGTCGGCCGGCAACTCCTCCCCGTCCTTCATCCGCACGCACTGGATCTGCACGAGAAAGGGGCGACCGGAAGTGAACAAGTGTTAACGACGGAAGAAGCGGTTAGACCTATCTTTGACCGGGTCTGTGCAGAGGCCGCCCGCGATCATTCCCTAGAACCCTAATCTCTAAACCCCTAAAATCCTAAAGCCCTGAGACCCTAAAACCCTACTGCACGTATGCACGCCCTGAATCTGCAAATCAACCGGCGAGCGGAGATGCATAACTGATTGTAAATGGAGAAAAGACGACAAGTACAAGAAGGGCTGCGGAATGGATCAGTACAACGAAGCGACGAAGCTGAGTTGCACAAATGACCGAAGATGAAAAGTGACAGCAAAGGCGTATGAGCGCAGTTGCACTTGCGACTGAAACAGGATACGAAAGCAAACAACGCGCCAACCAAGAGCCCAATGTAGGAAGCCAGGTTGGCGGCACCTTATTTGGCTGTCCATCGTGTTGGACGATGGCGGCTGCGAGCCGGCCCCTGAACACCTTGATGCCCTTGGCCTCGTAGTAGCCCTCGTAGAAGGACGCAATCTCTGGTGTGAACAGGCGGGGCACTGCGAAGACTCCACAGAATTCCAGTCAGCTTTTCTTTCCTGACTTACCCACTTTTCAACCCGACTCATCCTCAGACGCACACCAGTGTTATTACGGCTTCGTCGCTCACGGAAAGTAGGAAGGATGTTAGCGGTCGACATAGACGAAGAGGCGAGTAAGTGAGGCGTTGGTAAAAGGCCCACGCCCCAATGTCTTTCTCAGAAGTATCCTTAAAAGGGTTGCCTCAATCCTGAGGAAGTCGTCGGTATGAGGACGAGCTGCTGAAACCGTCAACCTCAAGTCACTACAGAACGTTATTGTCGCTTTCCATCTTGAAAGTCGACTGCTTGCTTGAACGCCGCCTCGTGGGCTGGAACGACTGCTGACCCTCTCTCGAGTTCTTTATACGCTCATACGCTAATACCTGCTGCGCATCGACTTCTTGCCAGAAGAATTTTTGAACGTTGGGTCCTCAGAAACGATACAGTGGTCGAAAGGAGTCACAGTACACGAAGCACAGACTTGTTCCGGAAGAGACGCCACTCAAAAAGGATGCAGTGGTCGAAAAAGTTCACAACACAAGAAGCACGGAGTTGTCAGGAAGATAACATATAGGAACATAGACGCCCCGAAAGACAACACAATACCACACAAATATTTGATGACAACTGGACGACAGGCTGATTGAGCCCACGTGCAAGAAGAGTAAGATGCTTACTCAAATGCGGCTCGGGGTACACGATCGTGACGTCCAATCCGTTCAGGCTGAGTCCCGCTCCCACCTCGCAACCAATGTAACCTCCGCCCACCACAATAACCTTAGCCTGCATGAAAGCGGAGAGAAGATTCAGAAAAACCGTCCGTAAAGTGCTGTTTGCTTGAGAATTGTCATCCTTGCAAGCGCACCGGACTCGCTGGCACGCTACATGGACCGCACGAATGACGTGAGCAGCTGAATGAACGTGCGGTCACAAAACCAGCTGATGGAACGACCGTTTGCTGCCCGCCTCCATGCAGGGTCGCAGAATCGATGCACAGCAACCGGAGGAAGCGAGTAGACTCAATAAAGTCCTTTTTTTCGCATCTTCGGACATATACCTTCTGCTCAGTCGGTGTTAATGATAAACTACGAGCAATTTCAAGAGGCGGCTCAAGTTTTAGACACTGCTTGTGAAAATCAATTCCTCAATGGCGAATGACGCAACCCAAACTTCGTCCGACAATACGAGGGCATTTGGAAAAGAAGATCGTAGACACAAAGCAGACAAGAACCGCCGATCGATCGTATCTGCCAACGAAGAATGTGACTGACAACACGCTCCGCATGAGACAACGAAGACTCGGAATGAACGCGCAATGTGAGCAAAAGCGGCGCCACGCACCCCCTTATGCTTCTGCATGGCCTCGTAGAGCTTTGCCGCGTCCTCCTCCTCCCGGATGTAATAGATGCCGTCGGCGTCAGCGCCAGGCATCTTGAAGTCTTTCAGGTTGATGACCTGTACCAAAACGGACAGACCATGAGCCGGAGAGCCAATATGAGATCTTCAGCCGAACGCGAAGTAATATCAGCAGCAAAATTAGCTCAGGTTGACAAGCTTGTGTGAGTACACAGCACAAACCATCAAAAGCCATTGAGAGCTGGTCACCGACTTGAAGGAGAGCTGGTCACCGACTTGAAGTCGCTTTTTTCAGGGGCTGAGCAAGCGTCTCAAATAATGACATGGAAACATGAAGGACAGAGTAGAAGCAGAAGTGATCTTCAGAAGAAGCACAAGGCGGCCCCACAAGCGCATTCGCCTCCTTGAGAAAATTGTTGTCTCAGCAGCAGCCACATCTCGACGGTACCAAGTCGTCACCCTGAGCGCGGGGGGGAATATCAGGAAGACTCTGGAAAAAAGGGGATAGCCCCCTGCTTCCGCGAGTGACGCAGAATAAAGTGAGCATTTCTGACAAATGGTGGCGACCCTCACTCCGGCTCCGGTTGCAATGATCAGCTTCTCGTACTTGATCGTCTCGCCCTTGTCGGTCGTCAGCGTCTTGCTCTTGAGGTCCGCCTTGACGACCTCCGTATCCAACTTCAGCTCAATACCTGGCGAAAGCGCATGTAACGGATGAGAACATCTTATCGCCTGTGCAAAGGCTTGAAAGTTGGTGCGCTTGCGTAGTCGACGAAGCGCTTCCGGGGGCGACTCTTCTCCAGGAACTGGGCTGCATCGTCAACGCTTGAGGCCATACAAAAGGCTTCATTGTTGGTGAAGTTAAGAAGATGACGGAGCGCTTCCTGGGGCGCTTCTACTCCAAGAACTGCTTTTTATTGAAAACGCATGAAGACGTGCAAAAAATCTAGAGAGGTTCACGGCCGTTGCACAGCCCCATGGAACCCGCCGCTTGAAAGCTGCGCTCGAGTCGTATACACAACACAAAGAAAAAGAAAAGCGCTGCAATACAGCGTGGCCTATCAAGTAAAAAGCCTCTTCTAAGCAAAGGAAAGATGCAAACTCCAGATCGTGATGCAGACTCAAATCTGCTCGCTTTAGTTGCCCATCTTATCCACTCCGGACCATGGCTCAGCTGAGTTCCTGTCACGATGCAATACAAGAAGACACTGCGGCTTTCCGAACATGGACGAGATTTCGCCAGTACGCTCTGTCGAACCCTCGACTCAGTACTAGTTTGCGACTTTTCAAAGGAGGAGTACTCGGACTGTCAATCTGGGGTGCAATCACCATGGTGCGGGCAAAGCGGGATCCATATTCCTCGAAAAATACCGTAATCCTCAAAAAGTACCATACTCCTCAACACATACCATAAGCCTCAGTAGTTCCCTTGCAATCAACTACTACTTCGGCTACGAAACCATGCAAGCATGCGCGGCTCCTTCAAAGGATATCCTGAAGGCGCTGAAATGCAGAGGAGTCACCTACTACTCAATCAAAGTCACTGGAGCTCGAAACGTAACGGAAAACACATAACAACACTAAGGCTCACTTCCCGCTCACCGTTCTCCTTGTACCATTCTGGCAACCCCTTGGGACCGCCCCCCCCAACGCACGTATGAAAACCAGGCAGTCTGGCCGGGTTCTCGGGGAAGAGGTAGCCCTTGCTCAAAGCGGGGCGCTCGTAGGGGGCGACCTGCAAACACATATTCTTCAGTGCGCGAAAGGCTCAACATATTTCCCCCGGCAAGAGGATTAAACCTCAAGTGGTAAGATTGTATCCATGTAATCCACTGTCACGAAAAGACCAAATCGAGTTTTGCGACAGCCTGCACTCTATACCTGGTATTTATTGGAAGACCGCTAACCTTAGTTTCAGGAAAGCGGGGTATGTGTGAAGGAAAAGTCTACATACATCCCCTTCAGAAAGCAACAAGGAGGCAGCGGGCGTTCAAAATATAAGCCAAAAGAACTGCTCTGTCTGCAAAATGGCGCATATGAACGAATCCCCGACAAATGGATGTAACAGAATTACCACTGCCCTTAGAGATTGCTTAGGAGCAAAACTGTGCAGACACTCTTGAGGCTTAGCTCCTGTGATACTGTTGAGATGCGACCCTCTGCCATTCCGCGCCAGCTCAAGGAGAGGTCCAAACCAGGCCTCTCAAATAGAATCAGACCCAAGAAGAGGAAACAATTGACTGATACCTTCTCCTTGGAGATGATAGCCAACTCCCCAGGCTGCAGTCCATGTTTGGTAAATTCCCAAGCACCATACCCCTGCATACAGAGCCAAGCACATAGTCAGTGCAAGAAACTAGAAAAGGGCGGCTTAAGAGTAGGAAAGGCCATTGCCAGGATGTGTTAGGCTACCGACCTGCCTGCTCGGAGAGGGTGCGAGCGGGCAGTTCAGCTTCTTGACAGTGGTGACAACTGGAGATTCTTCGGCATCCTTCAAAGACCCTCAATACGAGGGGGGATACTTTTGAGACAGCGCCAGATCGCCCGTCCTAACGTGACCACCAATCATCAAAGATGTTGATCATGTTGCGCATCATATACAGTCAAGAAATCTGAACAGGAGGGCATTCAGATTCTGTACTTTCCAACTCAGTCACACAAAGGTCACTTTTTGTCGCTTGGACTTGGAATCGTAAGTCATTGCAAAACTCTGTCGCTTTCGTCGACAATTAGGGAAACCACTCAAAGGCTTGCCATCCCCCATTCGTGGTCACAGATTCTGCTGCCGTCTTTTCCATTGTCTGATGACTTGTGTGTTTTTGCCCTTTCACTGACTTGCCTCCGTGCTAACAACTTTTTGGAGGGGTGTACAGGTGCGACGAGACAGCATGACTCGTCGCACACTTTAAAGCCCTGTATAACTCCTTGCACACTCACAATGAGAAAGTTCTCAACTCTGACTGCGCATTCGAGGTTTCAAAAAGACATCCTGCAAAACCTGACACTTCTAAACATTCAAGCCCTTCAATTGCTGACTGCTTCCCCAGAGAACAGTGTCAGACATATGTTTGCAGCAACGAGATCAACAAGCCCAACAAAGCGTCTATGACTTTCTTCCTTCCACTAGTGAATATAGAAGTCCAATCTTGCGCACCAAATGTACAGGCAGCAGGATAGACAAAAGCTACATTCAGTCTCCTTTCAAGGATCATATGAGCGAAAGTGACATCACCAACTCAAAGCAATGAAAACGTCCTGGACAGAAAACCACTTCGGACATCAAACTCCCTGCCGTTATTAGCTCTCAACAAAGATCTGAGCCAGAGAAAACCTGTTTTGCAGCAACAGAGTTCTTAGAGAGAGTCATTTTACTGCTTTAGATCCTTACATTTAGCAGACGTTCAGAATCAAAATTGCGACCATTCGCAACCCTTGCAAGCAACTTATGCAAAATTCTGCAAACCATAAGAAAGTTGAGCTTACGCCTGCAACACCGCCTCCGACGATGACATACTTGAAGGAGGACATGTCGGCAGAACGTTAGCTCCTCACTGCAGTTCGTCAACTCAGCTACTCTTTCAGAAAACTTGGTGACCTCTGCACCTCTTATATACTCTTCGATGGCGTCCTCAGGCGTAAATGGTACTCAAAACTCTGAAGACAACGCTGTGCCCACGGAAGGAGCCACAGAAGGTTCTCTCCTCTTCTCTCTGCTGTTCAGTGTGAACTATACGTGGCGCATGCAGGCTGCGAGTTTCCGAGTCAATCGGCTTTTTCGGCGCGGCCGCGCGCCGCGGGTCCGCGGCCGCGACACAGCGGCGGCCAGCGGCCGCGGAGTTAGTGCGCGCGCGGTAAGAAGAGAAGCGGCGGCCCCGGTCCAAGCTATTCAAGTTGCCATTGCTGGCAGCGGTGACGTGCGGCGTGGCTGCCTTGCGATCTCATCTAGCGCATGGTAAATATGAGATCTCCCGACATTCAACACCCGTTCAAAATCGCAGACACAGACGAGGTGATATGCACTGAGAGGGCATCAGAAGTCCGTTCGGAGTCCGTTCACTGCAAAGAGATTTCCTTATGGCTTGTTCGCTCTCAAAGTTGCATGAAACGAATCACGAATCACAAATCACGAATCACGAATCACGAATCACGAGTCAGACGTCTTCACAGGTTTTTGCCTGAGCGGAACAACGGTTGGCCCAACCCGAATTTTGTCATCTTGGGTTTCTTCAGATTGGTCCCATGCAGATTGCTTTCATGAATGGCCAAGCCATTGAAGCCCTAAGGGAAAAAGAAACCGATACTTATCATAACGTACTTTTGCCCGAGTGTTTAGGCGCAGGCGCAAGCCTTTACAGTCATACGGTAGATCAGAAACAACCTTGACAGTCTGACAGGACCCTCGGCTGCCAATCGCAAAACCCAAATGCAAAACGACGTCAATCACTGGTCAGTCCTGGCTCCGCCCTCGTTGTCACATCACGTCAACTTCGTGTTGCCAACACCTCAAAAAGAGAGAAGGGCACGCAACGCCCAAATCGACCTACAACCTGAACTTTCCAAACAGTTTGCCGCGGCTCAGAGATCGGGATCAGAGCGCTGGTCTCTTGCCGGTGCAAACTCTTTGCAAATTACATTCGGAGAGCTTTTGCTAGCAAGGCTAGCGTTCAATCAAAGTCTTCAGAATTGGCAAGGTATGAGCGACGGTCCTTACGGGGTCCTTACACAAATTGGAATGAACCAAGACGTACACAAAAGGGCTGCTTTTCGGTTACAAGGCTTGACAGGGGCAAAATCATTTGTAAGTTCAATCCACCGTCCAGGAAACGGAGGGCGCTAGCCGCAATGTAAAGGGGCTTCATCTAGGTATGTGACGTGATGCTTCTTTTCAAACTACAGCTTGATTCAATTCCTGTCTATGTTGCGTTAGGGCTTAAAAGTCCTGCCTCAAGAAGCGCAGGTTGGGTAGTTAGAATATTTTGAGATGGATACCGGTGCAATATCTCTCTCAGTTCCCTACACCAGCTTGAGAATCCATCAGCAGACTGCCCCTTTATCGTTCTCTTCGGTCCTTCGTTGAAGCTTGGTCAGAAGCCTAAAACAGTGGAACTCAGAGCTGGGGGAATCCCCTCCTTTTCCCTGTCCACAAGGTGCGTACAAACACTCAATGTTTGCAGCTTTACCAAGTTTTGGATAGACGACCATCAAGTGTAGGAGTCTAACTTTTTCATTCATGCATAAAGGTGAAGCCAAAGTAGATCAGAGGCAGGCAATCGTCTAATCAAGTCGTGTTTTCTTACTTCCCCACAAAGCTGAGAGCAAGATTTACCATATCCTCGGATTGTCAGCAAAGCTCTAACCGCTAGTATCACACGTCTCTCATCAGAAGCGAAACTTCGATTCATAGATTTGAGTATCCTGCGATTCTACAATCCATAGCATATCTTTTTGGAGCAATCTAATTCTGGCACCACGACCTGTTGGAAAAGTTGCAATGCCTTTTGCCGAAGTGTCTTCAGTCTTTGTCGCCAACGTAGGCGTACGTTGAGTCACTGTCTTCATCTGCTGCTGACTCTCCCCTCAATTCCTCTTTATGCATCCGACAATTCGGATTCCGAAAGCAGCACGGTGAAAAGCTGAATTCAGATCAACGGCATCATAAAGGGTCCATTCTAACGTCGAGAACAGGTGAATAAGCTTCTTCTCGATATCAGCAACTCTTCGAGTTCTGGTTTTAGGGTTTTAGGGTGATGAAACGATGGATTTGTAGCTGACTGAGTTCATCAATCTCTTGGTTGGTACAAAAAGTGCTACGTACGCTTGTCATTCTTGCAACAAGTAATAGAAGAAGCTGTAACAAAAGGAACATTCGGGGTCCGCCGAAGTTCTCTTCTATGTAAGCAAAAAATCTTCAGATCAAGCGCTTCGCTCACAGAATATAGTGACCCCCATATTAAAGCAGACCTGCTCGATGGTGGCAAGAGTACTCCCGAGAGTTTCCCTCTTTCTAGAGTCCTGGTGGAAGTCGTCGGATCAGGTGCCCTGGGACCACAAGGGTTGAACGCCAGTTTGCTGCTAATCTTCGAAGAGGCCGTCGGTTGCTCTTCTAAATAGCGTGACAGATCACAGCTCGATAGATTTAAAAAGTTGACGGCCCTTAGCACCTAGCCTGCAAGGTTTCAATGCCATCAGATAACATGACTTCGATGTGAAGCCTGCTTACGACAAGTCCGGAGGCCGCAAGATGAATTCGATGTCTTCTTCTTCCGACGCCCTTTCCTTTCTTTCGTCAGGAGCCTCTCCTAGATACACTACCTAGAGCAAGCGACTAATGTGCAAACTGACAACTTCCTTGCAGTTTCTTGACGACAACTGAAACAACAGAGTCACTTCCAAGAGGAGGTCGAGTTCGGTACGATGGCGTGCCTCGCGTTTATCCTACTCCTCGCCTCCCTCTTCTCCGTCGGTGCCTCTGCTTCTGCCCGGTTGGACGCCCCGCCCACTCCCCCTCTGGTCCGCGTCAACTCGAAACACTTCGTCTTCGAGCTGACACTCTCTTCCGAGGACCGCTTCCGGATCGCCGGGTGGATGGCGCTCTTCGTGTCGTCCCTCCTCCTATTCTTCGCGGGTACGACGCTCGCGCTCCGAAATTACCGGTACAAAACCACGAAGGTTTACCACAAGAAGGCGGCCGCGGCCTACGTCGCCTTCTACGCTGTCCCGGTCACTTTGGGGCTTGTCGGCCTCATGAACATTAACATCACCGAGCCGCGCCAGGGCGTCGTGGTCGCCGCGATCGTCGCGGTTTCGCTGCTCGGGAAGGGATCCCTCGTGCTCCAAATCGAGACCTGGGGCCAGTTATTGGAACTTTTGGGCTCGTCTACCGGGCACATTATTTCCACGTGGGCAGCCGGGAGCGGCGCGGGGCACTGGTCGGGGCACCAGGGCCGGGTCCCGGTTTACGCCTTTCTGGTGGTCGGGTTAATCGCCGAACTGACCAATTTCGCGTGGGCTATCTGGGCGCTCGCCGCGCGGTTCTGGGACCTCGAAACGGACCGGGGGTGTAAAACCACGCTCTGGTGGTTCCCCCAGTTGCAGACCCTCGCGGACGAGTTGGACGTCCAAACGCACGGAGGGGAGGACGGGAAAACCTCCAAACCCCGGGGATGGCCGCGGTGCGCGCGCTGTGCCGCAGCCGCGCGCTGTGCGCGGGGGTGGTGCAGCCGCTCCCGGTCGTCCTGTTCCACACGGTTTACCACTGGGTTTACATCGGTTTAACGGCGACCGCGATCGTGGATGACCGGGGAACGAACCGAAACCTCCTCATCGTCGCCGTGATTAACATGGGGGTTATCGTGTGGTTTACTTCGCACCTGGGGGGCCGCCTGCTCCGGCTGCTGCCGGAATGGGTTCCGGCGAAGGAGGACCGGAAGATGCAGGAAGCGCGGGAAAGCAGGGCGATGAACAGGCCGCATGACGTGGCGCGCAAGGGCGGGCGCAGCGTGGAGCAATGGCTTCATCAACGGCTCGGACGTGCGGACGACGGCCTCGACATCGATGACGTGCGGACGCTGTCCTGGACGGACGCCACGTGGCTGGCGCGCGAGGTCCTGCCGCTGCGCGCGATGGAGCTCTTCGAGTTCGACCTCCCGCCGCGCGCGGGGGACCACCTCTGGACGCGCAAGGAGTGGCGCGCACGCGTGCAGGACGCGCTCATAGCGTATTGCACCGAGCAGCAAAAGAAGAGCAAGTCGTTGGAGGGCTTATACGAGGCGCTTCTCACGTGGTGTCACACGGCCAAGAGAGAGAAGCGAGACGTCAACGAGATGGTACCGCCCGTGGATCGGTCTTGGCGAGGCATCGTACGGTCTGGATTGGGCCACGTCAGCAGGTGTTTTGGTGAGGGGTGGGCCGCTCATTTGGGGCTTCTTCCGCGTCGCGCGCGACGGTCCATCCAGCTCGCGAATTTGGCTACGTATGAAGGTGGGTTCTCGGGATGGCTGGATTCGGCCATTCTTTTGAATTCTCGGGACGACAAGAATCGGCCATCCTTTTTCGGACCTCTTTATCGAAATCTTGACGATCAAGTTGGAGATTGGCGTTTCTCTCACGCCAAAGCGCTTTCGCAAGGATGCGTTGATACCTCCCAGCCATGTTTGGTGATTTTGTTGCTTAGGCGCCCTCTTAAAACTTCTGCTAAGGTGTCAGTCTTGTTGAATGCTTCGTAGCTGAGCAGATTCTCTTTCAAATTCTCTCGTGACCGCCCTTATCCTGTTTAAGGACTGATTGCTGAACCTCAGTCGAAGCAGTTTATGTGCGGAACAGATCCTGCAAAGTTTGACCGTTTCGAAGTTACTCATGAGATACCTGTAGTGCGCCCTTTCTTCAGACTGTTGCTGAATACCGTGGGTGCTCTCTCCTGGTCTCAAGACTGGTTCAGAGGAGATCGTACGGAAATACAAAATCTTCCGGAGGCTGTTGACGAGCGTTCTTGTCGACGGGTACGATGGAGAGACACAGTCTTGGCAAAAAGACGATGCTACTAGAGTTGAAAACCTCGTTCATCATTATTAAATGACTCAGTATATCGTCTAGCCGGATCCGGGTCTAGAAAGAGCACCACAGTCGGCCGTCTCACCTCCACCTGTGCGAAGAAACAAAGAGATCAAGTGCGGCGTCGTTTATCTCTTGAGTCAGATCAAATCAACGCTCGTTCTGAGAATTCAGGTCCAACGTGCGAACAGAGAAAAAGTTCAAGTGCGGCGACTTTCATTCCTGAATTCATCAAAGTGTTTCCTTTGTGGAATTTCAGGTCCGTTGGCTTCCGAACCGACTCGCAGCCCCAGACCGCTCCCGCACGAGCCCCTTAACAGACCGAACCGGCGGCAAAAGGTACGGCTCTTCTTTAAGCAGATCCCGCCTATCTTTTATCTACAACACTTTTGTATAGGTCGATGCTGCTTCGTACGTGGCTCGGCTATTTCAGCACTTGTGACTTATTCTTTACGAACCTCTCGCAAGATTCCTGGAAAGCCACTCGGGTCCAGTCTTGCCCGGAGTTGAAGACGCGCTTTTCCGTCGATCCGATTCCGGCCCTTCTCGTCAGCAACAAGCCCGCTTGCCTAGTTGAAGCCCGTCACTATTCAGATATCTACAAGAGCGTGTTGATCAGGGTTGAAGTGGGAAAATTCGAAGCTCCATGGAACTGCTCTGACAATCGGTAGTTGGCACGCGAGATTGATGCCTGCACTCAAGTGATGATTGCTTTGAGGATGATTTTGTTTTTGAAGGCTGCATGACCTTTTCTCCTTGTTTGATGCGGCCTCTCTTTACAGTTCTGGGGCTTACTTCCCTGATCCAGTCCTGTCATCGGCGCACTCCTAGCATTACTCAGACGATTATATATGATCAGATTGTGGCACGTGCCCGGTTGCGGAAGCGCCGCCTGGCCCGGCGAATGCGGAGCAAACTTAGTGTGACCTTGCTTAGCACGTCGCCCACTGGCCCGATTATATCTTCTTTAATGTGCTAGCCACAGGCATATTAGGATAGACTTATCGGGTGAAGATGGGCTGAGCAATTATAGAACTCTGCAGAAGGAATTCGAGGACAATAATTAGACTGACAATAATGTAGGTCATGAGAAGCGAGTTTTTTTAGGGACGTTCAAGTAAACACGATGTCTAGTGCTCACACTAGTGGAAACCCGATCTTATTTTGCATCACCTGTGGATCGGCTTCAAAGCTGCGCGGCGGAAGAATGCCAGAAGCACGTACGACCTAATTGCATGAATGCGGATCACGCGCCACCGTCTGCACTTGTGTATATGCGTTCAAGAGTCACGTGGCGCGCTGTTTACTGTACCTTTTGCCATGTTCGGGCATCAGTGCCGTTACAGCTTCCTGAGCAGTGTGCAATAGCGCACCGTCATGAAGTATGTGATGGCCGCAAAAATATGCAAGGTGGTCATTTCATGAAGTGTATGAGCTCCAGTGGTAGATTACGCTGTGCTGTGCATATGGATCAAGACATGTAAATTAGTCTGCATCTGATCGCCGACGTGCCCACAGACACATGGGACAGCCCGACATTTGCACTTATGGAAATGCGGACGCCGCGAGTGCCGAAGTCTGCTTGACGGGGGGAGCTTGGGTGGAAAACAGTGTGATCGGTTCCAACGATCATGAGGAATCATGCACTAGTGCGTGAAGGTGACTCGGAGCTGCGTTTTGGTGGACGTAATAGACTTATGTTAGTACGTGGATAAGATAATCAATATTGAGGACTGGCTAGCATGAGTGAAAGGATCCGTATCAACCCGATATGGGGCCACGGCTTGGCGACAAGTCGCATTCCAACGCCATGCAAATACACAAGACCCGGAGAAAGGAACCATGACGGTCCAAGTAAGAGGTGTGAGACTTGACGTTCTGTTGCTTTTCATCTCCACTTTCGTAGCCCTTCTATCGAAGAGGCAGAGACAAGGCACAAAGGATCCAGCAGAAGCGCTCTCCATCAACCTCACTTGACAAGCATTTCCTCACCAACCAGATCCAGAAACTCATTCAAGAGTCTTTGCACCGCTCTATTTGCTGACATGGCTGGTAAGATGACCGCTTGTAGCAGCTCTCTTTTCGACATCCCCTGCAGCATGATTGCGTGACGGTATTAGCTATGGGGATGTCTGTTGTTTGAGGACGGCCCTCGCCAGAAAAGTCAGAAATGGTCGATACTGAGAAAGGCAAAAATTCGCCTGGAGGAAGCATTGAAGTCCGCTCACTGTAAGTGTTTGCAGACACCACAGCTGTCTTTCTCTTTCTCCAAACGCCGAAAAAGACATTTTCGAGTACGATTATCACGAAGCTCACCTGACAAAGCTGGTACTGACCCTGAAAATCAAGGCCGGCTGCCACTTACTCTGATACTGACACGTCATCAGTCATACCGGGAACGGTATGTCAGAAAAGCAGCCGGCAAGCAATGCAGTGCAGGTACTTCCTCCATAGAGAAGCAGCAAACTAGACAAGCTCACTGCAATTTCTCTCAGGGTCGCCGGCTCATGCAACTTTGTAGATTTGACCAAAATCGTCGCAGAACTTAGACACGCAGGACATCACCCGGCCGATCAGAGCGCGGGACTTCAGCCACCGCAATTACCCCCCTTTCCAGTTGCGTCATCATTTGTTCAATAACATTGGGTGCGCACCGCTTTAGAAGTTGGTTTGAGGGGTCAGTTTTGCAGAAATCTTGCAGTGAGTAATCCTTGACAATTGCTTACCAAAACGCTGGCCCCCTCGCTGCCGCTCCCCGTCGGCGCCAGAAACTCTTGACACAGCTCCCGAAGTCGCCCCTCGTCCGCCTCCCGCGTCAAGTGCCGTGCGTATGCCTGCGTCAAGCCAACAGTCGCATCCAACCGTAAGCTTTCTTTCTGCAACGTTTCTCGCCGTTGTCCAAGCTTTTTTGTCACGTCGTGCCCGAAGCCGAAGCGACGTCCATCCAACTTCAGCTTTAGTGCTCTCGTACATCCGCAGGCCCCTTCGGTGTATTGTTCCGGGCTCTTGTGCAGGATGGTCCGGCCTGGACGAGCTTGTCGATACCCCGTTTATTCGTCTGGTCGAATGCACACTTTGGAAAGGTGAGCTTCCGCTTGCCGTCGCATATCTTTCTCCCAAATCATCCATTTTGAGATGACGTCGCGTTTTTATCCTAACAACCTCAATGAGATACAAAGCGTGGAATAGCCGGACTCCAAGGGATGGGCTTGACCCGACTCCCTTCCAGCAGAGCGGAGACTCTCATTTAGTCCTCACTATTCGTTGCCGGGAGCGAAACCCGCGCAGAAAACTTCGGGTGTCGCTTCTGCTCATACGGTAATGACATGCTTCGAGGCGGAGGTGAAGACTCCTTTTCAAATCTGAACCACCGCTTGTATTCCTCGGGCAACTTCATTGCGATACCGCCGTGGACTGCGACTCGAGGGGCTCGATTGCGGCGACTGATTGGCTGGCACTCCTGCCAAATAGTCGCCGTATCCGACCAACCCAAAATGTTACTCACCGTTAACCACCGCTTGTACTCCGTAGGCGAGTTCATCGTGACCGCCGCCGCGAGCTGCGACTCGAGGTGCGCGCGCGACTGCGCCTGCCCCTCCGCGGCGGAGATGTCTAGGAGCGGGTTGAACAGCCCCCGCCGACCGCGGCCTTGGGCAGCCACTTCCGCCTGAAGAACGGTTAGGTCCTGCGAAGGATTTTGGGGAAAAACCGTTGGTGAAAAGTTGGCGTCAGAAAGATGGAGAGTAGTTTCGACGGGACCTCGTAAGCACTGCGGAAGGCCGTTTCGGGAAATCTCAGAAGCACTGTGGAAGGTTGTTCGCAAGTGACCAGACGGTTCGGCCCCCCGTACATTCGTAAACGCCGAGACGCCGAGAACGACTCCTCCGCGTTCGACAGGCTAAGTGAATGTGACACAACTCCAAAGTTCGAAAAGCTCCTCGGAAAATTTCCAACGTGAGAAACTGTTGGCTTACCTCCTTTTCGTGACCGGACGCTTCTGGCCCCCATACGGACATGCAGTCGGACGCGGGAAACGACATGTCCGCATCGACGGGTTCCGAAATGGTACAGTTCGTTCGAAAGAAACACTCGCAGAGCTTTGTCGCTTGCTCACCTCTTTTCGTGACCGGACGCTTCAGCCCCTCTTACGGACGTGAATTCGGACGCCGGAAACGGCTCGTCCGAAGTTCTCAGATTACCCAGAGTAGAAGTATCCCAGCTTCAAAAGCAACACTCACAGCTTTTCTTCATGTGACAAAACACACATTTCTCACCTCCTTTTCGTGACCGGACGCATCAGCCCCCCGTACTGACGTGAATTCGGACGCTGGGAACGATTCGTCCGCGATCCGCAGCCAGCAGCGCATGCCAAGATGGTACATGTGCGCCTCCCGGTTGGACAGCACGATCAGCGGCGCACCGGCTTTGGAGAAGCGCAGCGAGACGATGGTTGTAGGGCCTTTTAGTAGGTATGCCAGCGATTCCTGCGGGCAAGGGGTGGAGTATTCAAAGTGCTCCTGGTAAGACTTAATAAGTATCCTGTGTGAACGTGCTCTTGGGCGTTGACTACCGTCTTCTTTAAAAGCGCCATGAAACGACTGTTGTCAAATCTGCTTGAGATACGGAGAGCCATGGTAGACGAAGGGGCGAGCCTGAGCGTCATGAATTTGGTTCGAGTACTACGCTGCGACAGGGACCCTGCGTGTTTCTCTTGATGTGTCTCCCTGCTTTCAGGTCCTTTCGACAGAAAGAGGGTCAGGAAAATGTGGCAATGAGCGGCAAAAGCTTATCCTTCTATGTTCAATGCAAAGATCAGTGCTCTCGAATCCTTTCTTTCGCTCCAGATTCTCGTGCCGGGTGATGAAACCTGAAATAGAAGCTGTTACAGAAAGCTCGTAAAGGCTACAGAAGAACACGTCTTGCAATCACGACATTGTGCAGCGACCTATTTCCGCGGGCTGAGGAGGTTGATAGCTGCAGATTCTCAACAATATGACGTCAGTCTGTAGGAAGTCGAGCTCAAACCCACGTCCGGTAGGTCAAAAGTGCTGAAACGAACCTAAGTGCAGGAGTGCCCAGGGGCGGAACGAGAATTTATGAGAGGAGCAGACTTCACAACGGACATGGGCTCTTCCAAGCAGGATCAAGAGCGTGCACCCGAATCCCGAATCCCGAATCCCGACTTTTCCGACCCATCCAGGACGCAAGCAAAGCAACGAGTAGCAGACACAAAAACCTTGCAGTGCGCTTACCTGGGCTAAGCACTCCTGTTTCCGCAGGTCCCATAAGCACAGCCGCCCCGCAGTCGTCACCACCATAAGCCGCCAGCGCTGCTCCCCGTCCCCCCGCCCGACCACCACAAAAGCGGCCGGCGCGCCAAGCTGTATTGGCGGGAAGATTCGCCGCCCTGCCGAGGAGAACACGAGCAACGACCCGTCCGAAAGCGCTGCTGCCCACATGTCCGGATTGCCAGCCAAAGCGGACACTCCTCCCCTGCAGAATAGTGTATGGATGTCCTGTTTACATGCTCTTGAGGATGAAGCAAGACGAATAGAGGGTTCGAGATGTGCCAAGCACCACCTTTCCCCCTGTCCGCAAAGGAAGGACTGCAACTTCCTGAAAAGACTTTCCTTCCACACCAGTTCTTTGGGCCTTACCCCTGATAAACTGAGCCTGTATATAATACCCGTTAGGATCCAAAGGGAAGGTCGCTGAAGCTCGCAACAATCGTTTCGGGACAAATTACAACATCGTGAAAAGGGATTTTGTTGCTTGTCAACTTAGCGGACCGACTTTCTTTTGCTGTTTTCTTGAAAGAGCAGCCACTTGCAAACCTCACAAGACCCCAGGGCCCATACATTGCGTACTTCAGGAGCCGAAATGAGACACCACACCCTTCAAGGCCCAAAAGTTTTAATGGGAGGCTTTCAAGAATAGTGTACTTTTGGGCTCACCGGATACGGTCTCGCCACTGCACTTTTCCCCCGCAAGAACATACGAGCTCCGACGACCCCGCGGCGCCACCTGTCCCGTCCCTGGATTCCAGAACTAGCGGCGGACCACTTTCTTGATCCGTTCCCGTCACCCGAACCGTCAACAAACCGTCCTTCGACCGGGGTGCCGAGATCACCGGCGCTTGGGCGGGCTGATTTTGAGTTAACTCTAACCGGCCCGTAACCTGGCTGTCTGCCCATGGGGCCGGTTGCGCGCCAGCTGTCGGAACCGGGGTTATCCGCCTCGGTTCGATTCTCCCGGGAGTAGTAACGATAGCTTGCGAGGATTTGGCGTCAAATCCAGGAACGGTGGGAAGCGGCCCCGTTTTGGCAACAACTGCCTGGTTTGCCCGGTCCATAGCACTCTCTTCCCTCGGCTTTTTACTCGATTCCGGTTGAGAAACCCCCTCTGCCGGCCTTTTCACACCGGCCACGGGCGTGGGCGCTATCCTAACCCGGTTTACGTCGCTAACCGCATCCTTACCCGCGTCCAAAACCCCCGGTTGAGTGGCAGGCGCTGCGCTTTGGCTCTGCTCTCTAGAGGGCGAGGCCCAAACCGCGGGTAATTCTGTCTGGGGCCCTGTAATCGGCCTGAGCGCCTGCGGTATGATCCTTCTCCGCCCGTCTGGCCGCCTCTCCTCCATCTGTTTCACAGGGCCTAGCTGCAGCCGACTGGGGGATCCCTGCACGCCGCCAGGTGGCAGCATCCGGTTCGCCGGCGGGGTCGCCGGGTGTCCGTTGACACCGTTCGCCGCTACCGGCGTTTGGGGCCGTCCGTTGGCGACCTGTTTGTTCGCCACAATCGCTGCGGCTTGTTCGAGAAGTAACTGCGCGGGACTCTCGGCGATCGCGAGGCGCTTTCCCCACTTGAGGTCACCGTATCGCTCCTTCAGGATGACGTCCATCTCGGCTTTCGTCAGCATGACGCCGAGTTCTTCCTCGTCGAAAGTGAAAGAGGAGACGGTGCCGTCGTTGGAGCAGGCCAGGAGAGAGTAGCCGTTTGGGCTCCTGGGGAAAGAGAAGATGTAGCTCGCATGAGCTATTGCAATTCGCGAAATCTTCCCTACACGGGGCCTGAAGATCGCGTGTCCCCTTCACAAGGGACATGTTATCTGTCCAACTCCTCTGCGTAGAGCAATTGTTGCACAAGTTTTTCCTGTGAAGTAATATTGCGATCGGTTGTCGTTCCTGATCCTGTTGGGACTAACCCAATCGCAAAACGCTTCGCTCGCAGCTGAGGCTCGATGCCCTTCTCCGATAACAAGGAAACACGAGTCGAGAAGAGACCAACGTGGTTCTATTCCCTAAATGCGAATTGCAACAGCACAGCCAACCCGACACGGAAACGAACTTGTCTTCCACTAGCGCTCATACAAGTCTCCATCACTGTCACACTATGATTGTTTCCAAGCGATAGCCTGCCCTCACCATGCGAGATCCCCGATACCCTGTGTGAAGAAGTGCCGCGCAATCAGCAGCGCCTTTGGCCGGTTGGTAATCCACACGGACACCTTGCAGTCCTGGCTCCCGATCGCAATGCAATTGTACGGCGTCTGCTTGCCGCGCCGCCGGAACATGCCGTGGTTGTACTTGACCGCGATCACGGGGGCGTTGTGACCCACGAAGTCGAAGCACTGCAAACGAAGGTTAACGGGGGTTAACTTCTTCAGCGGGTTACAAAGCCTTCGAACTTTGTCTTATGGAGCACGAATGCGGAGTCTGTACTTGGCGTTCACCGGGGCATTGTGACCTACGAAGTGAAAGCACTGCACACAAGGGATAGCCAGGATTAGCTTCCAGATGACCCATCTTCAGACGCGGATTGCAACACCGATAGCATTTGAGTTGAAAGCAAAATTGCTGTGATTGTACTTGACGGGCGATCAGAAAGCCGTTATGGCTCACGAAGTCGAAACACTGCAAACGAGAGTTGAACAGGATTAGGTTCCCGGATTGCCCATCTTCGGAGGGCAGCTTACAAAAACTTTGTTAGATTTTCCTTGGAGGCACAAGTGATGTGATTGTACTTGACGGCGTTGTGACCCACGAAGCGGAAGCACTGCGGCGAAAAGGTGAATACAATCATGCTCATGAAAGCACTTAGTCCAAGATAGTTGTGTTGAACCATCTTCAGAGGCGAGGTTGGCGCAAGTTCCTTAGAGAAAGGCTTTGACGCATAGGCGAGGGCGAGCTGGTCAGACAACGTTACTGTTTGCTTGTGGTAAACAACTGTAAGCAGCAGATCAGTAAAGATAGGCAGCAAAGGTACTGGAATGTGTTGACATTTTGAAGTTTACAAAGCTCTGGCATGCCCAAAGAGCTGCCAAAGGACTTGCTCCAAGGTTTTTTCCCGAATTTTCACCACATTTTCGCGTACGCATTGCAAGGACGCTAGAAGATATTGCGAACGAAGCTTCACATAAATACGGGTGGCTCACTAATTGAGCTTGCATGGCAAACTTTTACGGTCTTGCCAGGAGTTATGAATCATTGCCAATCTTACGATCGTTTTATGCCAGCTTGCCGTAGGTGGTGCGATTGTGACAGACATGAGTCATACAAGAATCTTTCCTCATACAAATAGGACTTTTTCATGAATGTTACCACTTATTAATTCTCAAATCGCCTCGACAATCTAGTTTACAAGCAAACAAGCAAAAAGAGCCTCTTGCTGACATCTCCAAAGACGGATGTACGACTCATCAGGGAGGTCCGACAGATCGTCAGAGGTTTCTTGAAGCTTTCTCGAGTCAGATAGAACACGAAGGCAAGGCGACAAACCAGAAACATCAGGAAAGGTTAAGCTCATCGTGGCGACGCAGATGCAAAGTTTGTTCAAGGTCAAGGTGGCCTTTCAACGACGCATCCTCGCTATCCATTTTCTGACAAGGGCAAAGAAGGACCGTGATGGAGGTCATAATCTTGGCATCCTTGCTTAAACGCAGGGAAAATCCAGAAAGGAGGGAACGATGTGAAGCACTTGATGTCCTTCTGAACACAGGGTAAGCAACTTTCCTTCTCAAGCAGGTGTAGGAACCCTCGGGCATCAGTGCTTCAATGCTCCAGAGAAGGTTTGTGGATCTGTTCAAGTTCCATAAACGCACATCGTCGCCACCAATCCGAAAGGTTCCGGACTTATCGTTGCAGCAAGAAGCCGTAAGTCTCGAAAGACACCTGTCCTGGGAATTTCCAAGGTCCACGAACTAAAGTTCAGGTCGCCTGTCAAAAGGTAGAATGGATGCCAGCCAATGATGGCCTTTTACTGATTAGCCAGGACAAAGCAGATCCCGGAAAGAAACCCTGTACTGTTGCGTTACAATTAGAATAGCGATGTTCCATGTCGGAATCCAAAACTATGTACAAAGCTTGAAGTTGTAGAAAACCCGGGTTGCTGGTGCATGACTGCCGAGATCCAACTGCTGCGCAACAGTGATTGGGTGGTTCAAAAGCGCCTCCACCGGTCCTGGACGTCCGGCGACACTGTCCAAAACCTCAAAAAAGGAAGGGGGAAGAAAGGAAAAGAAAAACCGGATTTGCGTGCGACAGCCCCGTCAGTGCAATCAAAGCAGAATTCTTCGTAGCCTGAAAGTCTGCAGACTCGGCGTAAGCAGAACTACCATTCAGAAAGCCAACGGAACAAAGCATAGCCACGTACTTCTAAGCCACAAGCATCAGTGCTGTACTCAATCTTTTTTTGGGAGCTAGGACACCCAATGAACGGCACATCATTGCCAGCGAGATACGTGGTCTTGTTATTCAAGTAGCACACCGCTTTGCACAACTAAGATAATGGGAAGCTTGGGCCCACTCTTTTCTCACGAGGAGACTAGCCGAGACGCTCCATCGAATTCGCCAACAAGCAACTCAATGCAAATTGGTCTGTTGAGCAGACACGTGAATGGTCTGAGTGCTCAATCGAAAGGGCCCCTTTCAAAAACCAGCCAGCCAAGTAGGTAGATCGAAGTCGGTATCTGTCATGGCAGAAGTTCTCTGCCCTCAGACGAGGGCAGGATGGCAAGCATCGTCATTACCAGGAGCAGTCCGTATATTACTGGTGAGCACGGGAAAACTTAAGCCAAACTACGAACGCCTCAAGAGTGCGGCCTGATTCCCACATGCCCTCATGAAGCTGACAGTCTATCCGAGAAATAGAATGACGTTTCTAATCCAGTCGAGTTGTACCAATTGCACCGCTGGGGCAAGGGCGAGAGCGCCTTTGAAACATCTGTCTCGATTTCCACTGTTGAATACAGCGCCACATCTCATGAGCAGAGTGCTGCCAGCCTATGCGAAAGGTCAGATACTTCTGCTGATATGAGCATATTCTTCCAAGAAGGAAGCGACATCTCCTTGCGAATCTAGGAAAGCAGGCTCAGGTGAGCGGTGGAAACATCCTGAGAACAGCCGACCATGACTGAAAGCCCGACGACTCGCTGCTTTGAGAAACGTGAGAAGCATGCTGATGGAACAGCGGCAACATTGGAGTCGCTTGAATCAAAGGCACAGACAAGCATGGCATCCTTGTTGCAGATATGGATTTCAATAGTGGGAAGGTGCCGCGAGGATACTATGGCGCTTCTTCAACCTTATTGTCAGGCATCAGAGAGCGAAGCGAGCATGGGCGAGTTGTCAGAACTCAAGCACGGAAAAGGAACAAGGCACGAGGCCGGTCCATAACGATTTCATTTAAAAATGTTCTGCACTTGCGGATGAATGCTTGTCCAGAGAGCCACAGGGCCTCATTGCTGGAGATTGTAAAAGTGCGGCACCTTCGTCCCCATCAGCAGCACATCATTGCCGGCGATTCGGGCCCAAGACTCGCCACCAGCACGCCCAAGTTTGCCCAGAGCCGTGCACACGAACCATGACTGCAGGCGCATTTCTCATCAAACCCTGATGATGAAGCAACACAACCCCGATTCTTGAAGACGGAACCACTGGAAGCATGGAACTAGATACGGGACAATGTGCCTACCTTCTCCCACTTGCCCCTCTCGACGACCGCGGCGGTGTGGCTGGGCGCCTCGAACGAGTTGGTGGTGGTCAAAAAGTGGCCCTCCGGGGACCAGTCGAGGCGCCGGAAGAACGTCGCGCCAATCTGCAGAACGGAGCAGAGCTGTTAGAACCTCTGGTTGCTGTGCGAAAGACGAAGTCCGATGACACGTGGTGGCCCGTGGTGGCAACGTATCCTCGTGAATGGATCTAAATGAAGACGCTTGCTTCGAGAGGCGCGCCATGAGTGCGGCACTGTTTGCACCGTCAGTGAATTGCGGCTTGCACTTTCAAGTATCGGAGGGCAAGAATCAGAGACGCGCGACGCAGCACAGATTAATTGACTGGATTGTTCCAGTGCCTATTACGGTGCCCCATAGGTGATGGAGCAACCTGCATGTCTACGGCACAGTCAGATGGAGCGGCACGAGGCAAGACGTCACGTTAAAACTAAGCGAGAAACTTTCAGCATCTTCTCGTACGGCCCCTTGATTCTCGCAGGTCCGGCATGCTCCTCAAGAATACACTCTTGTCACTTGACCGCCTTTCCAAGAGACTAAACTAGAGAAGAAAGACAGTGACCGTCCTTTCGTATGGCCCCTTGATTCTGGCAACCACCGACCAGTCCGTCGTGCTCTATTGAGTTACGCATCACTTGACCGCGTTTCCAAGCAAAGAAAGTAGAGAGGAAAGAAACTTACCGTCTTTTCGTAGGGCCCCTTGATTCTGGCCACCACGGACCAGTCCGTCTTGCTCCATACAATCACGCTCTTGTCGTCAGCTTGGCTGGCTAGAAACGATCCGATGGGGTCCCATGACACACCCTTTACTAGGCTGGTGTGCTCGGCCAACACCATGGGGGTGTGAATACTCCCGGGTGCGATCTTCCAGATGCGGACGGTGTTGTCCAGCGAGCAGGAGGCGATCATGAAGTCGTCAGGAGACCAGTTAAGGTCGACCTGCAGAATCGATAAAGCAATCCTATTTTGAGTTTCATCCGTGGCAGATATCACAAATCACTGGGATCTTGTTTCCAATACCACACTGCAGCTCGCTGAAGGTAATCTTCCATATCAGCAGAGCTCCAAAAACGAAAGCGACGATTCCTCGGCCCTGCAAAAGTTTAAGGGTCCTTCACTCTCACCTTTCTCGATCTGGAATTGAAGACAGCAAAAGAAAGACGTGTTCATGAGAACGCAACTGTAGAATCTCTTTGAGTTCGTTGCTTCCGGGAATGCATGCAGATCAGAATGTCCTAGTATGGACGACAGTCCCGCAGAAATCATCAAACGAGCGGCATCCCTCGTAGACTGGCCATCATGTGCGGAAATTCCGGAGAATGGATTTGGAGACTCGAATTGGACGTCTGGAACCTTTCAATCAAACAAAATTTCATGCGCAAGCCGATCGCAGCCGTTTGTTGGCTGGACCTTATCTGCCAGGTTCCACACTACTATACTTGCCGAACAAAGGCAGCCTGCCCAGTCTGGCTGCACAAGTTCGTTAGAGACCCATCCGCGCACAGAGTCTTGACGGCTGGAGGGGTTCAAAAACTTTCAAAGCAAATTCGGCTGTCCTTCTCAGGGGCCTGTCAAGACACGCGTTCGTCCTCACGATGTCTGCTGTGTGACACCCTAGAGTATAAATCTCCCGATCCTCCTTTTTAGGGGTCTGTCAAGACACGAGTTTCGAGCTTACGATGTCTGCTGTGTGCCCCCTCAACGTGTAGACCGACTTCCAGTTCTCCAGGTCGGGGGCGTCGCTGCTCCCAAAGACGGCCACCGAGCTTCCGGTCTTGCGCTCGTGAACGAAGATCAGCTTGTCATCCGAGCCTGGAAAAACAAGACGGATGACCTCGTCAGCGATTCTTTCCCCTGCGTCTCTGGTTTAATTGCAATCCGAATGTGCACAGAGAAGCCATCGAACCATCAAGCGTTATGCCAGAATCTTTGCTTCCTTCTCCTGGCCCCTATATACACACAGCCTCTGCTTGAGGTACACACGTAGGTTTAGATTCCCTGTGCTCTATTCGTATTTACAGTAGTTGCCCTACATCGAACTTGATCTGAGATCGTAAAGGTGACCAGAGTGTAGCCCGCCAAGATTTTTGCGACTCTATGTAGGCCACAAGAACAAGTCAGCATCGATTATTTGTACCTTTCTCGACCAGTATCATACTTCTCTATCATTTGTGGGTGTATTCAATTGATGGAGAGCAGCTCTACATTCAAGCAGTCAATGCCACAATTTCTCCTGCTACACTCCTTCAGCATGGCAATACTTGTTTCAGGGCTCAACTGCAACAGTTGGAGCCTGGAGATCTAATTCCACATCTTGAGAGGAGAATTCGGAGACATGAGGTTGAGTCAGTGGCAATGTGAAAGCCCGAGGCTTCATGAAAAACGTGATCTCCCCCCAAGTACACAAAAACACGGGTCCTCAAAACAAGCTTCAAAAGGAGGCTGCGAAACACCTTTGGGGAAGGACATGAGAATGTACCTGAGGCAATGTAACGGCCGTCATGTGACCAGCGGACTACGTTCACCGGTCCAAAATGCTCAGAAAGCGTCGCAAGAGACTTGGGCACCAGGGGGTCACTTTCGGCCTGGGCGTCCAGGATAGGAGCTATATTCCAGATGCGGACCTGTACAAAAAGAACATAGTGAGTGGTATGCTCTTATCCTGCCTTTTGTAATACTGGCAGCTGCATCCTTGTAGAGGGGCACATGCGTGTGCTCTTCTGACAGGCTGTGCTGATGAGGCCGCTCCACAATGAGGCCTTCAGAAATCGAACCTGTATGAGCAGGTACCGTAATGGGGCTCTGCCAGCTTAGGTTGGAAGTCTGAGAATCGACCCTACCCACCCTGCCTTGCAGATCAGCAACCATGAGGATGCACAGTAACTGCCAGGCACTCTGATCAAGCTTTGATTCAGCCAAGAATATCCAGTCAAAACCTTTGTCTGACATAGCATTGCTAAGTGCCTGAAAGGATGCACATGTGCCGTTAAGTTTCTGAGATCGTGATCATACGACAGAGAGTAGTGGTAAGGCTGAAATAGGGGGTGCGAGTACAACAAACCAGAGAGATTGTACTGAGCGCAGCGCCGATCTTGGAAAAAGCTGGACACTTATAACCCAGTTCGAGCTTCAAAGGTGGTCAGACAGAGCAGACTTATCCCCTTCGAATTAGCACAGGAGTTTAGCACCGGAGAGGTATGCGACACCAGCAGAGGCATTGCCTGATTAGGATTTTGTTCACTACACAGGGAATCCATAAAGATGTGGAATATCTGTTTGGGCGACAATTGGCTCTTGTTTGGTTTCCAGAAACAGATTTCTCATAAGAGATTGACAGCAAAAGTAGCATCGATTAGACACTTTGAGGAAAGTCCAGCAATTATTAGGATGCGCTGAAGGCCATTTAAGGTGAGGAGAAGCTAACAAAGGTGTTGATGCCTGAGACTTTGCTCTCACGTGTCAAAAGTCTGTTCCGGTGGTGCGAACAGAATACTGAGACTAAGAGTAAGACAGATGCGCTGTTCATGTGAAATACACATCAGTGAGAGAAAGCTTAATTGACCCCAGAAAAAGGTGAGAGATGTTCGATCGACATAACAATAAAGCTTACCTTGTTGTCACCCCCTGCAGTGGCCACTCTAGTGCCATCTGGGTGGATGGCAATAGAAAGGATGGGGTAGCCGGGATGCCGCAACCAGTCTGGCCGTGTGACAAGCATGATGCCTTCAGGTATGCTTACAGCCCCAAAGACTCTTACTTTGATGGGGCCAGAAGCTTCAGAGGCGGAGTTGCTCTGACTTTCGCCGCTGCCTTATTCAGAACACTGATTGGAGACACCTTGTCGTCAGCTTATTCTGCTCTAAGCTTCTGACAAACATTATTGGCTCTAGCTAACAACACAACAGGCTCATTGAGCTTTCAAATTCACTAAAACAAGGGTTCCACATTGATGCCCGCAACGTAGCCAACTGCCTGAAGGAAACGTGATTCCGTTTTATACCACTGCCTCAATGAGGCTTACTACCATGCTAAAGCTGTCAATTGCTGCCAGAATTTGCGATTGTCCACAATGACTCCAAGCCGCCAATGTCAGATTGCGCAGCTCCCCTCCGCGATGGGGGTGCCAATGAGATTTGTCCAGAAGCTTCTGCAGGAAGGAAAGGTGATCGGAGGAATTGTCCGGTACCAAATAAATCTCAAAGACAACTGCTGGTACCTACTCTACTCTTCAGATAGCTGGAGCTTTGATTTTCAAGGCGCAGGGAGAGCTCTGTTCAGCATGCTGCTGCATTCGGTACGTAATACTTAGGTACCTAGCTAGCTTAGCGTTCACTGCCGCCAAGTCCAGGAATGCAGGAACGTATCGGGCTGAGTGGGTTGTACCACTGCCACACAAATCTGCGCTAACCATCGACAAGCTTGTTTTCTTTAATGTAACCCGATCTCCTCAGAACACTCGCAGATGCAATCGCCACCATCCAGTATGCAAGCAACTTCTTATCGTACGGCGCGGCGCGCTGCAGGGCGCCGACGGTCGCCGTGACTCCGGCAACCTTGTTAAAGCACCCGGGGAAAGGGTAAGGTTAAGACACGTAGTTGGGTGGTTTAAGGGGTGATGTTTCAGGTTCAGCCAACAGGCCAGCCGGAGTGCGCGCGCCGCGCACGCTCTTTCCTCAGCAGGGCACGCGGGGTTGGTACCGGTGGTTCTGAAAGGTACGCACGGACGATGGGACGGGCGGCCTAGAGACACTATATGGAGAGTCCGAATTCTGAGTGGCGAAATTGAAATTCCCAGAGCAAACTCAGGCCAAAAGCTGCCATGTTAGGCTGCGTTTTTTTTTGGACAATGTTTGCCAAGGCAAATTGCGAACAGGCTCAGTTAGTACCGCCCTTAAATGATTGCGAACTTGCGACGACGGACTAGTAGTGGTTGAACCGGGCGTCGGATACGCTAGAAACCGTGCCCGGTGGCTTTCCCGGCTGTATCCAGATAAGGTACCACATGTCCATTGTCTAACACAAGTCCTGGTTTCCTGCGAGTTCATCAATTTGACCCAGGTTGACAGACTGAGACGATCATGCACCTTGCTCACTGCAGAAACTGCCCCGCAGAGAGTGGCAGTTGAACTGGAATATGGTTACAGCACCGGAACAAGTTGTAAGCTCTAGATACCTAGATTCCTGAGGCTAGATGTCGCTTTCATCTGGTGTTCCCAGGGCTTCATGATGAGGCGCATCGAGTTTATGAGGAAACCTTCTGAACAGTGAACATAATTGATCGGCTTTAATCGTCAAAAGTGTTCTCAATTGCGAGGAGCTTGGATAGCTCAGAGTTGCTGAATTGGCCCCACGTCTGGACGAACGTTTCGAAGCTTGCAGGGGGATGCCACAAACTTGTTAGGCAGTGACGGCCCTGCTGATTAGCAGAACAGCAGGGGTGCCTCACAGATGGCGTACGTAGGGCCTGATTTGACGGAGGCTCGTCTCTGCGGCTGCGAGGGCGTGGAACAGCACTACCGGCTGGACGATCAATTAGCTCGTACTCAGCAGATTTCGGACCTGTTCATTTTTTTGTCCTATTTCTCCATCCCCCTCGAGCTCCTGTACTTCCTCGCCTGCAGCAAATTGGTGTTTCCATTCAAATGGATTATTGTGCAGTTTGGGGCATTCATTATCCTCTGTGGTCTGACGCACCTGGTTGCGATGTGGACATACCACGAGCACACCTATGGCATTGCACTCACGCAGACCGTCATGAAAGTGCTGACTGCCCTGGTATCGTGCGCAACCGCACTGACGTTGGTGAGTTTCTCAACCCTGTGCTGCAGTTTAACGTTCTTCCTTGAACCAGAACTACTGTTTGGGGCACCATTTAACCTGGGCCACTGACTGGTGCCTTGGCAATAGAGTACATGCTCTCTTAAGTTCACCTGTTTGGAAGCTTCATTGCAACTCGTTCTGTGTAGAAGAGCGAACGTGTCTACATGAGCATTCCAGAGGGCCTTCAGTCTCTTGTACAGCAGCAGCAGCTTGATAGAGTAAATCCATGTGCACATGTGGTTGCAAAGAAGAAAGCATTCTTAGGTTCAAAGTGTACGTCCAGGTGTACGTCATTCCAGAGCTGCTTTCCCTGAAAGTTCGAGAGATATATCTTAAATCCAAGGTGAGGGCGACACAACCAGAGATAATCAGTTGCTGCTGAGGTCAATTACCACCATTGATTGTGACATCTTCTATGCATCAGAATGTCAGAATCTGTGCTGTTATAAGTGCCCCTCTAACAAGGAGAAATACATTACCAGCAAAGGGCTATGGAGAGTCCGAAAGTTAGGTAAACTTTCAGATATAGTTGGGATGGTGCAACAGCTGTGCATCACAAACTGGGCACCACCTTTTCTAGCTTCCAAAAGCTGCTTGAATGTGCAGGCAGAACAACTGGATCGAGAAATTGGAGTTGTGAGGACCGCAGAAGAAACTGGTGAGGATGCACCCTGTTTATCAATCTTGGGTGATTGCAAAGTCCAGAGTGTACCTGTCAGAATAACTGTGATTGCCAGTACCATGCCCGCTGAGTTGCTTTAGCGCTACTCCTTTCTGTTGTATCTTAACAGTGTGCAATGCAGAAAGGCCTGTTATTTCAAAGAGAGGCCTCAAGAACACTCATTCCTCTTCTTTTGGGAGAAACATGATGGGGTTACTGGTATGCGCTGGCTGTGTATTCAAATGCACGGGCCTGCCAGCTGCGTTGTAAAGGGTTCTCATAACAGTTCTTGCCTTACTACCTTCTATTTTCTGTGCGGTTTTGAGATCTTTAAGTACTCACCTGCCTGCAGGCAAGTTTCAATCTGGTTCTTGACAGGCAGTTAGCTGAGATAGGAGATTCTCCTATCCCTTCCCTGCAGGACGGAACGTGCGTATGTTGACATCTGAGATTCGGTCAACCTTGGACCGCAACACGATCCTGAAGACAACCTTAGTTGAGCTGGGGAAGACTTTGCAGCTGTGGAATTGCATGCTCTGGATGGCGAAGCCCGGCCAGCCCTCCAAGTTGACACTTACATACCAGCTCAGGGATGGCAAGGGCAGCAGGCGGCCATCGGTGTCAACGCAGGACCCCGTCGTGCAGTCCATTTTCAGCGTGAACACCGCCATCTTGATCAGCTCGAAAAGCCCGCTGTCGATAGGGGACGATCCGCGGGTCCCTGATGACGGGGCTGTGGTGTCCATCCGGGTGCCGTTGCTGCATACTTTGCGGTCAAAGAGCAACGGCAATCTAATTTCGCTGGTAGAGGCTGCGCTGAGACTGTCTGAGGACAGTAGTCCCGGTGAGAGCGAGAGTGGGACCAGGCGAAATAGCGGGTCAGGGTCTGAGTACGCAATTCTTGTCTTGGTGCTCCCGGGGGGCAGTGCGCGACGATGGAAGCCGCATGAACTAGAGATGGTGGAGGGCATAGCGGACCAAGGTGAGATGACGAGGCGCAGAGATGCTCTGCAAAACTCTTTGCAGGCAGGTAAAGTCGTTGGAACCGACCAATATTGTCCCAGGCCTTAGAAACTCAAGTACTTTTTAGGGGGTTCTGAGGTTTCAAGAATTGCGGAGCAGTCTCGAGCCTGCTGTTCTCTACTCATCGGCATCTCCCGGGTAAAATGCAGAACGAGGGAAAGGCTGTAGGGAGTATGTAATCATAATTTCCAGATTCCAACCTTCTTTCAGATGATGTCTCACCTTTTTGGATAGGGTACCAATAATCAGGCCTGGCTACCCTTCAATCTGAGTGCCCTTGACTTGACGGAGTTAGCTTTTACTTCCAAATTGCTGGCAATGGCTCCTCCACTTTCCACTTTCCATTTTCATATGTACTTAGAAACGGGATTCCATTTACGGCGGCTTGTCTTTCTTGTCCTAGTATCGGAAGGGACCAGTCGGTGTGTCATCAGTTTGCACCCCCTAAAAGCTCTGAAATGGGACTCCTTTCAGAATGGCTCGTCTTTCTCGTCCCAATATCGGAAAGGGACCGGTCGGTGTTATTGACTCCTGTGGTGTAAAAGCTCTGGAACGGGACTCCATTCAGAGCGGCTCGTCTTTCTTGTCCTAGGATTTGAGGGACTCAGTCGTCGTGTAATCAGTTCCCCAAAAAGTTCTGAAACCGCTTGCAGTTGCGGTGGCTCTAAGCCATGCTGCCATCCTGGAGGAGTCTCAGCGCACGAGGGAGGAGCTGCTTCAACAGAACGAAGCGCTGGTGATTGCGCGCCAGGAAGCGGAGACGGCCATCAAGGCCCGCAACGACTTTCTGGCAGTCATGAACCATGAAATGCGTACGGTGAGCTAAGCGTGCCGCCTACGGTAGCCCATACAGCAGAATGAGAGGCTTGGGTGATTTAACGTTCTCTTCCGACTTCACAACCAGCCCCCATCGCCTCTCTTTCAATGGACTTCATAACGTATATGCGATTTGCATTTGAATCATGGAATTGTCTTTGTAGTTCAACAGTCGTCTGACTTATCTAGACTGCAAGCTTTTACCGCTGCATTAAGAGGCACTGCCAACACGCAGGCAAAAGTTCTGATAGAAAGGCAACATTCGCATCTGAAGCTGCTTGAACGAAGCTTCTTCACATGCATAATGAGATAAGTTTTTACTTCATGATGAAGTTGATGTGAAGTTTCATGTGAAATTTATGACCATCTTGACATGCATGTTTGTTCGTGCAGCCGATGCACGCCATCATTGCGCTGACGTCGCTGCTGCAAGAGGACGACTCGCTCAGCAAAGACCAGAAGATGATGGTGGACACCATCGTAAAGAGCAGCGCTCTGCTCTCAACGTGAGCGGGCCATTCTTCTGCTTTTTGCCTTCTCAAGGTCGCGTGGACACAATTCGGCATGAGTTTGTGCTTCTAGCCACAAAGGTTTCCGCTTGTGGATTTCAACGTCAAGGTCCTAAGTCGAGCAGACGCTCTGTTCAACCTTTTCGTCCGAAGGCGTGTGCGAGGCTACAGTCCGTGCAGCTCGTTGAATGCTGACAATTCTCTTGTCCTTGGTCACCGATGAGACGATCTGAGGATCAAAAAAAGCGCGGGCAGAGAAAGCAAGATTCGTTTGACAAGGTCACGGGACTCAGAGACTCAGAGCGGTGCAATATGAACTGTTTCATTTGCAATCCCCGTCCTTTTGTCTTTCTGTGTGGATCCGGAGCTTTTGGTGTATTTTTAGGAGTACGATAGCATGAGCGCCCTATGTTTTCAATTGCTAGGCACGCAAGGGTAGAGCTCGCATACTTCTGATCTTGATCATAGTTGGTACAAAGCAGACAAGGTTACTGTGTGATTCTACGGATGGATGAGACGGATTGAATACTTTCCTGCGTTTGCTAAGCAGTGCGGTCCTTCTGTGTCCTGCCAGGCTCATCAATGACATCTTAGATTTCAGTCGACTCGAAGACGGAAGCCTGGGTTTAGATTTGACTACGTTCCAGCTGCCGGCTTTGCTGAAAGAGGTAAGACGTCGCCCCAATCTGGCGGGCTACAAACTATCGAGGAAGGAGATTCCGCTTGCTTTTAAGCATGGATCACGTCTTCATTTTTGTCTGCGCCGACTCGTGCTTCGTCAAAAGATGCCAATGTATAATCAATCGAAGAGCCTGACCATTCTCGGTTCTCTCTGCGGAATAGTTACGCCTATTTGTATCTGTTGTACCAAAGAGTACGCATTATTCTTTGCAGATAACTAGAAAGATACCCAGGTTCTAATCTTATCGACCTCGCCAAGCGGTTAACATGAGCTTTTCATCTTGCAGGCAGAAAACCTGGCGCGGCCGATGGCCCAGGCAAAGAAGCTGGACTTGACAATGACGGTTGCGCCTGGTGTTCCGACGGAAGTGATCGGGGACGAGAAACGATTGTTCCAAGTTACGCTAAACATTCTCGGAAATGCTGTCAAGTTCACGAAAGAGGTGAGAGTCAAGCGTCCTTTGCTCATGCCAGCTTGGTGTTTTCAAGCTCCGCACCTGGCTCCGCACACCGCTTTCATCATCGGCTTCTTCTTGCTCTTCCGTTTCAAGCCTCACTTCTAGTCCATATTTGAGCCTCGCTTTCTCCTTCTGCAAGCATTTGAGCTGAAGAGCTGGCGACGCAGATTTTGGGACGTGCACACTTTTGGATATTGAAGGAATCTCAGAGATTCCTTCGTGGCGGTTGCCTTTCGTCCAGGCCCGACAGACCTTTTCTCGTTCTAGTTGAGGCCCGTTTGCACTAAACGATCTTGAACATGGTCGAGTTGTCTCATATCTCTCGGCACTGTCGATTCAGGTTTCGCAAAAGTGTCCGTTACTTCCCAATTTACCTCTAGCCACAGCACATCATTTAAGCAACGACCAAACCCGCTTCGTGTCGCACACAGACCGCCCCTTAGAGAACAGCAGATCGTGTCACCCAGCTTCAGACACACAACCAGCCTTCAGGCCCTCTGTATCACTCTTGACTTCCGCTTCTTCTACCCCAGGGCTCTGTTATTTTGCATCTTTAAATTGATAACTTCTCTGTTAGCTCAGCTTCCTCAAAACGAATTTTTAGGTGTCAGGTATCACGCTCAAATACTGCTCCTTCTTCCCAGGGCTCTGTCAAATTGCATTTGAAGATCGAGGACTTTTCTGGGAGCACGGATCCCCGGCGGCCCGACTTCCGGCCAGCGCCCGACCCTGCCTTTACGTACATTCGCGTCGAGATCACGGACACTGGATTGGGGATCAAGGCGTCCGACGTCGGCAAGCTTTTCAACAAGTGAGTAAAAGGGGGGCGACCACCCACATAATTTAGCACAGCTCAGGCGGATCCTTTACACAGCAAGCTCGGATTTATGGAAGGCATATCGAACAACGTTGATTGTGTTTGATCATGTAGAGGCCTTGATCGTAGAATCTTGAGATCGTCAGAAAGGTCACGAGAAACTGATTCCGGTCTGAAAGAAACTGTATCAAAGGGAAGATTGCTTGTTTCCCTTCTGTGTAAAGACTCCCTGTCCTTCCATTCACAAGATTCCTAAAATGAGTCGAGCAGAGCTTTTAGTATGGCAACCTGAAAGGCAGGGTTTTGAGAATCTCGCAAAAAATTACCGCTTTCTCCATCCGGAGATACCGCCGACTGAAGCACCCTGTGTGCTTCCGTTCCGAATTCCTAAGGAAGTGCTTCTCATCCAGACCTTGAGCGAACGCTTATATTTCAGGCCCGGTTCCCGATGCGCTGCATTCCTCCCCCTCTCGTAAGTATCGTGGAATGAAAAGCTTCTTGGATAATGAGCTCCGAACGAAATCAGTAACTCCTAACTCAGAAACACCAAAGCTCCGCAGTCGTCACCAGCCTAAATCCTGAGGATAACTCTACCCGTCCAACACGCGATTTCACTCTTCTAAAGCTAGTTGCTAATTTGACCTTGTTCTCTTCCAGGTTCGTCCAGGCGGACTCTACAACCACGCGCAACTACGGCGGCACTGGGCTGGGGCTCGCCATCTGCAAAAAGTTTGTCGAGTTGATGGACGGGTTAATCTGGATCGAGAGCGAGGGGTTAGGAAGGGGAACCAAAGTTTCGTTTATCGTAAAACTGGGCGTCGTGCCGCCTCGAAACGAGGCGCAGGCGGAAGCTCCGACTGCGGCTTCGGTGGTGAACGCGAGCCAAGAGTTCCTGAGCGGGTTACGGGTCCTGGTCACGGATGATAACGGGTGAGGGTCAAGCAGGGGTTAGGCAGCCCTAACCAGGTTTGGTATGCCGTGACGAAGAGTTTTTATGCTGACTTACCTGGCGATTGCTAAGTTTTGCGGAGATATCTTGGAGCCGGGTGCAAATTTCGTTTCTTTTGTGATGCGAGGAGGCTGCCTGCTTTTCAAAGAGGAGAAACCCGAACAAGACGGGTTAGCTTATGTTTGGTTCATCACGGCCTGACCAGCTTATTACAGGTGCTGGGCGCACTTACGAGAGCGTTGCAAAAACCTGGCAATAATCGATGCGCACACCCGTTTCGCAAGGAGTGCACCAAGATTTCTCTCAGATATAGGTCACAAATACGTGCTCTCTAGAAGTGTCGGTTGTGGTGTCCACGCAAAGTGCTTGAAGAACCCCCCTCTGTCGCAGGTGAACCACGTAGTGACGCGGAAGCTCCTTGACCGCCTCGGGTGCAACACGACCGTGGTCGACCTTGTCCTCTTTCTCTTGGCGGCTTTTATCATCTCCTAAAGCCCTAAAATCCCCCAATCGTGAGCACCTCAGAATGGATCTCTCAGTCAAGCCCATTATAATCTCAATTTCTTGCAGGGTGAACCGCGTAGTAACGCGGAAGCTCCTCGACCGCCTCGGGTGCAACACGACCGTGGTCGAGTCGGGTGCCAGATGCTTGGCCACCCTAGAGGCGGGGCACCGGTTTGCCGTGCTCTTGCTGGATCTGTCGATGCCCAAAATGGACGGCTACGAGGTGTGTCAGCGGATACACGAGCGCTTCGCTCCGGGGGAGCGGCCGCTCATCGTGGCGCTTACTGCAAACACGGACAGGGAGACACGTGCGCGCTGCATGATGTTGGATATGGATGGGATCATCCTGAAGCCAGGTGAGCGAGGCACAGAGGGTTTGAGGTAGCCAAATGTTGGTTGCAATTAGGGGTGGTAAAAAACCGACAGACTGCAACGCTGCGGGGGTTGCTTGTGCGTCCAATGTGAGTGCGTGCTCTGATCTCCTGGAATAAGGTGGTCAACAGAGGTTACGACGCGAGCAATGTTTGCTGCATCAAAGCGCCAAAATCTTGATAAGCTTCTGACCGGGGTAGAGAACTTGACAAGCAAACGGGGTCATCCGTCGGTTGACCTGGTCAAAACGCTGATGGATCCTAAAGCGTCTAACACGAAGTTGCTTGAATTCTGCGCGTCACAACCTCTTAAATCGGGGCTTCTCGTCGATGCTTCCGCGACTCTTTCTGTGTACCCTCAGCTTGTACAAATAGTTCTTCAACTTTGAAGTAGCCAAAATTGGTTGACACACGTTCAAATACCGATTCGAGTATCAGCCGTGCCGAGTCAAAATTCAAAACGTGCTTATGCCGAGTCAAATATGATCTGAATCCGTTGGTCTTTGTGGGGTTTTGCAGTGGCGCTGGAGGAGATGGCCTCCGTGCTTAGCGAGTTGCTTCGGAGGCAAAGCCAGAGTGCGGCGTCCCCATTAGGGGGGTCGCCTTCACGATCTTTGGGTGACTCTCCTCTCGGAGTTGAAAGCATCGGAAGGAAGGGCCTTTCGAAGCAGTCGATGGGCACCAACATGGAACTGGCCGTCCTTCCTAGGAAGAGGTCCGAAGATGAATAGAGTCTGAGAAAACACGAAAGAACACCCCTGCGTTCAAGAAAGGTAGACTTTGTTACCTAACAGAGGTATCATAGGGTCCATAAGCCACGGATACACGGGCGTGCAACACTCGCTCGACGTGGAAATGATGCATGTTGATGTGCACAGGACCGGTGTCAGCATGGCCGCAAGCTTGAGAGTGTAGGACCTCTGATCCCACGGTCATGTTGTATCCAAACAGAGCCTGAGTGCCCCGGCTGTCCCCCGGTGCCTTCCCACATGTTGCATCCGCGGACAAAGTGACCGATGTCTCGGTGCTGAAAATCATAACGTCAATAACGCCAAATCGTAGACCAGGAGCAAACCCCATACCCAATACCGGGACAAAGTTCCGGCGGCTGCGCATACGTGCACCTGGCCACGTGATGCCTGCGTCCACGTTCAAACGCTGTCGGATCATGCGCAGAGAACTCTTCCTTTGCCAGTGCCTTGTCGGATCGAAGCAAACTTGTAAGTTGGTCACTCGATCAGTGCTGGCCGGCGGCCAGTGATCCCCGCGGGCGCCACCCTCAAACAGCCCTTTAGACTGCATGAAATACATGCAATGAGCACCTCGTCATGCATGATAGGCCTATACCAGACGTGGGAATGCATGCACAAGCAATATGATATATAGATAGTTTTGGGAAGCACATCTTAAGGATCGAGAATTTCAGCGCCTAGCTTCTAGCTAGGTATGCTTAATTGCACGATCTGCATGCGCGCGGTGAAAACCGTCAAAGAAGCAAGTGCATGTGCACTGACCTTGGGACCTTTTGAGACCTTGCCGTTAGATCGAAAGACGTCATGTGGACGTAAATGCATGCACGAGCCCGGCCGCAAGGGGTCAAAGAGCAAAGCATAACGTCAATAACGCCAAATCGTAGACCAGGAGCAAACCCCATACCCAATACCGGGACAAAGTTCCGGCGGCTGCGCATACGTGCACCTGGCCACGTGATGCCTGCGTCCACGTTCAAACGCTGTCGGATCATGCGCAGAGAACTCTTCCTTTGCCAGTGCCTTGTCGGATCGAAGCAAACTTGTAAGTTGGTCACTCGATCAGTGCTGGCCGGCGGCCAGTGATCCCCGCGGGCGCCACCCTCAAACAGCCCTTTAGACTGCATGAAATACATGCAATGAGCACCTCGTCATGCATGATAGGCCTATACCAGACGTGGGAATGCATGCACAAGCAATATGATATATAGATAGTTTTGGGAAGCACATCTTAAGGATCGAGAATTTCAGCGCCTAGCTTCTAGCTAGGTATGCTTAATTGCACGATCTGCATGCGCGCGGTGAAAACCGTCAAAGAAGCAAGTGCATGTGCACTGACCTTGGGACCTTTTGAGACCTTGCCGTTAGATTCGAAAGACGTCATGTGGACGTAAATGCATGCACGAGCCCGGCCGCAAGGGGTCAAAGAGCAAAGCCGGACCGGGTATAGGATTATCGCGACCGATATCAATGCACTTAATGGATCATGCACTGAAAAACGATGGACTGGTGTCTCGGTATTACAGCTGCGCTCCAAGAGGCGATTGACTTTGTGGTCATGAGGCTGGCAGGCAAATTTACGCGGTAATTCCTGATAAGACCGAGTTAGCCGGTCCATCATTTCCCATGTGCATGGCTCCAAAGGTTGCATGGAGAAGAACTCTATTATTGGGCAAGCGTTTATCGTGCAAGTGTAATGCATAATGCTACTTTAGACCTTCGTACGCACACTGGTTTTGCCTAGCTAGAAAATTGTACCCACTAGATTTGAAGTCTTGATTACTGCATTATCCTTTGATCATATCTTTCCGTTGGCCTTGCTCGAAGTCTGCCGTGCTTCGGTTTCCTGACTCGCCGATCGGCGCTTTCATCAGACAGTACCTCGTCTTGCATTGGTCTTCTCCTTCTACTCGACTGTTGACGATGTGACGTCGGGACATCGTCATCCTCCTCCCAAATCTCCTCTTGGCGATCGGGCCTTCTTTTACTATTCACGTGACGACGAGGTGACGTCGGGGCGTCGCCTTCTTCCGCGTAAACCTCCTCTTCCCGGAGGGGCCTTCCCTTTCTGCTTGAACGCTGACGGTGTGACGTCAGAACTTCGTCATCCTCCGGCCGGATCTCCTGCTCGCGGTCTGGTTTCCGTCGCCTGGTTGGACTCCCATGGTCTCGGCTTCGATGAGCTGTCTCACGGCTTCTCTCTCTAACCTCATCGTTATAGTTAACCTGGCCGGTTTCTGCCTTCTTATGCCTCACAACCTCCTCCCCTCCATTTCGCACAGCTCGCTTCGAGCCTCCGCCACCTCTTCTTTTGTCGTCGAACCTCTCCTCCCTCCGCTCGCCCCTCCTCTCATCCGATTCGTACTCGGACCGTTCCCTCGGTTCCCTTATCCGCTCCCTTCCGTTCCGCCTCCGAGGTTCCGTCCGCTCGTCCGCACTTTCGCTCGCGGTAAGGCTTTGGGCAGAATCCTCCTCATACCGTTTCCGGTGCGCCAGTCGTTTTCTGCTTGTGTCAGTTCGCCTCCTCGAGACCCGCCCATCTGACACACTGTTACTCGTTCCTTCCTCGCTCGAGCTTTCCGCTTCCGTTCCGTTCTGCTGCTTCCGTTTCAGGTACATGTAGGCGGCGACGCTGCCCACGATTGACGCCAGGGAAACCAGAACGATGCCGGCTATCCACGTGGCGGAAAGACCGGCTTTCGCGGCTGGTGCAGTCACAATATCCACTGCATAAGGAAAGTGTAAGTTCAGATCGCACCGAAAGATGCGATGAAAAATGTACTCTGAGACCTCCGGATAGAGGACAAAGGACGGGAATCGCAACTGAGGCGGTGTCTTTTCATAAGGATGTTGCATTTCGACCACGTTCCGAACTGACACGTCAGAGCTCCGTTTCGCTTTGCGCCGCTTGCTTTCTCGATGAAACTTGAGAAGACTTACAGGAAGTGTACTGAACTGTGAAATTTCACTGGTTTCAGGGATATCAGGGTTTTAGATGAAAACTACAAAGCAGAAGAAACCTCCGACCCCTTCAATCAATCATTGCCAAATAGACATGGACAAGGAACCGTCATCCTGCAGATTGCGACAAGAAACGCGACCAGAAAAGTAACAATAATGAAGTGACATTCCAAGCCGGCCTTGCTGGCGTCACTCTTTCCTCAAGATCTCCCTAACCAGGCTTTCGCGCAACGGTACTCTTTCATCATGTTGCACGTCTCCAAACTTTATAGCGAGAGTTTGGAACCTGCTGAAAACAAGCGTTGAAAGCAGCTGCCACTTACCGCCACGTGTTGTGATCGCATTGGACGCCACGCTCGGATTCCCAGCGAGGTCCGTGGCGGCCCCGTCTCTCAGCTGAATCGTCACGGTTTGGCCCTGGTTAGTGCTAACCACGGCCGTGTACAGGGTGCCGTCGCCGCTGACGTCAGCAAAGGACGCGAGGGATCCCCCGGAGGTCATGATGGATGCGCCCGTGAACTGCGCCACGCGCTCGCTGAAAGAGATGCGGACGGCGAACGAGGCCTGTGCTGACGTGGCGCTGACGTTGCTGCTGAGGGTGGCCTGGGGTGCGGTGACGTCATATAGGATGGCAATCTGGGGCAAAGGTGAAGAGAGTATGTGGATCGTGAAGGAAGAGGAAGGAGAAAAAGATTTCCCCTGCAAGCATTCGGCGCCGGCGTGCTTCGGGTGTGTAGGCCGCTCTTAAGATCTCCGCTGGTGCAGCAGAAGTGAAGTTCAGAAGGCTCGAATAAAAAGTCAGCCTACCTCCCGTCTTACTCAAAACTCCCATAAGAAAGCTGACAACCGGGTCGACGTTGACAATGGCCTTTGCTCTAAGGCCGCCACCAAGGGAAAGTGCAGATTGTGGCAACACGCCCCAGCTTTATAAAACCAAAAAGAATGGAATGTTGCAAAAACCGCCTCTGCTGAGGGGAAGCGGCGAGTGGTTCTCGAGCAAAGTTGAGAAGTAACTTTGCAGCACACCTGGTTTGACGCGGCGTTTCCGTTTCCGGCCCAGTCCGTCAGCACCCCCACCGGAACGGAAAGGTTCACCCAGCCCTCAGCGAAGGGGGTGGCTGTGAAACTGACGGCAGTGGGACCAGTGGTGCTGTTCGAGGACCCGATGAAGGGACTGGTTTTGAGGATCTGGAGGTCGCCGGCTTGCCCGTTCGAAAGGAGCGCTTTCCAGCCGTCAGGGGCAACCACCGCCTCACTGCAAGGACCGCAAAATACTGTTTTTGTGAATACGTGGGTTGGAGATGTGCACAGATACATAAGATAAGACAAGACAAGATACAGTCCGGGGACAATCTGAATTCTGAAGGAAGGCACAAGCGAATCCGATAAGCTGAGAGGTTGGCGAGAACTATTATTCCAGAAAGGAGCATCTTCTAATCAACGCCTTGTGAGGCGTCGCTTCAATGTGTTTCCGGTGGAGAGAAGACTCTCTATAAAAGTCGGTAAGACTGGAGGATCTTCAAGAAAGATAATGCTAAGACAAGAGGAAAAAAGGCCTCCACTAACTCTTAGCACCTCCACGCGGTGACGTGCCTTTTTCGTACCCATTCTAAACTTTATACTAACTTAACCTATTGCAAGGCGGTGATTTGCATATCGTCTCAGTTCATGGATATCTTTGTTGAGACCGTAAACACTAACCTCATCTGTGCTTGAAAAGTGATGGGGCTCCAGTTGGCGACGAAAACGCCGCTCGCGCTGCCGAGGGGGTTTGCGTCGACGGACAGAGAGACGGTGGGGGCGGTTGAGTCGAGATACGTCCGCACTGGAATGCAGAGAACGATGTCAAGTGGGCAGGCTGTGCGGACCATCTTCAATTGGAAAGGTATTAAGAGTGGGAAGTCTGATGCTTGATTCCAGTGAGCCTGACACTGCAGTGGTGAAAGGGAACTTGAAAGACGCAAGGACCCATAATTGTTGTAAGTCGTTTGACTACGAGAGGCCACTTGACAACCTTCGAGACAAACTTTGTATTTTACCCTGAGTTCTGATGAGGGTAAACGACCTTCCATTCCTTTCGAGTTCAAGAAGGAACTGTTTGATTCGATAGCCGTGTGCTGCCATGCCTAAAGCAGAGTGTCAGCGCGACGCAGAAGAAGCGATCAAAAGCTTCCGTTTTGAGCAGCCCGAATCGGAGTTGTCGATGAACATGGGCCACACTGTTTGAGACAAGCAGCCCTTTTCTTGTGAATTCCGGAACAGCTTTCGAGCACCGTGTAGAGGTCTACAGGGCCAGTTGCATATTGGCAATTCGCGGCCAGTGCTTATGCCTTCAATGTGAGGAAAAGAAAAGAATCCGCACCTGTGATTGGCCGGTTGCCATTCCCGGCCCCGTCAAAGCAGCTTTGCTGAAGGAGCGACACCGTCACGGGCCCATCGCTTATGGACCGGATTAGTAGCGTATACGCGCTGCTGGCGTTGCGGGGCCCAAAGCCCACCAACTGCGCTCCGGCGCTCAGCCGGATTCCGCCGTTCCAACCGGCCGGAAACGCTTTTCCGGAGCCGGAACTCGCGTTGGCGAGCGTCGGAAAGACGCACACTTTGTCGAACACAAGATCGACAGCAAATGGGTTCTGGTTCACAGTCTCTGCGACCGTTAGTTTCCCGGTTGGAGGGTCTACTTCCACCGACCACTGGATCGCCGTTACATTGCTGTTAGCTAGGCTGTCCGTTGCGTTGATGAGTAACGTATGGGGCCCAGGGCTTAGTCCCGAGAGGAAAAGAACCAGAGACCCTGTGCTATTGTCGAAAGAGGCGGATGCTGCCGCCGGGGGGGAGCTTGCGCTTACTGGAACCGGCGGCGGAGGTGGGGGGGACGTGGCTAAAAGAACCGCGGCGCCTTGTGACCGGGTAACAGGGTTTTCGTCTGACGTCATCGGAGGCGGACTAGAATCCTCTCCCCCCGAAACTTCAAAAAGAGAACCTGCTACAGTGTTCGAATGCTGGCTCGACAAAGAGTGGAGCCACTCGTAATACTGGGCGATCGGACTAGGGTCCAGCGTAACCGCGTTCGTCTGGTCACTAACCGCGGGGTTTGCCTGCAAACCCACGCTGTCTAAGAGTAACCTCTGCGTGGAAACTCCCTGCCCCGGCTGCGGGGCAGCATTCGCGGCACCCCCCAAACTGGACAGCGTAAAGTTTACCCCCCCGGAGGTGATCCTCGGCGCGCCGCTGTTGGCCACGTGGACGCAGCTCTGCCACGTGGCGTTATCCAATTTGCAGAGGAAGTCGCAGTCGGGGCAGCTCTGGGCACCCCCAAATGAGGACGCGGTCAGGTTAAGCGCGACCGTGGTCTGGTTGGTGACACGTGGCGCGCTCTGAATGGCGACCTTTGGCGGCGCGAGGTTGACGGTGAAATTGTATGACGTGGACAGGGCGGGGCTGACGTTGCCGGCGGGGTCTGTGGCTTGGACGACGAACGTGTAGGTTGTGACTTTGCCCGGGACGCCTAAACCGCTGAACGTTGTGCCCTGTGAAAAAGACGAGAGACGCTGTTTAGATTGGACTACGCGGCTGACGTAAAGAAAGAAAGAAGAGTCTCAAACAACCAAAGTCTCATTAAAAGTGCAAAGCTTCAAAGCGGAAGAAGTACTGCAGAATAAGGAAATGCGTTCCGAACGTCAAGTTCATCAACAAAGCTCGGAGAGTCGAGAAGGCTTGCACTTCTGGTGCTTCTTTATTGCCTCTCAGTAAACGGGATGGACAAGTCGTGACTAATCCTATTGCTGAGAATAAGGACCTTGAAAGGAATTGAGCAGCAGACCTCAAAAACTTTCATACGCCAAACCCGATTCCCTCTGAAATGACTTTCGACAAAGAAACGCGGCCCCCTACCAAAAGACACAAGAACATCGAGCCGTCGCCTCTTCAATCGCAGCCGTCCTTGCAAGGCAAATTCTTATCTTTCATACTCCCTTTCAAAAAAACACCTCCAGCCCGTTCACTTCTATCCGGACATCAAGCAAGCAGAAACTCACCGTGCCGTTACCGCACGTCGTCAAATTCGTCACCGGAAATAGCGCGCAACTATACATGCACTGCCGACACGCCCCCCCTCCCGGAGCGGTGTTGTCCGTTGCGCTGAATGCGAAGCTGGCCTGTTTGGCGGCGGTCACGACGGGGGGGGCTGTTTTAATAGCAGGGACGGGGGGGGTCGTGTCGACTTTCCAAACGTACGCCTGGGAGTAGGACGAGTTGCCGCTCGGCTCGCTCACAAGCAGGACCTGCGTCAGCGTGACGTCAGCGTCAGCGGGATCCCCGGGATGCCCCCTAACCGCGGAGGTCAAAGCTTGGGAGCGCAAGAGCGCTTTCCCCTGCACCACTGATCACATCGAAGGCCGGGAGTTTTACAGCTGGGTTTTATTACGGCTGGCCTCGCGACAAGACGTCAAAGTGATGTCAGCTGCAGCGTCAGCAGAGATTAGGATGATCACGGCAGGCCGTGTGAAAATTTCTTGAGAGCGCTTCATGAGTGACTGAGCTTGTTCGCGACCTGTCGCCCTCCGCATTCACAATGGAGACGCTTCGCTAGCCTTCAAACGTCAGTAGGTTAATAGGTTCGAGGGTGAAGAGCCCGGCTGGAGTGTATGCAATGAACAACGGACAGGTTTTTTAAATTTTAGGATTTTAGGATTTTAGACGTTTAGGGTTTTAGGGATTTAGAACGCGCGCGCGCACCAGGCTGTGTTCGCCGTCCGCCAGCCCCTTGAACTGCAACGGCGCCAAGCTGCTACAAGGGGTCTCCGGCCCTCCGTCCAGCGAACACCCGACGCTGCAAGCCGTACAGCTAACCCCGACGATCTTCGCAGCGAGATCGAATTCCGCGCTCGTGTTCTTGACGGGAACCGCCGTGTTTGGGCCGCTGAGCACGAACCCTGTCGGGAGCCACGGGTTGATGTTCCACGTGTAAGTCCCCGATTGGCCCGCGTTCCCGACCGCGTCGATAGCGTATACGGAGAAGGAGTGGTCGCCCGCCGCGAGGGAGTCGACCGCGTAGGTGTTGGTTCCGTTGGAGGAGGAGCACGGAAGGAACGGAGCGGAATCGAGGGAGCAGAAGAAGGAGCAGGCGTAGGCGCAGTCGGTGCCGTTGTCGAACCCGTAAAGCCTGCAAGGTGAAAGCAGACTTTCAGTGACTCGTGATTTGTTGCAGGTATTCGTACTCCCTTTTATGCTGCTCTTTGCTACGTTTTAGACGTCACATCCGAGGCAAACGGCGATATTTCCTTGTGTTCTTGTTTTCAGACGATTTCGGCTCGCGTCGAGCTTCTATAAGGTCCACTTAAAGAAGGTCAGCTCGAGAACGTACTTTTAGCGCGATTTCAAGCCGAACACCTGGCATACAGATTCAGGGGTGAGGACGAAAAGGTGGGAATAGAGGGGGTAGAACAGCACCCTTCGGAGAAGCCAATAATCAGAGAACACAGTATCGGCACAAGTCCCGGAAATTCAGAGGGCTCGATTAAGACGCACTTCCGGAATTACAGGCGATAGAGTGCGGACAACTGGATCACGGATTGCCAACAGGAAGAGATAATGCAGAAGGTTTGCCAGATAGAGATAATTACTGGTACAACGCTTGAACTGTAGTGACCGCAAAAGTCTTTCCACCTTTCGAGAAGCTGGCAGTTCACCTGAAGAACGCATTCGGCGCGGGGGTGGGATCAGGCGGCGGGTAGCGAATCTGTGCCGTTGGTCCCGTCAGATCGACGGTCCAGTCGCAGCTGGCACTGCTGATTGACGCCCCGTCACGGTCCGTCACTACAACCGTCGCAAAGTGCCAGCCTTCCGTCAGGTCCTCAAACACAACCGGGGAGTCGCAGTCGATGGGAATACCCCCGTCCAGCTGGCAGGCGTATTCACACCCGTCGCAGGGGGCCGTTGAAGAGCCAAAGGCGCCCCCCCAGAAGGCGAGTTGGACGGTTTCGTTGGCGGTCCGGGGGGGCGGGGGAGAGGTTATGGCGATATAAGGAGGCGTGTAGTCAATCGTCCAGAAGAGAGAGGTCGGGACGATTTGGACGTTCCCGGCAGCGTCCGTAGCAGAGACCTGGTCGAAGAGAAGGCATGAGTTTTGAGGCCCCGGTTTGGCCGGCCATATCAAACCTTTGTCAACATCTAAGGGGACAGCGGTTTTGTTGCTTGGTTAGCGTCAGAAAGTCGACTGGGGTTAAGAGACTCCATTGAAAGTAGATAGAAGGGCGCCTTCCCCATAACGGCGAGTAATGAAACCAGGGGTTGAGCTATTGCGCGTCAGCTTCGTGAGCGGCTAACAGAATTAAAACCTGGAAAAGAGCGCAAGCGAAGAGGGCTCGGAGTAAAGTGCCAATGCAGCTCACGGCCACTTTGCATCGTTGGTGGCCGACAGATGCCTTACTCTTCAAAACCTTCCTGTCAGAGTTCCAGGTGGCGCCCTCTCCAGCAGTTGCCGTCTGCAAGTCTTCCATCGGTACACTAAATCTTCTTCCCAGCCACGGGGCTATTTGTTGGGCATCGGCGCAATAGTTCCTTTCTTAGCGTCGTGGAGAAGAGTCTTCCAGGGGAACTGCGGCGCGACTTGACGCTTAAACAGAAACTTTCAAGAACTACAAGGCAGACAAGAAAGTGGCCCCGAACGCGACTAAGTAGTGAAAGGTCTGACCTCAAGACCCATCTTTCTCGATCCAAAACATCGTCCGACCAACGCGGCGCACCTTAAACTCATGCCGCCCCCTCCCGAACCCGCCGTACCCGATCCCGCGCTCCGCATCACACGGCCACCAACCAGTGGCGTCCACCTGGCAAAGATACGTGCAGCCACCGCAAAAAGCGGCGCCGTTATCGGTCCCCCGAAACATAAAGAACGCGTTCTGACTGCTCGTCCTCAGGTCCCCGCTTGTCATGTTCAACCCCGCGACGGGCCCGCTGGTTACGACGGCGACAGGTGGCGCCGTGTCGACCTGCCACGTGTAGTCGACCGGGTCGCCGGTAATCCCGGTGATGGTTTTCGCCCACACGTGCAGGGTGTAATTCCCGTCGGAGTTGACGCCAAACGTCGACGAGAAGGCGACGAGTCCGTTTTGGATTGTGGGCGCTGTTGCGACTGGGCATTGCGACGCGACCTGCGGAACGAGATTGACGCTTAATTGAGCTATACTTTTCCGTTTTCTTTGTTCTTTTTCTGTTCCTTTCGTCTCTCCTGTCGTTCAGAAGACCGCGTCGTCGTGTGTTTCTTGCAATTTCATCTGACAGTCTCTTCCTTGCCAGTGCAGTGCAAGTTTTGCTCTCCGCTGTTCGCACAGTAAGCTTGTAGGTCTTTCGTGACGTCTGCCGCTAGTCGTTTCGACGATCTCTTCAAGCGGGAACGTCCCTGACATCTTGATGCTGGATGATCGACAAAAGAGTCGAAGTCCAGATTCCCGCAACGATTTTTCAGCAGAGAGAACGAACGAGTGTTTTCTCGTCGATGTGGCATTTGAATGGGAGCAAATTCAAATAATTGGTCACCACCGGTTGACTCCTGTTACCGATTCGGGTGGCCCGATTGTTTTAGCAGCCAAATGAAAAGCAATTGAGCACCAAGATGCTCGCCCTCAAATCAAACAAACCGCTGACGGAGGTGCACTATCGTAAGAGTCGCAAATGATAAAAGAGTGATGCTAAGGATGGGAAGCATTGATAGGAATATCCCGCTTGCCAGCCTGGGACGGGTCTGGAGTAGTAAGTGGTAAATTGGGGGAAACGTAAGTTCTAGGGTTAGTTCTAGGGTTAGTTCTAGCTTCTGAGTTAGAAGGATACTGATCCTACAGCTTAAGGATTGGAAATATCTTCAGCTGGTACATTACAGACTTACCATTGAAACGCGCGTCTCGAAAGCTTTTGCCAAGAAGAAAGCGCCTCACCATATCTACGCCGTCTAGCAGACACATGTACGTGCACGCTGCGCACGCCCCTCCATTCACCGCGCCCGTGTACGTCAATGTTGACGTCATCTTTTGCGTCGCCGCAGGGGGCCCGCTCAGATACCAGACGAGGGGGATCGTCGGGTCCGGAAAACGGGTTATAAAAACTGTGTAGGTTAGCACAACGGTTGGGTCCTCCGCCGTTACGGTAATCGGGATCCGGTTTATTCCGTAGGATAACATCAGGCTTGTTGACCCGCTGCCAGCTGTCGGGGGTCCGTAACTGCTGGGGTTACCGATAACCACGCTTGCAAACGCGTCGTTCGTCAGCGCTCTTATGGCAAACGACGTTATCGTATAGGTCACGTTGGTGGCGTATACGGTTGTCCACGTGGCGAAAGGAGGGTCGATCTGGCTGGGACTGGTTGCGATGAATTGGAGAGATGCGTCCCGGTTAGGAACGCGGGTCAGGCTAACTGTATACGTGTTGACCGTAATCCCGTCCCAAGCCATAATGACGGCCTTATAAGTTACTGGAACGCCTACTGAGATCGAGGTCAAGTCGACTGTAATGACTGTTTGCTCCAAGGTGCCGTTGAGTTGGGAGTCAAAAACCGGGTTACTTGAGGGGTTAAGTACGCGTAGCGTTGACCCGGACGGGTCGTAGGGCGCGAAGCTTAAGGTGACGTTGGTCAAAGATCTGTTGACCGGCAGCGAGTAGGCAGTCACTGCGAAAGAGAAGGCGGGGAGAGCTTGTCAGAAAACAGGGCATCAGTCTGAAGAAACCCAGAAAATAGAAAGCAAACCCCTTCGCGCATGGAATCGGCAATATGGGGATCTACCGCATTTTTCCTTCACAGAAAGGAGCAATGAACAACGTGAAAGCGAGTGCACGACTGCACCCGCAGATGCCAGAGTGCTCACAAACGTGGGACTTCCGCATTGCGGCTAGGAGACTCTTCGGATGCTCACAGAATCACGGCGTAAGATCGAGCATGGAAGCCTAATGCAAGACGCCTAGGCAGATCATCTTGTCCGAGCACTTGATTTCAGCTCGCATCTCTGAAGAAACAAAACCAAAACTAGATAGAAAGAGAATCGGTTTGAAGGTGGGGAGGTTCGAGAGAAGTTTACCTGTCGGCTGGAATGTGGGGCGTAACGTCCCCGCAGTTGCGTTAAGGCTCAGTAAGGTGGCGGCGAGAGGGCTCAGTTGATCCGAGCCCGGTGGGAGGTACCGACAGCTGCGGACGTCAGCATTTGCTTGCTGGTTGAGACACGTGGCGTAACTGGCGTTCATCTGCCAAGCAGGAACTAAATCGTTAATCGGTGGTTCTGAAGAAACACAAAGGGCTTGCGAGAATGGTGTGACAGGTAGTCTACAAATGCTTAAGAAACAAGGTAGACGGGCGCTTTCGAGAAGGAGAGGACATTGAGTTCTCGAATTTTCACAAAGGTCCAAAAGGAGGCTATTGTCGTACAGAAGAAAGCACCTGGAAGTTTGCGATGAGGAAAAGCGAGCGGAACCGCGATCGTCTATTTTCTCTTCTCAAAGTCGTCTTTTGAACGTCTGCAGAAAAAACAAGACGAATTTCTACATGCACCGAGTTTCTGGGCGCTGACATTCTTTCGCAAGCAGCCTGATTCTGACCTCATGCTATTTGCTCATGACATGATTCTGAAAGCGGTGACGTAACGCTCTTTGCTGGCGCGCCTGGAGTACTGCGCCCGCCTCCGTTTCTTACACGCTCTTTCCGACAACGTGGGGTCACACTGATCGCTTACACAGCTATATTCGACTTGCTGACGTCTCATTTTTCCTTCCTATCGAAATTCGGTATCACACTGTCCGCTTACGCACCTGGGTCTGAAACGCTGACGTCACGCTGGTCGGCCAGTACGCCTGCAGCGTCGCCGTGACCTGCGCGAGCGCGTGCCCCCCGGGGCCCTTCACCACTTTCACGCCCCCTACCGCAGCCACGGTGGACAGGTTCTGGCACCCCCCCAGAGCGGCGGAAATGTTGTTCGTGAACCCCCCCTGCGTGGTTAGCGACCAACCGGCGAATGAAGTGTACGGCAGAGGGCAGTCGATGAGCGCCACAACCGAAAACCGCGGGGGGGGCGGCGGGGGCGCCGAAGGTGGGGGGGGTTAGAAGGACGTTC